TTTTGTGGAGTCATTCGACAGATTAACATAAAGGCGGTGACGCCAAAAAGCTCCAGTGACGTATGCTGTTAGGACTTGAGTTACGCAGATTACCCAGCAGCATTTGGGTAATCGTAAGATGGGCTCTCATGCATCTCAGAACAATAAACGAACTAGCACACAGAAGAGATATGTTCTTGGAATTTTACTGAGTGTTCAGATGAACATGAAGATAGATTTTTCAAACCTACAGAACTACTTCAGAACGCTCACCTGCCGATAGGCAATTGAATAGTCGTGCTTGCTACTGCCAATTTTTATTTAATGCTTAATAATTTTTAACAGCAGCATATTATGTGACATAACCATAATATTGCTGAGGAATTAGCAAAACTCCGAACCGCTGGTGCCTGCAGTGGGAAACGAACACGCTATTACCCTTTCTGGGGTCCGACGCTCCCGTTGACGGGTGGTTGCTGATAGGACCTATAGGTCAATAACAGGGCTGAGAGACAGGTGAAACGATGAAATTGAATGGTGTGGTGGTGAACACGTTAGCCTTCAGAAAGGGTAATAGCGCGTTCGTTCCCCACCGCAGACACCTGCGGTCCTGAGTTTTGCAAATATGAAATATTTGCACTCAGCACCATTATGGTTATGTCACATAATGCCCTGCCATTCAAAATTTTTGAACAGTAAATAAAAATCGACGACATTGTGATTTGTAGCATCACTATAATCAACTGGGTTCGTGCCGATTTGTGCTCCCCAGTTCAATTTCATTGACGTGCGTTTGCTGACGGCGCCTATAGTAGGTCAATAATACCATAGTGACTGTTTGACACATAATACCTTAGCGTAAAAAATCGTAGTAGGCAGTAAATAGAAAATTGACATTATGTTGAATATCCCGGCGAGGGAATAGCGCAGTGCATAGTGGTGACGTTGACTAGGAAGCAAAGGCGCTAGTTCAATTCCCGCCCCAACGCTCTAGCTCAATACACGTCGTAACTTTTTAGCCAAACTCTTTCCAGGATTCAAAGAAAATAGATTTCTAGGATTTCAACTCGATCAGCATTTTGCCACATCCATAAAGAATTCGAAATCCTCAAGCAGCAGTTGAAACAACACGTGAAATATTGGAAGACCACCACTGTGGACGATGAATGCGAGGGAAACGAATTGAATGCAAGAAGCGTTAGGATCCACATAGTATATTTGATGAAGGGTCATATAAAATGTAAAAAATGGTTGATAGTGTCTAAGGAATCGAAGCGTTGTTTAGATCATTGGAGTTCCACAAAAGTTATCCAAGATTTCGAATCTAAACTAGTAAACTAGTCAGAGGAAGATCTTCGCCCTCATTAACAGTGAGAGATTAGAAAATACATTCTGCTGACTTTATTTCTATTAATAACCGGAAAATGATTAATGCGCGAAAGGCGCTTTCGGAAGAACGTTGTCCTGAAGTAGAAGCCGGGTGTTCGACGAGAAAAACTGTTGTTGTTGTATCCACCCCATACCGGAAGCGCTGCCGATCGGTGAAGGTCGGCTGAGAATAATAGCATGGCCTAATGAACCGCACTCGTCCAACCAATAAATAACGAATTCTGTGGCACAATTCGCCGTACACCCACTTCTACATTTGCTCCCAGCGTTTCCACTCAACCGACCACTAGTCCTGAAAAAGCATCCGCGGACTTTGTTTCGAACCATATTCCCCAGTGTGATTTCGAGCCTGTGCTGATATTAAGGTGAACAATGAATCAGTAGTGAATAGGCTTCTGGTCGTGGAAAGAAGAAGACTTTAAATTTTTGCTTTGTTTCGGAATTCTAGATCGTGAGTGGTAAGCATTTCATCTGCAATATTAGGAAAAAAACCGTCATTATGTGTAATTTAACCCTTTGCGTATAGCACAAAAATGTGGGCCATATTTTTCATTCATCTTTAATCAGTGTAAAATTGCGTAAAGGTCTTAAGATCCACCAATTCAGCAGAAAGTGCAAACATGTTTTGGTAAGTGACCTGGTTTTCGTTCGGCGGTGCTATACCACTCCAAACCAACTTCCATCCTCCCTCTATGGCAGAGTTGAGCCTTTAAGGTCAGATGTTCATGGCGCTAAGCCGCTTTGGTAAGAAGACTTTCCCAAATGACTTAGCTCATTGCAATGTAACAAAATCAATGCTACTCGGTCTACGAAATATCTCTCGTTCTAGTTCTTTGTTTTAAGCGAATTTTAATTGAAGCTGTGCGCTGCCCATTGGTGTGTTACGTTCAGCATTCACACTTTGATTATTTGGTCCGAGTCTTCTGTGGAGGTTCGCTTTTTTTTCGAAATTTGTCCTCCACACTCGACATGGATGTGCAACGAGCCGGGCCGCCCATCCGACTCCAATTACGATATATGCGACCCTCCCTCCCGCCCGTCACATCATCCCGGGTGTCGGTCCACCTGGCCCGGCCGACACAACAAGCACCTGCTTGATGCCATTCGAAGCCAAACACTAATCTTGACCACGAAAATTCAGTACGACGCCCGGTTTGCCTCATTCTTGTCTTCTGTACTGATTCACTGCCTAAAATACTGCATCATTCGTATGCTTTTTCGCTTTTGACCTATTGAATATCGTAGAAAATTCACTGCCTTCAATGTTTTGACCGAAAATGTTGATTCTTCAAGCAACAATTTATTCGCGCTCAAATTTTTCAAGTGTTTAGAATGACTAAGGGTTGTGCGTCGTGCGCCTGACTCACTACGTTGGTTTTTAGCAAGATCGGGCATTACTCCTGCTTATGATCGTCTTGTAGTTGTTGCCTGGCCGCTTAACATACCGCGTTTACAATTCATGCGATTTGAATCATTCTGTTGAGGACTCTGTATGACAGTCAGTCAAGTGAAGAAACCGTCTGATTTCCACGCCAACCCTACCTCGATCCATAACACAACACAAGCACTCGTGTGTTCTCTTTGCTCTAAGTAAATTTTGCTCCATTTTACTGTATTCTTCGTAGATCGCTTAAAAAGATTTGAAAATCCGACTAAAATTGCTTTCTGTTCGTTTTAACTCACCCAAAAAAATATGAAGCATCGGTGGTCAGGTGTTTTCTCATAAGACAAGAGTTCGGTGTATGACCACTTTTTTTTCCCTTTTCACAGCCAACAACTTTAAAATTTATGGTTCTAGTTGTAATCAGGTAGGAGACTCATCTAGCTAAAGAAATGTGTTCTCAAACTTCTCAATTTCATTCCTCAGAGCTGATGATTTTTACCACTTCATCGCTCCATAGTGTGGGATTGGGAGATGTTGAGAAAACAGGATACACTCTCTAACCAGGAGCGAACATGCCTTCTAAAAGCTTGGGGAACCATCTGAGGTTAGAATCTCAGCAAGGGCACTAAAGGACAGAGAAACTTTTAGTTGTACTGTCGAGGGTACGGAGCTATGGGTAGCTCTGGAACCCGACGGGAATTAATCTGACCTTTAGTCCATTCCGGCCCGACTTCCACCATAAGTGATGGGATTTTAGGTAAAGGGTGACAATCGATTTCCGCGTATTTTCATTTCGATCGTCTAGGTAGGTTTTAGAACGATTTCCGAAAAGTATTCAAATGCGTCGATTTAAACAGTAGCTGAAAAATTGGACTGATCTTCGATTTAGCGGAATGAAATTGTTGCATAAATGCCACATTCAGTAGTTGACTGAAACGCCGTATACTCTCCTTATCTTCCAGGAAAAGAGGAGTTCAGTCCTTGAAGACCAACATTCTCAAGTGACACAGAGTTTTCTATTACGTCCACTGTTCCCATTTTTTTCCTTTTTTCTTGTCATCTTTTCTGCCATAAACACGTGTAAAACTGACGGCTATCGCACCGAATTCGTCGGGAAATCTTTTTATATCGTGCATCGCTTTTAGGTGCTGAGTTTTTCGTGGCAATGTGGTTTCGAGGGTGTTCTTTTCTTTTGGAAGGACGAATACGGTGCTCGTCAAGTTTGTCGGCTCTCTGTTTGTACTTCGCGCATGTGGGCGAGCCTGCACGTGTTTATGTGCGTATGGGCAGATTAGCAAAACCTGGTCATTTGCCCCGGCAAATGGGCATCGACACCGTCCGTCCGCTGTGAATTGACTTTTCTTTTCAACAGCCCATTCGCATCGGATGTAGATGATGCCGGTCAGCATCCACGGTGTCGGTCAATTCAACAGACTTGCATGGTAATAGTGGTGCTCGAAGAAAAGAGGCCTATCGTGTCATCGTACACATAAGTCACTCTCACATCTATCGTGTGCGCTGAATTTGTCAACAATTCATAACCCTGCATGGAAAGAAAAAACCGAGTCACTTGTATGAATGTTAAACCAACCAAATGAGGCCATATCGTACACTAAGCCCCGAAATGAAATCGCTATCTAATGGATTTTACGCCTCCTTATTTCAACTGAGATCGACTTGTGTTGGATTCACCCTGCTGGACCATTTTCTCCAGATCGCCGGTCAACTAATCGCGGGAATAGCTTTCTAACAGGATTGGACGGATTGGACAAAAAGTGTTCAACTTTTCAGTGAAGAAAGAAGATGACAGGTGATGAAGGTGCACCCGATCCCACACATGAACCAAACCAAAATCGGCTTGGAATAACGATTGCAAAGTAAAGAAACGAGTTGGAGAAATGACTGTAGACCATCTATGTTACTAAATAGGAGGGAGACCTGCTATAATATTACCTTTTTGCTTTCCTACGCTCATGTCAGAAGGTGTTTGGCAGAAAGACTGAGTCATACTCTGTCAGACTTTTTATTTTTTTTAGACGTAATTGTTGGTCTTTATATTCGAAAGCATTCTTAATTTCCGTATTCGTAGTAGCTGAAGCCTAGACATATTTATTACGATGCTCTTAAAAATTGCATGTTTGTTGACCGTTTCAACGCTCCCACCTTCATGCTGTCATAATCCAACAGCTGTCTTCCTCTCTAAGGAATTGTTTCTAGAACGCCACATCTATGGCACTGTAGATGGTCAATGTGCTTCTTGTCACTGATCACACCACTGTGCCTTGCTACTATCGTCGTCGGTGACTTTGCTGAGACATCGGAGGTGTTTTCAATTTCCGAAGGTGAGCATGCCTCATGTTTTTCTATTGCCGTTTCCATAATATTCATTATATTCTTTACTTTATGCGTATTTGCGCAATTGTTTTGGAAAAGATTTTCCTCTACCTACTTAACGTTACGAGTGCACCGCTCCGAATGCGTAAGAAAAACCATAGTTACGTTTTAGAACTTACTTGATACTTGATACTTGAATCGCTCGTCCTCACTGGTTGTGCGGGCTGCAACACAATCTCCATTTTTCGGAGATTTGCTGATTAAACCATTGTGGTTCCTTCGAATTCCGAGGTCAGCCTGGCCAAAGTCTGCCCCAGCTCCTCACCACCACAGGCAGTCGCAGCCCTTGTGGATCCGAGGGAGATTTGCCACCATGCGACTTTGATAGCAGAACAGTGGTGGATACTGGTATTGGTTCACTCTTGGCTAGGCTTCCTGATGGAAACGCCGGGCTCCTCCTCAGCCTGGGAAATCCTGCCAGGGGATGAATCTCCCGCTTTACATCGCAGTCCGACACCAAGGAACATCTCTCAGCCACGATGAGGCGGTAAACCGTTGGGAGGTCCGCTTTAGAAACCATGTTCAAAGGTGTTTTCTGCTTTTCGACTCTTCTTAAAAAATCTTCGTAAGTATTTTTCAGAAACAACGTGTTTATCTCTTGTTCATTTGCGCTTGTCACCCTACTTCAACCGACAACACACGTGTCGTACTTTGCGTCTCCCAGTACTTTTCTCATTCGATTCATTTCGTCGATCCTCGCATCCACCATCCACGAAAGTCTTTGAATTTTTTTGCGTGCGGCTTCGACCACTCTTCTTAGAATTTCTTGCCTCCGTTGCTAATATCGTTCAATGCTAGTCGATTCTCCATGAAGTCTTGGCATAGCTGCATAAGCGTTCGCTTTTGGGTTAGAGGGAGTGAGCTTGTCCCTGACAGTTCTGATACCTATTTCTCGGCTCTGGATCAATTACACGCTTGATGGGATTGGGCTAGGGTCGAACCAGAGCCTGGGAAGCTTGGACCGACTGCGTAATGAATCGGGCCACTACCACTGTGCCACCTGGCCGTCTATAGGTTACCCAACAACAATAAATGAGAAATGAATTAACGAATAAAACAACCGTATGACGTCTGAAAGATCGTTGAGGAATACCTTGACATTAAGACCTTTTAGGGCAGAAAATGACTCCAGTCATTGAATAGTTGTGATCTTTTAAGAAAAGTATTTGTTCACGCCAATTATTCGCAAGCTGGCCGTTAAGTTCAACTGACCGGTCACCTCGGAATTACGATGAACGCTAACGGGACAGCAATTTAGCAGCAGAAAACAAGAATCAAAAATCTTGTTTGCAGCCACACAACATGTTCCACGATTTCTTCTCTTTTCCTCGTCTGTTGCATAACTCGTACAGAAGTTATGACGTGGCGGTTTTAAAGTGAAATTCTGACTGCTCCATTATCCTCGATTGATTGGTCGAATAATCATAAGTGTCGCTACCGTCTCCAAGCAATCGTTATCATTGAGCAACAAACTATTTTTAGTACAGAACACCCCGTTGGTAACAGCTTGGGTTTGCATGACACGTCTAGCTCGGGTTTTCAGGGATATCACGTTCTACTCGCAGTTCACACATCAATAACGAGAGCGGGTGAAACATCTCTAAGTTGCAGTCAAACCCACATATGAACTTGAAAACTACCGTTGACCTTATGTGAGGATAGACATCTAAGTAGCTATTTGAATAAAAGGATAAAGGATAAAGCCGGGCGTTTACTAATCCCTGAGGGATGCGCTATGCATTCGACTTCATTGAGCATAGTTTGGAGGTGATTGAATGCATATCTGTCCTTTACATTGATTCGCGGTCGCCTACCTATCGAACCAGTGCTGCTATCCCTCCAGAGAAGTCTGCTACCAATTTGCCGACCCCGGAAGGATGGGAGGCTTGGTGAGCCATGAGCGCGGGAATCGATTCCACGTGTGTTGCAGTGCACCTCCGACCACTACGCCACTCACGCCACTATTTGAATATAACTTTAAAGTTCTAGAACAACACTATCGCAGTAACATTTTTGCTCAAAACAAAACTGAACTCACGTACTATTGTCGACATATTTAGCCAGCGAATATCCGACGCCTCTAATCACCACATCTGCGAACATTCCGTTCCGTTCCGCTCTCCACGCTAAAGGAGACCTTCAGAGTGACGACACCGCGATCTTCATCTATGATACGATCCCTTGTAGACCAGTTACCTTGCTTACCTTTTCGAAATAAGGTCTAAAAAATTCAAACTTTTAGGTGCATTACTTTTTTCTGTATTGTGGATGATTGACAGCCTAAGATGTTCAGTGGAAAATCATCGTAGACAATTTCTTTCGACCTCCTGTCCAATTTATTATATTGGTGTTTTATCCTTCTCATTTAATTCAATTAGTTTTTTCTGTCACTATTTTATTAATCTGAGCCTTGGAACCATGGAACTAGTTATTGGTCGAGCCAGTAGACAGCCCTCCCAGCGGTTTACCGCCTCATCGTCACTGGGAGGTTTTCCTGGGTGTCGGACTGCGATGTGCAGCGAGATGTGACTGCCTGTGGTGGTGAAGACCTAGATCAGACTTTGGCCAGACTGACCTTCAAGAAACCACAATGGCTTGGCGAGCAAATCTTCGAAAAATGGAGAATATGCTGGGGCCCGCACAACCAGTGAGGATGTGCCAGTCAAGTATCAAGTAGGTAGAGGTAAAATTTGGTAATCTTCGAGGCATGCACATAAAACAAAGACAGAAAAAAAGTACAACGTAGGATTCGTGGTTAAATCCAAAGTTATCGGTTTTTCAAACCGTAAGCTGTGTTGTGGAAGTTAGAAATTCGAATATTATCGTACTCTTCCTCGCGAACAACTGCAAGAAGCGTTGCAGGCGCCATCGTGGGTACGCGACTCGGACGAGTGAACATAACTCCGGATTTCAACTATCGCGTTTCTGGCGTTAACGACCACTTAGGCTTCGACTCTGGAACAGGATGGGTAGGTTTGAAATCCATTCGGTAGGAAATGTGATCTTTTTATTGCCTTCTGAATCAACCACATAATAAACCGAAGAAGTTGGTAAGCTGATATGAGATCAAAATGGCTGAACTTCTCATGGCACTTTACTAATAGACCAGTCATTTCAACAGTTGTGGCTGGCTTTCTAAAGGCTGCTTGTTTTCCTTTTGTTCGTTTTTTATTATGCGCTTACTTTCACTTTTTCGCACTGTAGCAACTGAAATGCAACCCGGCTTCCGTAATTCCGACGGGATTGTTTGATGATGTTATGGCAATAGTTTCAAAAACATTGCAAGAGCTTCTACTGTTTCACTGTTTGGCCAGATGTTTGCTTTGTGTTTACACGTACGCCTAGTGGCACTTGAAGCTCAGCGTGAATTGACTTCCATTTGTATGTGCATGATCACGCCTGCGTCTGACACTTCTAATAGACACATTATACCTTATAGCGAATTTTAATGGTTAAGATAAAAAGCAGTGGATGCCCTAGCTTACTGCCAACAAAGTGTATGCTATCATATTCTACCATGGTGAAATTCGTTGACATCGTGTTGTGGCCAGGAATTTTGACCACAATTAGACTTCATTGTGAGTTTTGGCGCTTGTGGCGCGCTGGTTGGAGGCGCCACTGCGATACACAAGTGGAATCGACCGGACCGGAGAATCGAGCTATTCCGGATTGTAATGTATTGCTGTTTTAAAGTGACGATATAATGATGTATTCGGTTCTTCAAAAAGCCCACAAGAAATGCTATAACGGCAGTTTGATGCGTTATTTAGGTTACACACTAAGAAGAGGAATGTTAATAGTAATGAGGCAACCATCTTCACGAATTTTTCTAGGTATTTTTAAAAGCCGATCTGGATCGCGAGAGAATCAATGGGAGTATTGAAATGCTACTAGTCGGCTCTCCGCCGTCCATCATACACGTAGTAGTAACCGTACTCGACATCAACGACAACGATCCCGCATTTCCGCTTTCTTTCCAGGTATTCGTTGAGAAAAGAAAGCGAAATTGGAAGAATTCTTCAACTGTCATTACGCTTTTGAAAGGGAGAAAAAGAGAGAAAGAGGGAGAGAGAGGGAGAGAGGAAGAGAGAGGGAGGGAGAGGTAGAGAGAGGGAGAGAGAGGGAGAGAGGAAGAGAGAGGGAGGGAGAGGTAGAGAGAGGGAGAGAGAGGGAGAGAGAGAGAAAGAAAGAAAGAAAGTAAGAAATTATAAGTACACCTGTCGCTCAGCATGCCAGTGTTAAGCTTCGGCCTTGATTTCGATAAGTCTAGAATCTTTTCACGCTCTTAACCACTGTATCGTTTTCATCGTCTATTCGTCGCAAAGCATTTTGACATTCCAACGAATTTGCTCATGATCGGGGAACGCGATGGAGCTATAAAACTATTCAGTCTTGGGGCAGTATAAAACAGTGATCCTGTTGGATTAGAAGAAGAAAAAGGAATCCTCCAAAATCATCAGCTTAGCCGCCAGTTGACCTGTTGTATAATTTACTATACAACCTCATTGCCTTGAAATAAAAGTGGTTTTTGTCATTTGTACACAGTTTTCTGCAGAATTGATTTTTGCAATAATTTTAGGCGGTCAGTTATAAGTAGCATTGAAATTACTTGCCTATGATCGCATGAAAGTGAAGGACACTTCCAGAATGTCTCTTTGATCGAATCAAGCGCTCCGGGAACTCGTTTGCTACTGCTGTCCGCATCTGACCCGGATGCAGGCGAGAACGGCACCATAGTCGAGTACGCCATCGACAACAACGTTCACCAGTTCAGCCTGTATCATACTGATTCTGGTCTATTGTATCTGGAGGTGAAAGAACCGCTTGATCGAGAACACCAGCAATTGGCAGTGTTGACTATTTCGGCAAAGGACGGCGGCAATCCGGCTAGGTGAGGTCTTCAGTGAAACATCCTTTATTATAGACTTGGATAGATTTAATAAGGCAGTCGAATAATATCAAGTTTTTCTGTACAAGCAAAACCATGGGTTATTGCACAATGTTCGCGGAGGATGCAACCATGGTTGTAAAACCAGCGCTAACTGATGTAACGAACAATAGCAATTTGTGGATCAACGGTTACAGGATGGGATTAGGTTGCACCATTTCCGTAAGAAGGCCGGAGATTATAGTGAGCTGCTTAAAAATTGGCGTCAAAAGTTTAAGTGATTCAACTATTTTGGTCATACGAGTTTTGAACAACACTATAATTAACCGATGTTTTCATCTGTTACATTCTCGGTTGTACGAACACCATAAAATCTTGGCGTCCTTCCTATTTCGACTATTCAGCGATTCTGTTCCAGAGTCGTTTATCACCTTTGCTTATATGTAACACAACTTAACCCGCCCTCTAAAAGATCAGATTTTTTAGAATGAACCTGGATGTCTGTCTGTCTGTCTGCCTGAATGATCCGAAAATGAACTGAATATTTTCGCTCAGGTGCCCCACTGTAATGATAATTCGGTAATGATTCTACTGATGAGGAAATTTTAAGGTGATGAGATCGACATAGGGGTTTGACGAATTTGTTTGGCAGCATTTACCCCTTGTGCAGCAAAGCTGCAGCACTGCGTATTACTGCGACCTCATGCTGGTTGTAGGTCTAGTTTGCGAATTCGTTGGACCACACGTCGTTCCTTTGTTGGTCTGCTGGTATACAGGCCATAAACACCGACATACGCGTCTAGTTGTGGTGGGAAATGTGAAAGTAACAGGATTTCCGATGTGTATTTGTTAAAAAATGCTTGGAAACTATGTCGGTAAGAAAACAGTCGTCAGAAGTGACCTGTACAGTTTTACGTTTTCCTACTTGGGAGTTGGATACACTGTTCCAACAACTAAGCTCCTTCTGTAGTCCAGGTCTTATAGTCTAAACGAAATAGGGAACACTGACTAACCTTTCTTTTCAAAGAAAACGAGCTGCTTATTTTTTGTGGTCGTCCCTATTTGTTCACTGCAGCCATGTCTTATATTAAGTTGTCACCAATGAGACTTACTGCTTTCGCATAAGTCGGAGTAACTCAGAATTCCTGTGTTGGTTGCTTCTGGATTTTCTTAGAAAGCTTACATTTGACCTTGCATCTCATACTGAGAGTTTGCTGTGACCTTCTTTCGTCGACACGTAGTTCAACCGTCCTTGTCGGTCACAAGGCCTTGTCACTTCTTCCCTCAAACAGTGAACACTCCAAGTTGTCCAAAACATTACTCAAAGCATTATTGTTTTTTTTTGGGATTTTTCGGGGGGAATTAGAGGCCAGTTATTCCTTACTTTAGCCACAAGCATAACTGTGGGCAGATTGAACATAACAGTCGAAATGTTGTACTTAAATTTAAGGTCTAAAATCACAGTTACCTCTAAATTTCTCTTTTTTTGTTTAGCACTTGGGGACGATAAATTCGTTTGTAAAATGTGCTGTACGGTTTTCAAAACTAACTCCTCTTATCGACTGGTATTAAATCTTCCTCCTGGTTTAATTACAGTACAAGGTTTAAGGTTTTAACTAGGTTCAATGCCGATTTATGCTTCCTAAATGGATCTCATTGGCTAGTGATTGCTGAAAACATCTACAGGGTGAAAACAAGGCCGAAAGAAATGCGAGACGAAAGGCCCGCATAGTGTGGTAATGAACGCGTTTGCACGCTGAAATCGTAGTAGCAAGTTCGATCCCCACCTCTGACAACTGCGGTCCAAGGTTCAGCGTCATTGTAGTTATATTTCACATTATTCCCTGCCATGAAAAAGAAATAAGCAACAAATAAAAAGTTGCTACATTAAGATCTTTTCTTCATAATCTTGAAGCTCAAAAAATCTTGTTAGTACCATGTTTTTGAGCCAATTACTTTTTTGTTTTGTTTATTTTGTTTTCTTTTTTTTATTACAATCAATTACTGATGCCATTTTTATTACTGTTATTGTCATTTTTATTCCTTAGACTGGGCAACAGCACTTCTTGCTGTCTTGCAACCCACAGAGGGTTCACGTGTATTTGCGGTTACGAGTCAGCGATCGCTGGTCTTCATCTCCCGTTAATGTGCTGAATGCTGTTTGAGTCTTTCCGGAAAAGATAGACAAAAGGAGAGTAGCTGGAACTTTACTAAGTAATCAGCATTGGCAGTAAAGAGTTAAACATGGGAAGAAAGTTTTTACTCTTGTTAATAGATAATTGCTTGGGGCAAAGCTTAGATGATTGGTCGCTCGATCGAGGATGATCTCTAAGTCTAATCAATTAATCATTATTTCCATTTATTCTACATGACCTTCTAGCGATTTACCGCCTCATCGTGGCTGCGAGGGGTTCTCGGGTGTCGGACTGCGATGCACGGCTAGAGTTCATCCACCCAGCAGGGCCTCCCGAACTGAGCACCATCCGACGTTTTCGTCCAGAAGTCCACCTAAGAGTAAACTAATACCACGAATCGCTGCCTACTTTGCATGAAATCACTCGCAGGGTGGCAAATCTTCCTCTGATCTACAATAGTCGGCGGCTGTCTGTGGTGGTTCGGCTAGGATCATTTCGAGAATCCAGGGAACCATAATAACTAAGTCAGCAAATATCCGGAACGGTTTGCTGGGGCCCACACAATCAGTGAAGAGGAGCTAACTAAGTGTCCAAATAAGTAAACATTCTGCATGACTTGTCTTCCCATCTGTTTCCGAAGTACCAGGACTTCTTACATTAGATTCGTTTCCTCGCACCTCTTATCCACGAAATTCTTCAAACTTTTGCGTGTATGTTCGGTTGCTGCTCGATAATTTTCGTCTTCTTTATGAGTGTCGTTGAATGCTGATCTCTCTGCACTCCTGAAATACATGTGGTAGAGCACCCGCTCATGGATTGAAGGAAGTAGGCTAATGTCACACAAGTTTAGTATCAATTTCTTGATTTCGCAGAGATGGCAATATTGGTGGACTCGGGGCGTGGCCGAACTTGCATCGTGCTCCTAATAAGCAGGGTTACTTCATCTGCGCAACCCGCTCCGTCATTAATAAATTAATAATGCTGAAAATATTAGTATTGCTATATCACGTACGGAGCGCGTGTGGCGCAGTGGTGGAAAGCGCGCTGCTACACACACAAGGTGTCGATGCGTGCGCCTATAGCCCACCAAGCGTTCCATCCATCCGGATTCGGCAAATTAGTATCATACCTATCTGGGAAGATAGCAGGACTAGCTCGATACATCAGTAGACCACTGCGAGTCATTGTAAAGGCCAGGTGTGCATTCAGTCACCTCTAAACGATGCCTAATAAAGTTGAATGCATGGCGCACCTCTCAGGGATTGATCAAGGCAAAGAGCTTTGTCTTTTTTTATATTACGAAACTGGCCTTCATTTACCAGCGTTTTGTGAAATAACTGTTACAGAGTTGCAAAAGTAATGTTTTATGAATGGAAGTGCAAGTTTGAAGTGTCACCATTCTAGTCAATATTTTCTGGTTGGAACGGTAGCTCTTCTTGGCTACCATCTAAACGAAATCTATGCAATGCCTGATACCTGTATAATCACTTCCTGGATAGTCATAAAGAACGCAGTTTTTTTGTGTAGAAGGACTCTTTAGGTACGGCTACACCACGGTTTATGTGGAGATCATCGACGTGAACGACAACGTGCCAACGTTTCTGGCCAGTGAACTGGAAGCTTTGTGGAATGGTGCGTGAGTTATTGCAAATCATCTTTCTACTTGCACTCTTTGCATTATTTCGGCTATCGCTTTTTTTTCACAATTACTTATTGGAATACATTATGTACAGGCATTTACTTACAGTCTATTATTTTTTTATGGCAGGGTACTGTATGAAATACAAAAACAATGATGCTGAGATATTTACATAACTCAGACCCTATGCCAGATTCAAACCCCCGATCACCCTTTCCGGTGACTCACGTGTTGTTACTTAATGCACCACTGAGGCCCTCGCTTTGCCTTTCTCTCGGCCAATTTTTTTTACCCTATCGGTGCCATCAGCAGTCATGAGTTAGCGGGAATCGTCTGGGGAGCACAAATCGGTATCGAATCTAGTTAAGCTGAGGCTGTGGTCGAAATCGCAATATAAAACTCCTTATTTACTGGCTATTATTTTTTCGTGGCACGGTGTTATGTGAAATTCAACTATATTGAGTTTTGGAAATATCTCAGCTTCATTATGTTGCAAGATACGTTATAATTTTTGCAAACACTTTGAAAGGGGTAACAAGTGAAAAACGGATAGTTTTGTGCAAAACATCAAAGGTGATCTACTGCGAGCTGTATTTTACTAGAACAGCCTTTGAGCTTTTTATTTTATATCGTCTTACAGTTGAAGGAGGAAACAATGTATTAGTGGGCTAAGCCATGACAACTGTTTAGGATTAACATCGGTTCCTATCACAACACTACATGCAGTTGACGCGGACTATGGGCGAAACGGCAAGATCATCTACGACATACCGGGGCCAGAAGCGGAGTATTTTCGCATAGACGGCGATCTGGTCTACGGCCGGGTTAGTCATCGTTTCATATTTTACATTTTTAAACCATTTTTAAATCTTTTTAAACATCGGTCGCTAAAGTGTCGGCTCTAGGATTCGTTTTTAAACAGAATTTGGATATGTCCTTGGTGATGTCACCATGCCAAATGTCGAGTATATTCGCAACTGTTGTGTGTATATGCCATTAATTGTAGTTCTTATACTATTCTTTACGATATCTATCAAATAACGTTTATCGAAGGAATGTTGTTCTACACCATGTGCCTAGTTGAGTACTGTTGTTTTCATTGGTCTTTGATGCGTCTTTATTTGGTAGTGTTCGAAATGGAATTGATGTCTTGGTGCTGAAGTGCACTGTTCTTGATGAGGCACGTCGTGATATCGAGGTAGTCTGTGTCTCGGCCGTATGCGTTTTGTGTGTTCTCTCATCTGCACAGGTGTGTTTGACCTCACTGAGAGCACCCTCGATGACCTTCGGCGTTCCATGAATTGCATGTCATATATGTCGGTGCTCCAACAAACCAATGAATATGAGGGTACAAAACAACAGAACGGCTGAGGGCAGACCTAATGCGGGGAAATTCTTGAGTTCCACTGGTTGCTAAAGGTAACTGTTATGGAAGCGATTCCATTCGAATACTGTCAAGTTATGACACACTACAGTGTGTTCTCGAGATATTCTTTGAAAGTTTTACAAAACGTCTACATTATATTTTAACGAGATACCACACTTTACAGATGAAGATGTATTCAAGCTTCTCAGTGAGATTAGCTTGAAAAATGTTGAAGCCGAAGATTTCCTTAACGAATTGAAGCTGAACCCTGCACTCATCGGCCTAAAAAAAATGTCGCCGCTGTGACTGATTTCGATCGCTTCGAAAATACAATGCAGCATGACTAATAAGTCCTTCATATTTCTTCTGCAGATGTAATTACATCCGTATAGCCTATTCTTCTGGTGTACGGAAAGTGGGTGGACAGTAGAGCACAGTATTGATACTGGCTGACTTACTAAGCTGTACGAAGTAAATTTACACTTAGTGCTTCGGATGGAACGACAATATGCCAATGGAAGAGACTTATTAATACCGAAGACCTTGTACTGCATTTTACATGTGCTTCATACACTAAGTCAAATACACGTTCTTAGAAAGGCTCTGAATGTATACAATATTTTCGCTAATGGATTTACGGGTCAATTATTAGAAGTGCCTAGTGTGACCTCATGTGGAACGCAATCGGTTGGCGAACAGATGGGAATGCTTCACACCTGGGCGTAAATGATTACAGCGATTCAAGGCCTGTGACCAAGTGATCGTGTTATTGTGAATGTACGAACGCTTGATAGGACAGCAAGGAACCCTAAAGAGAAATTTTGTAGTGCTATTTAAAAAAGAGATATTTAGATTTTTAGAGCGCAGATATGTAATTATTAGAGGTGACGAACAACACGGGCATAGTCTATGGCTCAACCCTGCTGTGGGTCATCCAAGCGTTGCACCAGCTCAGGATCAAGTAATTGCTACCAGACTTGGGTTGGAAATTTTCCTTCCGATTATTTACCAGGGCCGGTGAATGTCTGCAGGGAAAACTCGTGACGGCTGTGGAAAAACTGCCGCAAGATAATAGGGTAAATGAACTTGACCAGTATTTAAGATGAAGTTCATGAATAATGCAAGCTCCTCAAGTGAAAGCGGAGTCTGCACGCCAATCTGAAGATCACCGTGAATGACAGATGTAGGACAGCGAACCGAAGGGATGATGTCGAGGGATCCATATGACATGTGAAATCGGCTGGTATAAATAAATCAATAAATAGTATCTCCATTTGGATTCGACTTGCGTTGTTTAATAATATAACAAGCTGCACATGTCCCTTCTTACACAGTTTTCGAAAAGTTTAGTTTAATTTACTTCGTCATGAAAGCTAGAGTATCCTCTAAAAATGCTCTTTGGTACCCTGCTTCCCGCTTTGAATTGGTATCAGAAGGTGTCAAAGCGATCAACAAAGCGCGTATTGTTCGTTATTCGACTTTTTGGGGCTGCTAGTGTTCTATGCCAATAAAAGGATAAAGAGCAAAGCTCTCAGCATTGAGCAGTTCCTAAGGAATGCGTCACGCATTCGGCTTCATCAAGCACCGTTAAAGGTGACTGAACACATATCTGACTCGTCAGATCAGAATGGATATCGGGGTCGCGGTGGCCTACCGATGTGTCGAGTTAGTGCTGCTATCCTCCCGGGCTTGCCTGGTACCAATTTTCCGCCTTCGGAGGAATGGAAGGCTTGGTGAGAGAGGCGAGCCGGATCGATCCTATGTGTGCGCCTGTAACCACTGCGCTACACCCTCCTTTGCTCTATGCTAATCCAAGACTAATATTTCTCCATTTCCCAATGGGCATCATAAATTTCGTTTTGATGAATTGCTACATAATTTGATGACAGAACTTCCTTGCAAGACCCACTTTCACGTTTCGTTCGTGTCGCAAAAGTTCTCTACTCGTTTGGTTATTTTGCAACCGATATCCACGAAGAGAGCCCAGTCCGACTCTTTGTTCGGCTGCCATGTGGGTATGTGTTATTTTCTGTCTATATTGATATGTCAAATGCTGGTGGAGCATGGTTTTGTCTGCAATCTCGAAATATCCGTGCTACAAATAATGATGTATCAAGTGAGTGTTTCCATGCTCACAGACGTTTGTTACCAAATTTTCAAATATGGAGTGATGGAGGACTTTAATTGCTCGCAGCACTGTATTGTGCTAGTTAATCATGTGTGTTTGGTAGGTCACCAGTAACCAGTTCTTCTCAAGTACTCTTGTCGTTTGTTCGTCTTGCTAGCGTTTGAAACGGTTACGATAGTAGGATATACAGACAGTTCGTTGAGTGGTTGTGCCAACGTTTTTGATCGTGTTCTATTGCACTCACCATCACCATGTGGCTGTACTTGTCACATGTCCAGTTCGGTAATTCGGTGGGCCACCGTCCGACCATGGTGTTCATATCTGATTCTTTGAACATGTCAAAAAGCTCTCAGCGTTGACCAATCCCTGCGGAATGCGCCGTGCATTCGACTTCATTAAGCATTGTTAGAGCTGGTTGCATGCATACCTGACCTATACAATGACTCAAGGCCGACCATCAGTGTATCGAGTCAGTGCTGCTAACCACCCAGATCTGGTCTGGTACCAATTTGCCGCCTCCGGGGGATGGAAGGCTTGTTGAGCTTGGGCGCGTGCTCGAACCCATGTGTATTGCAGGGGCGCCTCCAACCATTGCGCTTCACGCCCCCTCCTTTCAAGGTGTAATCAGTATGGAACACCTCCACTCATTTTTATCAATGAGGTTATTTTGAACTAAAACTACTGATAACAATGTAATATTCAAATAGTATTCTTGCAAAGGCTCTAGTGTTCCAGTTGGATGCACCGCCGTGCTGCGAGTCTCCACCATGTACGTATTGCTTCGTGCCTGTTCGTGCCGTTGATTGTGGAACACCACCACTTCAGAGCACTGCGTTGCTGAAGGTCTTGCTACGTACGGAAAACGCCCACGATCCTGAAATCACCGTAAGGTGCTGATTCGGTCCATGGCTGCTGTTCTAAGGGTTCGTGTTTGGAAAAGTTGGCTAATTTTTTAGCCTCCATCCACCCACAGCAGATTTTGCATTGATTGAAAGCGATGCAATAGCTGGTAAGACTGTTGCCGTGTTGACGATAACCGACGAAGATGGACCGCTTTCAGGTAAAATCTGCTATCGTTTCGTTGCGGTGAGCAACTTCACATGCGCATCGTAATCCATTCGCATTCCATCCATTTTTTTCGCCTAATAATAGCATCTTACTGTCAAAAAAATATAAAGATGTGTTTTAATGAAATACAAAGAGCTAATGAAGATCTTTTTGTGGTCTGTATTAGCTCTTTGTATTTCATTAAAGAAGTTGTAGATTATCATAGAAACCATCGTTCAAGAGAACTCTTCGCTTGTGATCGCTTCCGGTAACGAGAATGGCGCTTTCGATCTCAGCACACAGAAGCAGTTCTCAATCTTAAAATTGTCAAAAAGTGCAGATGAGTTAGACGAAGAAGTATTTGATCTGGTCTTCGTCGCCAAAGATGGACAAACACCGGAACGCTACACAAAAACCACCCTCAAGGTCAGTGATTTACTCACTTTGTCGGTTATGCTGCCTAAACATAGTGAGTTGTCCTAAGTAATTATCATGTTGTGGAAAGAGAACCAGCTCTTTTGAACATGAGTAAAGCTTAGGCTCTATGTTAGTGGCTGGTATTCAGCTACTGTTCTACTAGATTGAAACACAAACGCTTTTCGACCGTAATAGTACTTCCATTTTCAATCTACTTCATTGGGAACAGAACTTCGGAGTACAACATATTCACAGCTATTTTGAGAATGGTAGTGCATTTTGTGCAAAACTGTTTGTTCTTTCAGAAAAAGAAATACTTCGACGTGAAGAAGTTTAGGGGAGCGCTTTTTAGTTCACTACTTTAGTTGTCTATCAAGGTTCTTGTAGGGATCTCTGCGATGTTAATCCGAACTTTCCATGCGAAAGTTGGACCCTCTTATTTTGCTTGATTCACCAATCTCAAATTGCTTATTTCACGAGAGCCCATGAAGCTAAGGTGCCGGTTGACAAGCAAAATGAGTTTCATGCTCCATATTTTCTTGTTTGGGTGCAGATAGAATCTGCATCATAAGGTAAAATCTTAAAACCTCGCTTTCTCTCCACATCTCCTTCGAGCACTTGCGGCGTTTCTCGAAGGAACTTGGACCAGAAACGCAGAATCCAATCAATCTTATTAGTGTTACCCAACTCAACTGTAGCGTTAATCTTCACACTTTGCAACGTTTCAATGCGTATTCGAGCAGAATACTAATCGGTCCGAACAAGAAAAAAAACTTTCGAACAAGGACTTATTTTCCAGTGCAATACATGGGATCACGGTGAAGATGCTTTAGGTGTACAATGAAGCAAAAGTTACAATATCACCAGTATTTGTCAAGAGGGAGTTAAGCGTCTCTGTAGCAGAAGACTCACCAATCGGTAGTTTTGTCGCTGTTGTATCGACAAACTCTTCCGATTGCAAATTCACACTGGAGGCTGGAACACCTTTTCACGTGGATAGATATAGCGGTGAGCAGTTTATACACCGTAGTAGCTCAAGACAATCCATCCCGCAGCACTCGGAATTATGTTGGCTAGATGACCCATCATCACCTCTACTGTGCGGATCCCTGTACTTCTTGTGTTCTATTGCTTTTCCTCGCATTCATCGTCCACAGTTGTTTTCAAATATTTCGTGTGTTGTTTTAGTTCCTGCCTAAGGATTTCGCCTTCTTTATGAATGTCGTAGAATGCTGGTCGAGTCAGTTCTCCTTGCAGTCTTGGAGATAGCCAAGATAAGGTGTTCCCACGTGGATTGGAGGAGAGCGTTGGGCGGGGATCGAACTAACGCGTTTGCTTCCTGATCGACGGCATCACTAACCACGCTGCTATCACGGCCCCAACGTTCACCTCCGTTCCACGTGGGAATGCCTTAGCCTGGCTATCTTCAAAATTGCAAGAAAAACTGATTCAACCAGCAATCTGCGATATTCATAAGGAAGACGAAATCCTCAAGCAGCATCCGAAACAGCACGCGAAAAATTCGAAGACCATTGCGGAAGTTAGATGCGATGAAACGAATTGAATGCAAAGTGCTGGGATTTGCACAGTAGATGTGATACCGGGTAATGTAAAGTCAAAAGATAAAACTAGTAGTACACATGTCATGTACACCTCTAGAACAATACAGCAAAGTCTTTTCCATTATACGTTCTCGCGTCCCCAACCCTCAAGTTCCCACAATGTTTTCAAAAACTATCGCCTGTTCTTTTCTCTGGCAAAAATCATCGTCTGTTCTTTTCTTTCTTTTCTCTAGCAAATTCTCTAGCATCTAGATTACCTGTAACAAACGTGATAGTAAACACCGTTCTCCAGGAGCACAAATTTAAGCGTTGGGTCTGATGTGCCGATGTGTTAATCACCGCGGTAACAAATAGTCGATATTTCTTGTTATCTCTCATTACTCTGAAGTAATCAATCAGTGGTTTAGGAATAATCACTATAACGGAAGCACTAAATGTAAACGTTGCCGAGCACTACACATTGGAAGTGTCGGTTCAGCCTCCTCCTCCAAATATCCGCCTAGTAAAGACGATGGTTACGGTATCGGTCACCGATGTGAACGATCACGCGCCTATCTTCGATAATCTTCCTGATCAGCTGACTATTCGCGAAAATTCACTAGTCGGAAGCGTCATTTTCACAATAAAGGCAGTAGATGAGGTAAACGTGTTGAGTCTATTGGACCTAAGCATAGATTTATGTTCACGTGTAATGTCATCTATCTCTCTAGTCTTCTGTTTATTGATTTCTCAGGATCGTGGAGAAAACGCTCGCTTATCCTATCGGTTTGCTGGCGAAATCTGGACTGAAATCGTCTCAATTGACGAAGGCTTTGGAAAGTTAGTGTTAAGGAAACCAGTTGATTTTGAGGAACTTCAATTTTTTGAAGTGGAAGTCGAAGTCTGCGATCATGGCGTTCCCCGTAAGTGTTCATCGGCAGTCATACCTATTTACGTCGAGGTATGTGGTGAAATTACTTAGTAGTTAAAGTTTATGTGTATACCAAAAGCCTTTCACAAAGCTTCAACCCGAGTACTCACTGATGCAATTCTAGTGAACTTCAATGAACTTAGAAACAAATTTTGCTTACCTTTTGCAGGATGTCAACGACAATGCGCCGAAATTCCTCTGTGCAACAATGTATGCCGCTGTACCCATGAACGCGTCTCCAGGCACTTCGGTTGGCAAAGTACATGCCATGGATCGTGACTCTGGCGTCTCGGGAACGGTCTACTACGCACTGGTGGATGCGATCACAGAATTTTCAGTAGATGGATCGAGTGGCGAAATTCGAACCACTGAATCGCTGCGCAGAAAGAAGTACACGGTAAGTGGACGGACCAGATCAGTATGCTACTCGTGAGTGAATGAGACGTTGAACCAGTTCGCTGCCTTTAAAATTGACTGCTGACGACATGCTCCTCGTATTTCCTTCTAGTCTTCTGAAAGCATTTCAGAATAAAATTAGACAAATCGTGGACGCAGGTATTAATCATGTTCTGAATGCAATCCTGGGTTTTTGAAACCAAGCTAGTAGCTACTTACTGGTGAAACCCGTTGACTACACGAGTATCGATTGGTTGAGAAGCAGTAAACAAACATTAGCTGATACAAAGTCGTTAACAGCAGACATTTCAGATTCGGGTAGGTGCTGTGGACGGATACGGTATGACGTCGACAAATAATGCTACCGTTGTTGTTTTTATCTCCGAAAATAATGCTTTGGCTTGGAAACGCGGTTCCGACAAAATTCAGATATCGGAATCGTCCACCAAAGTGGGCGACGTACTTGGTGTTTATGAAACGGTAAATTATAATTGCATATTTTCGCACTGCTCTATCCAGAAAGAAAATTGGGAATTTATGGGGTTCAAACGGATGATTCATTCAGATTTCACAAAGTAAGTTTCTAGAGGTCGACGCTGTTCATCTTTTTAGTATTTCAACGGTTCAAACAAAAAGAAAGACAGCCGACCAGTCGTGTTTCTATAAGCTTATAAGGTTATCTTATTGCTAGGCTAGACACGGGTCTTGGGCGAGAGGTTAAGTCTTCTTGGTTCAGATTGAAAATTAATTTCTGCGAAGTGTTTGAATAGATGGGAAAGCGATGGGCACAATTTATTTCACAATGGCACTTAATAAATAAGATGTAAGAAAAACATATGACTTTGATTCCTATACCAGGGTAGTGAAGTGAAATTCATGTTTGAACAATAGGATGTTTCGTTTTCCTACCCTTTACTCCTTTCTTAGCTTTACCTCATTCACAGTTGTTTTCTTGCCAATGTTTTCATCCAGTTCCTTTCGATACTGCTAGGGAGATGTTGATTTCCATTGCTTCAGAATTTTCCGTCAGTGATGAACGTCTCATCTCCAATGCTGACGAGCGATGGCCAGCATCGTCTCCGACTCTCATCACCACTGCCTGCTGAGCTCGACCACTTTTATGCGTTGTTGATGGCGCATGTGGACGAGATCTCCATCAGCAAGTGCATCCAAGTTCGTGTGCTGCGCGATCCACCACCACCACTCTTCAGACGCAGAACTGTTTCGTTAATGTTAAGGCGGAGCGTTCCGATTGGCGAGAAACTCATAAAGGTGAACCTTGGAAAAACTGGCGGTTGTCGTTAAGTTCACTTTTTTTTCGTGAAAGTTTTCACGAGTATGTGCAGTCCAAATAGGATTTTGCTAGCTGATTTTTGACTGAAGAAAAATAGCTTCTTCTTGTAAAAATTAAGTTGTGACAATGCTGACTTTATATTTACTGCCTATTATAATTTTTTATGGTAGAGTATTAAGTGTGAAACAATCACAATGATACTGAGATATTTGCAAAACTCCGGGCCACACATGTTTGCGGTGGAAAGTGAACGCGATATTACCCTTTCTGAGGACTAACGCTTTCACCACCACACCATGCGGGTTCTTCGTTTCGACTGTCTCAGCTCTATCGACCATCACCATCAGCAATCATTCATCAACGGGATTGATAGAAAGCCCAAATCGGCAACAAACGCAGTTAATCCGAGGGTGTAGTCGAAATCACAGTGTTAAGTTCTTATTACGTTGTGATAGTTTTTTAGTATTGAAGTTTCTACAGTGTTAATCTAACTGCGAAAACATCATTAACAGTTCTTTTTGTCAATTTTATCCAGAATTTTAAAAATCCAACTCGTCACTTCTGTCGTTATGTTGCGTTATCTTTAAGGGCATAATTTGTCAGCGAAAGAAGTGGTTACACAGAAATCTGTGACAGAGACGAACGTTACAAGAGGCATTCGTCAGCGCCACAAATAAGAACACTAAGGCGAATATGTTTGGAAACAATTTTATGACCAGCTCTAGGAATGAAACTCAGCTTTCCTGTAGCCCATTTGGCCCATTAATTGAACTACATCATTATGCATTAAAGATTTGACTGGAAAAAATCGGTACTGAAAGCTGTTCTTCTTAACACGCATCATGTTTATGCTTCCATTTCACAAGCATTTCGAAGCTAACCGATGGGCAAATTGATGCCAGCGTGTTCGTTGAAATACCCAAAGTTACTGCATAGATCAGAGAATTATGGGTTAATAAAGCAGCTCAAAGAGTTTGGAAATGGAAAACAAAGTTGTTTGAAATAATACTGCGGAACTGAAAAGTGACTTGATAACAATTTGAAAGCGCTTCCTTGTTGACAGAGAGCCATCGTTAGAAGGGTTTTCTCTAGGTCAGTGCTGGAGTCCGCTGCAATTTCACGACAGACTGTCAGTGGTTGCACGTTGACCCTGAGGGAATCGTAATATTGAGGCAACTGATCGATAAATCGATAGACGGTCTACAATGCGTGATAGAGGCAAGCGACGCAAGAGGCAGGAAAGATTTTTTGAGATTGCTGATCAGTATAGAAAGCGAGGACGAGGTTCGTATTTTTCATATTCTGTTCTGATTTCCTCTTACTATTATTATTATTATTGTTGTTACTATTACTATTATTACTATAATCTTTACTAAACTGATAATGTTAGCGCTTGCGTCTAAATGCCACCTACAACGTTCACATGCGAAGGGATGCCCGTCTGGGTGCTATACTGGGAACACTAGTCAACAACTCTCGTTATTTATTCACTAGCGGACTGGACACGCCCATAGGAGTGTTTCCGGATAGTACACTATATTTGAAGAAACAAATTTATAATTATGCGGTTGAGGTTATGTCGATCCCTGTCACCGCCTTCCATAGGTATGATGCATTGCACTCCTAGGTCAGCTACGTTTTTTAATAAATTTGTGGGTCAAAGTGTAAATTTTACGTTCTTAATTCTCAAGGATAATTTTAGGATTCTAAATGCTACCTATCACACAACAGTACGCGTTTTTATCGATGACGTTAACAACTGGAATCCCATTTGCTCGAAACGAAGAAACTTCCACATCAAGGAAAATGCCGAAATTGGAACGCTGATCGGCTTTTTGAACGCTACTGACAGCGACATCGGAATGCGTGGTGTGATCGGTTATCGGCTGCGCGACAGTCAGAATCAGCTTCGAATCAACGTCGCAACTGGAGAGGTCGGGCTTGATACTATTACTTCTCTTCAAAAACATCATAGAGTAATTGAAGGGTGATTCTTCGTATTTTTGTTGAGCAAACGCGAGGTGTTATTATTCTTCATTCACGAATAAGCTAACGTTTCGGCGGAGTTCGCCTTTTATCAGAGCCTGGAAAGGTTAAGTTGATAGCAATCTACTCGGCCAGACGCCTCCATAACCAAACAAAGAAACTCTAAACTAAGATTTCAATCACATTGAACACAGCTTTGCACACTTACCGCTTTCTATGAGGTTTCCACTAAGTATGTCACGTGAAGACCAACCGCACAGAAATCACATGGAAGCATAATGTGACCCTCCCATCAGAATAGCAGTCTTATATACTGCCCTATATCACGCATGATAATGAGGCATTCTTCCCTGCAGTTCATTTTCGGATTTCTGGAATTAATCCAGAATACCTCGAGAATTTTGCGCTCCTGTGTTCTTGATTCGCGTGCGAGGATCGTGACACATACTTCAAAGTCCTCTCTGTTATGTTTCTGGGTCCTATGCGTGCCTAGCGGGGTATTTGGTCTATGTTTGCCGGCTAGGTGTTCTTTTATGCGGACACAGAGGGGTCTGCCCGTTTCGCCAATGTATTCGTCTCCACACGTCTTACAGCGGGATCAGATAAACTATACCCGAGCTCATGCAATCACCGTCTCTACCACTGGGGCAAATTATGCAATTTTGAGTTGCACATATTAGATAAACTATACCCAACCTCATGAAATCACCGTCTCTACCACTGGGGCAAATTATGCAATTTTGAGTTGCACATAGACGGCCATATAGGCGGTTACGAACTAGCTGGCGCTTAAGATTACTCGGTGGTATTTCAACTACGCTTACCGAATTCTTTAAACCCGCCCTTCTTAAGCAGCTTATAGCTGTACTTATATCATTTGAGATGAAGGGTAGGATAAATGGCACCTTTCTATCGCTAGAGTTGTCGTTTGGAGGCCTAGGATTTCCCCTACACCTATCCTGGGCTACAGTTTCGTAGCCATTAGAAACGGCTATTTGCTGTGCCAAGTTCCGGGACTCCTCTCTCTGCTCTCCTTCTGTGCACACGTTGGTTGCTGTTCGAAACATGTTTCTTATAAGCGCCCTTTTCGTGTGAGAGGGGTGAGAGGAGAGGTAATGAACCTAGCTGTTTTTACTACTTGGCTTTCGGTCGCGTTTGCTCAACAAAAATACGAAGAATTACTTGATCAGTGCCGAGGTTAATAGAAAGTCGGTCGTGGGAGTAATTGAAGGGTGCTTTTCTGCTTTTTTTTAATGCTCCGCTGCACTTTTTGTGTTGAACTAACTCGGACACTTTGGAACCTTAACTTTTTCATTAGCTCCACCAATATCTATTCGCTTCAAACATCCAATCGCTCTAATCTTAAATAATCACACAAGATATTTAGCATATACGTAAATGGTTTTGCTTCCAGTTTAGTTGTTAATTAATAATACATACCTACATAGATATACGTACATACATATGCGTATATGTGTACATACATGTGTACACATATATTGTATATATCTATCTCATCATATATACCTATATATGTACGCATTTACGTATATGTCTCATACAAATATGGATATTTCGTATTTCTCTAATTAAACAAAGAATGGTGTCCTTGTCGTTCTCACCGCTGTCATATTGCCCCAGTTTCTATTTGCTCGAAATACTCAAGACTCAAGTTTTTCGTTTTCGGTGTGTGTACGAAGAAGCTTGAGCTTCACATCGATAGTCTTTGTACTGGGTCGTCCGTTGTTTGGCAAAGTGCCAATCTTCTTGTGACCTTCCGTCTGAGTCTTTCTTGCGCAAACGACGTAATTCTTACCTTAAACCTTGGTAATTAAACCCAAACATATCTAACACATTAAAAAATGCCAACGCTTTATCTAAAATGTATAAATTGTTATAGAAGTGATTTATGTTATGTTACGATTGTATGTTACGAACATAACAAGTAGGTAGGCAGAGCGTTAGGAGAATGAGCTACTGTGTTGATGATACCTTTTATGTAGTAGTCATAGAGTGGACGGAGACGGTTACAAGTTTGATATGTCATGAAGTGTAAAATATGCATCTAGAGCAAGAACAAGATACGTCTGATAATATGGGAAAATAGAGTATAGAGAAATTTTTAAGAAATAAAAATAGAAAAAAATAGAAATTTTAGAAGAAATAGAGTATTTTTTACGCCTTAGAAAATAGTTTATATGGTCTCATTGTTGTTGGATTGTCATCGCGCTGAATCCGTTAGCTAGGCATTTTTGCTGTCGGATACTGTTGAAGTGTAACACTTATTCTGTCGACCAGATTTCTACATAGCAACGCCATTCATCGTTGATTGTCGGCTCAGGTGTGCCACCTGTACGATAACAGGTACTTACAAACTCAATGTGTTGAATTTTCGAACGGCTTAAACGATTTCAATAAAAACGTGCTCGATTGTGCTTATCGTTCATTCTTTCCGTCTACTTGCTAGCACATGGCCTTCAGAGGCGTATCTTGTGAATCCTTAACTACAAAGTGAGGGCCGGAATGTTTTTTGTGATCTCCATTACATTCTCTAAACTCTCTGAGTTGTTCCTTTCCTTCCTTAATTAATACTTGCATTAAGTTGTTCATCGTGTTGACTTCAACTCAGGTGAACATTTCTGGAATATTCATAGAAATTCATTTTGTTGAGCATGCATAGATTGTCAGGAAACTCCTTTTCTAATAAACTTCTTTCCCTGTAGGGTCAATAGACCAAAATATCTTTCCAAAAATGATTTAAAAATCGACCAGCGTTCATAGTGCCTGAGTAATCGCTTCCAGTCTTCCTTTTTCACCATTCACATCTTCAAACTTCAGTTTCCGTACAGGTCTTTCTATGATAGTTTATTTCACTTTGGTGAAACATCACTATATCGAACTTTCCATTTATAATGCTGATACATTTTAAAACGCTCCATGGCCGTATGGACTATGTCGTATTCAATCTTTTACTATTATAGTAATTCTTCATTCAATGCTTTGTTTCTAAGGAATTACTAGAGAAAAAGTCTCTTTGGTGACACGCAGTGGCCAACGAATGTGGGGTTGCCGAAATGGAAGAGCTTTACGTTGCGGATTTCAAGCTCCGCGTTGGATGTTACTGTTGACTGAGGATAGTCGCTCCTCACATTCTTAGCTTATCCTATCATGATATCCAGATACACCTGATCCTTAAGAATTTTAGGCGAGTGTTCGCGTTCTTGGTATGGATATTAACTCCTCTAACCTTTTCACCATTGTATGTTGTAAGTAGGTTCTTTTGCGTGGTAGTAAGTGGTGTGGAACCTTCTCGCTAGTTCGGTAGTTCGTTGGTTTCTAGGTTTGATGGTGTCACGCTTCATCTTTTTTCCATGTTGAATAAATACTAATTCATGTTCAAGGGTGCGTGTGGCGCAGTTGTTGTAGGCCTCACTGCGACACACACGTGTAATCGATTCTCGTGCTCATGGTCCACCAAGCCTTCCATCCTTCAGGGGTCGGCAAATTGGTACCAGACTTGTCTGGGAGGATAGCAGCACTGGCTCGATACATCAGTAGCCCACCGCGAGTCATTGTAAAGGCTAGATATGCATTCAGTCACCTCCAAACGATGCTTAATGAAGTCGAATGCAAGGCATATCCCCTAGGAATTGATCAACTTCGAGAGCTTTACCCTTTATCCTTTTAATTAATGGTTACTATGGCATATCGTCATCCTGGTTTTTCCAGACTTTTGAAAGATAATGATGTTTTGGCAAACCTTCCATGCTACTCCTATACACCTCACCTCTCCCCCTTTCAGCTTAGAAGTAAGTTCGTGCTAGCGAGAATGAGGTCCTTTGTCCCTAATACATTCGAGAGAGAGAGAGAGAGTCATGATAGCTTGTTGGGATTTCTCCATGTACGTGTAATAGTTAATCATTGGAAACAACTCTGAAACATGTCCCGTTTATTCCTAACTACTCGAGCACAGAATTTTGATCGCGCCCAAAAGCACGATTCCATTTACGTAAGGCACTGCACAATCCAATCGTATCAAGAAAGATGACTCAAGCCTAACTAAACCGCGTTTCAAGACGGATTATAATCACAAAAATGCCGAGATATAAGCAAAACGCGGAATCTCACTTGGGCATCAAACCCGCACTTACCCTTACTGGGCGCTCACGTGCTATTTACCGTACCAACCGAGGGCTTTGTTGTTCCTTTCTTTCATTCACATGAAAAGGAGGAATAGCCAGTAAATAAAAGTTAAGACACGTATCAAAGTTGGTGTGCTCTGGTCAGTGCTCAACACCTTAGCATCTATAGGTTCGTGGCTAATCGGTTGGAGATTCTTTATAGGAGACAGACCCGTAGAGGCTTATTTATAGGTACACTTACATGGGGGTGCTTACAGAGCAGTTATCGGAGGAGCACTGCAATACACGTGGGGTCGATCCCCGCACCCTAGGCTCACCAAGCTTTCCATCCACTGGAGTAGGCCAATTGGTACCAGACTTGTCTGGGGGGATAGCAGCACTGGCTCGATATATCGGTAGGCCCCGCGAGTCGTAATGACCAAATATGCCTTCAATCGCCTTTAGCGATGCTTAATGTAGTCGAATGCATGGCGCATTCCTCAAGGACTGATCAACGCCAGGAGTCTTATGCTTTACTTCACTTATATGCATGCGTATGCGCTATATATATACATATATATATATATATATATATATATATATATATATATATATAAATGGTTTATCTATGCTATGTATTATAATGAATTAATATATGCATATGCATATATATATGTGATTGCCAAATATATATATGTATATACACATGCGTTTTTTTTATTATTGTTCCTACTTCATTGTTTTCGTGTTCTTTACCAAGTGATGCTTCAAAAGTGCTTCATTGTCGTATATACCTGTGAGTGTTTTAGTGATTGTATTGCGTTCTAGATCAGAAGTGCAGTTGTATTCGATGCGGAAGATCTTGAGAGGATCAATTTCAATTACGAAGTATTCGACCACGGCAAGTCTATTTAATGTTTTAGTCTGTATATATGTAAAATAGCAGAATGCCGTATTATATGGTGCCGTAGAATTTTTGTCGGTTCAATAACTGTCTTTGTTGTCAGGATCTCCTCAGAAAGTTGCCTCTTGTCATGGAAGTGTCACCGTTGTCGACGTAAATGACAACGGACCGATATTTGAACGGTTTGTGTACACGGTGAAGGTGGATGTAAGCGATATGTCGGGAAGTCGTAAGCTGATCACTGTAAAGGCTCATGACAATGATCGTACTGCGACACTCACCTATAAACTTCTGAACTACTTACACTTGTTCGAGGTGAGCTGTCCTTATGCTCCTATGTTACTGCACACTGTTCTGTACACTGAAGTGTTGCGTTAGTTGTGGACGAAATTTGTCTCGCATAGCCCACCTAGGTCTTCTGTCCAACCTGCGCAGTTTGGATAGAAGTCGTCTAGCAACATACTAACATTTATGGTGAGATATGAGCTAGTTGACAGATGGGGTACTTATTTTGAGCACAGAATGTTTTTTAACATGAATGTGTGGTGTTTTGCCTATATCATTTCCGCAAGCCTACGGCTTGAAATTCGCTGTGAATACTTGGTATTTATTGATGAGATTTTTTTTAAAAGTATGGAATGCCTTCTTCGTTTCTGAGCAGCTTGGACGGAACGTGGTTGAGATGCAATTTGCTTCACCTAACAACTCGCTCTTACGTGGCGAGGACATTGTCGACTGGCACTCATTCTCTCTCCTGTAGCTAAGGCAGTGACTAATGCTTATAAGCGAGTCTATGCGAGAATTCATCTCAATAAATAGAAAACTGGAAATGGTAAATAGATAGTTTCCGAAGATCGAAGAATTCGAATATCCCTTTCCCTACTGCACCAAGGATTGTAACTCTTCAGTTCGTCATTTTATTTAAAGAGTAGTATATTTTATTATTACATACCCCTTTGGATTGAATAAAAAGGTTAAGGTTATGATTATAACTATAGCTTCAGCTTAACTAGGTTCAATGCCGATTTGGGCTCTCCAGATCAATCCCGTTGACGGGTGATTGCTGATGGCAAGTGATCGATAGAACTAGCTGAGAGACAGGCAAAACGAATGGCGCGCATGGTGTGGTGGTGAACGTGTTACTCCCCGGAAAGGACAATAATGCGATCGTTCCCCACCGCAGACACCTGCGGTATGGCATTTTGCAAATATCTCAGCATTATAGTGGTTATATTTCGTAACGTGCCGTGCCATTAAAAAGAATAGGCAGTAAATAAAAAGGTTAAGATGGTAAATGGATAGTTTCCGAAGACCAAAGAATTTGAGTATCCCTTTCCTCTCTGCACCAAGGATTGTAACTCTTCTGTTTGTCATTTTATTTAAACAGTAATATATTCTATTATGGGGTGTGTGTGTGTGGCGCAGTGATTGGAGGCGCTACACCGACACACACGTGGAATCGATCTCTGCGCCCATGGCCTATCAAGCCTTCCATCGCACTGGGGTCGGCAAAATGGTACATGATAGCGGCACTGGCCCGATATATCGGCAGGTCAGCTCGAGCCATTGTAAAGGCCAGATATGCATTCAATCACCTCCAGCGATACTTAACGAAGTCGAATGCATGGCGCATCCCTCAGGGATTGATCAACGCCGAGAGTTTTATCCTTTATCCTTTATACTCTATTATTATTCAGTTTAAGGTCTATGGCTTTATGGAATGGAACATTTTTCACTTATCCTCCTTGGTTTAACTAACTACTTGAGTCGACCTAACTACTTTTAGATAATTATAGATAGACCCGATGTCCGGGGTGCTTTCACGAAGAGGGCGATTGCGACCAGATTCTCGATTCAACATCTCTATCGCTGCCATTGACGAGGATAAAGAAATGGCTTATTGTCTGCTCATTGTGAGGACGAGCTCAGATAAGAATGGTCACCCATTCTTCGATAAAACGCTTCCCTTTAGGTTCGTTCATTTTTACAGGCGTTTTACGTTAGTTTAATCACCTCTCTTGTCTACCTCGATGAATCAAGAACTTGTCGCGAAACTTTTTCTCTGAACCGTATTTAATTTTTACATCACTGTCTCAATTTGACTGTATTCTACTACAGTGTTTGCGAACAAAGAATCTACATCTCATTTTCTCCAGAATTCCTCAAGACACGATGCCTGGTTCACTTATCGGAAAGATTCGGGCAGTGTCTGGATCTCACACAGTGCAATATCGTTCCTCCGACTTGCGATTTGACATCGATACGTGGGGGAATGTGATCCTAGCAGATCGGCTTGATTCTTCTGACACATTTGATTTCCTTGTAACGGCTTCAACAGCATTTACAAACTCGACTATGGTGCAGAAAGTAGAGATTGATAGGCGAGCTGATCGAATGGAAGAACAAACGTTCCTAATGAAGGTAAGTACTTCTATCGAGTTCATTGCTATCTATTTAACTTTTGTTTAAATTCCCATGACCGACTTTCTTTTAACCTCGGTATTGATTGATAATTCGATGTTTTTCTTCAATAAGCAGACACAAGGTTGTTATTATAGGATTTATTAGGATACAATAGCTGACGTTTCGGCGGTTTCGCCTTCTTCAGAGCCTCGAAAGGTTAAATTGAGATGCGATCTACCCAGCCAAACACTTTCATAACCCAGCAGATAAAACTTAACAAATAAATTTGTATTCGCATAAGAAAACAAAAAAGCTTCATTCAAACACTTACCGTTTATTTGTTGTAAGTATTCAAATTAGTTGATGGATAGCTGCCGCACAGAGTAATTCATGGGCGATAACTGTGTCTGTGTCAGGTCATTGGATTAGCCTGAGGTATGGCGCCAGGTTACGCGTGATGACAAGACACTCCTCCTTGAGGTTCACTTTTGAATTTTTGGAGTTGATCCAAAACGCTTCAAGAGTTTTACGCACTGATGTTTTCGATTCCTGCATGGGTGTAGTGGCTCCCACTTCAAAATCTTCTCCGTTGTGTTCCTGGACGCGCCTAGTGGAGTGTTTGATTTTAATTTAGATTTACCGACTAGGTGTTCTTTTATGCGGACGCAGAGCGGTTTACCCGTTTCGCCAACACAGATAGACTGTACCCGAGCTCATTCAATCACTGTCTCTACCATTTGAGCAAATTATGCAGTTTTTTGTTTTACATAGACGGTCGTATGGGCGGTTGCGAACTAGCTGGCATCGTAAAGTTTCCGATAGTGTTTCTATCACTCTTACGGAATTCTCTAAACCGGCCCTTATTAAGGAACGTTTTATAGCTGCACTTATTTCGTTTGAAATAAAGGGCAAGAGGAACGGAGCCTTGTTTACGCTAGAATTATCGCTCTGGGGCGTCGTTTTTCCTCTATGCCTGTGCCGAGAAGCTGCAGTTTCGTAACCATTCGAAGTGGCTATTCGATGCGCCAGTTTCGTGGATTCTTCCCTCTGCTTTCTACCTGTGCACACGCTGGTGGCGGTTCGAAACATATTTCTTATAAGCCCCTTGTGAGGGATGAGAGGAGAGGTAATGAACCACTATATTATTACTGCTTGGCTTTCGATAGCATTTTATGATGTAGTCGCTTTCGGATAGGTTCACTTGAACGTTTAGAAATGTAAGCCAGTTTTTTTTTCGGTTTCTCACGGGTGAATTTTATGTACTCTTACTATTCGTTCAATAACTCAAAACATTTGTCCATCTCCTCTTGTGTGGAGCAGATGATAGAACAATCATCTATACATCTACGGCAAGGGTTGGTGCCAGTTGCTGTACCATTGCCAACCCTTTAATTTGCGCGTAATATTTCCCGGACCATCTGAAGATCGAGTAGTTTAAACAGACCTTTAAGAAGACCATAAGCTGCTGAATAGAAAAGCCATACATGTTAATTGCTCCTTCGTGTTGCTCAAGAAGCTCGCGGTTGGCTTGCATTGCGGAGTCGTTCGACACGTTAGTGTAAAGAGCGGTAACGTTGAAGGACTCCATAACGTACGAGCTTTTGGGCCGTGCGTTGCGCAGACGGTCTAGGAACATTTGGGAGTTCGTGAGGTGATCTGGTATGTGCTTAAAAAACTATCCGTAGACCCGTCTACATAACCGATGATGGGTCTAACTTTAAAGGTGGAGGGGTCGGTAGACGCCAGATCATCAGGAGATATTAACTTATGGGTTTTGATAAGTAAGTATAAGACGGGACATGTCGGACTTCGATCTTACGATGCGAAACCTCTGCCGGTTTTAAACGTGCTGCGCTTGCCATTTTGACCCATTCATTGTTCACCATCTATGTATAACGAAAAACTGCATAATTTACCTTGACGGTAGAGACGATGATTGTATGAGTTTGGATACAGTCTATCTGATCACTTGTAAAGCGTGCGGGCACGAATATGTTGGCGAAACGGGTAGACCGCTCTGCGTCCGCATAAAAGAACACCTAGTCGGTAAATCTAAATTAAAATCAAACACTCCACTAGGCGCGCATAGGACGCAGGAATACAACGGAGAAGATTTTGAAGTGGGAGCCACTACCCCCATGCAGGAATCGAAAACATCAGTGCGTAAAACTCTTGAAGCGTTTTGGATCAACTCCAAAAATTCAAAAGTGAACCTCAAGGAGGAGTGTCTTGTCATCACGCGTAACCTGGCGCCATACCTCAGGCTAATCCAATGACCTGACAGAGGCACAGTCCTCGTCCATGTATTACTATGCGGCTGCTGTCCACCAACTAACTTGAATACTTACAACAAATAAACGGTAAGTGTTTGAATGAAGCTTTTCTGTTTTCTTATGCGAATACAAATTTATTCGTTAAGTTTTATCCGCTAGGGTTATGAAAGTGTTTGGCTGGGTAGATCGCATCTCAATTCGACCTTTCGAGGCTCTGAAGAAGGCGAAACCGCCGAAACGTCAGCTATTGTATCCTAATAAATCCTATAATAACAACCTTGTGTCTGCTTATTGAAGAAAAACATCGAATTATCAATCAATACCGAGGTTAAAAGAAAGTCGGTCATGGGAATTTAAACAAAAGTTAAATAGATAGCAATGAACTCGATAGAAGTACTTACCTTCATTAGGAACGTTTGTTCTTCCANGCGAATACAAATTTATTTGTTAAGTTTTATCTGCTGGGTTATGAAAGTGTTTGGCTGGGTAGATCGCATCTCAATTTAACCTTTCGAGGCTCTGAAGAAGGCGAAACCGCCGAAACGTCAGCTATTGTATCCTAATAAATCCTATAATAACAACCTTGTGTCTGCTTATTGAAGAAAAACATCGAATTTCGTTTAAATACTGCCAATAGAATTACAAACAGACAAAGACTATGAAAAATAAGCACGTCTAGTTGGTTCATTACTTGACACTTGGATGGACAGACCTCACTTGTTGTGTGGGTTCCGGCATAATCTCCATTTTACGGAAATTTGCTGGCTAAGCCATTGTGGTTTTCTGGAATCCTAATGTCAGCCTGGCCAAAGTTTGACGCAGGTCTTCACCACCATGGGCAGTCACAGTCCTTGTGGATCAGAAGGAGATTTACCGCAATGCTACTAATTTGATACCAGGATGGTGGTGGACGTTGGTATTGGTTTGCTCTTAGATAGGTTTCCTGATGGAAACACCGGATTCGTTCTCAGCTTGGGATGAATCCCCCGGCTGTACATCGCAGCCCGACACCCAGGAACACCTCCCAGCTACGATAAGGCCGCAAACCGTTGGGAGGAGCTGGTTCATTAGAAGGAAATAACAACTATGATGAATATCAATGGGTTGAAAAGGAACCCTGTACAACAGGAAGAGATGAGAACGCCATTCATCTTTTTATCATTTTCAAATATGACCCTAGAAGTATATATCGTTCTTCCAGAAGTTGTTTTCAAAATCGGAGCATTTTTTCCCACAAGAATGTCCGCACTGATAGCAGTCTAACGACCTTTCTCAGCATCAGCGTCATACTGACATTTCGACAGGTTCCGCTTTCCCAACCACCAAAAAAGAGCATATCTTGTTGTTACAGTAGAACCTGACCAATTTCCTGTAGGAATTTTTTGCCAAAAAGAAAGAGCAAAAACAGAGGGTCTCTCATTCACTAACTCTGAAGTAGTTTTCGGAAAGCCATCTGAATATTAGAGCCATTAAATAAAGGATAATGCTCTCGGCGTGGTTCTATCCCTGAGGGATGCGCCATGCATTCGACTTACTTACGCATTGATTGGAGGTGATTGAATGCATATGAATGACCTCTACAATGACTCGCGGTAGTCTACCGATGTATCGAGCCAGTGCTGCTATCCTTCCAGACAAGTCTGGTTTCAATTTAACGACCCCGGAGGGATGGAAGGCTCTGTGGGCCATAGGCTCGGAGATCGATTCCACGTGTGCCGCAGTGGCGTCTCCAACCACTGCGCCACACGCGCGCTTAGAGCCATTAGAGCCATTGCAGCATAAAATTTGGGTAAACCATAGCGAAGATATGTGTTCATGTATCTAGTGATGTAGGCTAAGAAGATTAAATGCGACATCGTTATGGAGCCAGGGACCAAAAGAAGCTTCTTACTAGAGACAGTTTGTTATCGGAGAAGAACCACTCTTCCAAAAATATGATCGTGCAAGAGTCTATGGCATGAATGCTATCGTCAACCCAGACTTGGCTATGAGCGTTACTTTTGCTGGACAACTAGTGATCCAAAATACTAAACTCCGAATGAAAAAATGTGGAGCAATGCCGACTTTGAGAGCCTTCCAACACGCCAACATCAAACTACAACAGAAATTAAATTGAGGCGTTTCATATGGAGAAAGAGCTCAGCAGAAAGAATCGTACTTATTGCAGTGTTACCACCAATTACATCGTCATTAGGATTGGGCCTAAGCGAATGTCTGAAAACTGAACAGATCAAAATTAAGTGTGGAGCTGACTGAATTTGCCATGATGACAAACAACCTATGGTAGTTTACAACGCTCGAAACCTTTCCTTCGACAATGCATCTAGGATCCCTCAGTAGTTCAGATTCTGTCAGTAGAATTTCAGCAATCGCTTTTTTCACATGACAGTTTTTACTTTTGAAAAAGGAAAAAGAAAAAAGAGAATTTAGAATTTCAAAGAACGAAGGCCCAATCCCATCACCGAAATCGGATTTCTTTGCTTATTAGGTAGGTTTAGAAAGATACCGTTTCCCAATATCGATAGAGAACACTCACACAGCATATTTTCGATAGTACTAAAGAAGGCGGAGTCTATAAATTGCCATGGGACTTCTCTACCAGGTACTCCAACTGATGCACCATTATGGAGCCAGACGGGTGCTGGTAGTCACTAATTTATTGCGACACCGCGTAGCTCTGAAGAAGAGTGTTGAAAGGATAACTTAAGGAGCTAGAAGCAGTAACACTGGCGGGAGTTGACAGATTGGCTGGAGTATACGCAGTATTCATCAGAACATCGTTATTAACCGTATTAATATGACCACTCTTTTACACCTTGAAGAAATTGTTAAACACGAAGGTTGTTGATCTATGGCTACGATCGATAATCCGGTCCATATGCTTCCATATCACATCAGTAGGAACGAATATGTCTGGGTCAGCGTTTCTTTCTTCTTCTAATGTCTGGCATGATCTTTCTTCGTTGAAGAACAGTATTGCCGACGATCACGATTGACTCAGAGAAGTTTATGAGAACAGCCTATCATCAGTCAATGGCTGATTCTTCACATGATATGGACAGCGTTTCGGAAAATATAAATACAAGTACTGCGCGCAGAAGCCACTGCACAATTTGGCATGGGATGGAAACAAATTTTAAAGGATTGAAAAGAGGGTAGCATTTGCTGGCACTTGCTCGAGCCTCTCCACTACGAACAAGAGGAAGACAGCTGGTGCATGCGATCATGAACACCGTTGTGACCATTGACTTGACTTGCATTTCGAAGGATTCAGGCACATGTTGGCAATAAAAATAGTAGTGAATAAAGCTCTCGGCGTCGATCACTCTTCGAGGGATGCGCCATACATTCAACGTCACTAAGCATCGTTAGAGGTGATTGAATTCATACTTAGGCAATATAATGACTCGAGATAACCTACCGATTTATCGAGTCAGCGTTGTTATCCTCCCAGACAACTCTGGTACCAATGTACCGTCTCCGAGGGTATAGAAGGCTTGCCGAGCGTAGAGCGCGGGATCGAGCCTACGTGTATTACATGGTGCCTCTAACCATTGCGCCCTACGTGTATATTATTAATATATAAATTGTGCTGACTACAGAATAATGTAGTTGTCGAACCAGTCATTAGTTTTTAAAAACCATGGGCTAAAATGAGATTTCAAAGGTGTGAAAGAGGATTGCAGAATGCATTGTAAAATTTCCATGTTTTTGGTATTAGCCTTGTGAATAAAACAAGCTGAAACGATTTCTTTAGTCATTTATCAAACTAATGCTTAAATCTGTGAAAAAATCTGTTAAGAAGAGAGGTTATGTTTACAGCCGCTGTAAATGGAAATCCAGTAGTCAACCACAGTGGCACGCCACCATTGGCCCTACAAATGGATTAACTTGATAAGCATCCTAAATATTGACATTGATGCAGATTGTTAAAGGGAAACTAGGAATTATAGGCACAGCTACTCTCGTTTAGACTGACCTTCTTCGTTCCACGAAAACAAGTGAAGTTGAAAGTGGGCGCTTGGAGTTCTGGATTCGAGAGAATGCTCCACATGGAAGGGTGGTAGGGCAAGCACCTACCTCTAAAGGCGGTAAAGGTTTCCATTTATCTTTATGTGCTTGTGTTTATTCATAGCAAAACTTCAAAGTTTTTATTCTTGCCCAAAAAATAATTTCTTATGTTTCCGAAAAGCGAGTAATGGACCAAGCGTGGGGTGCTGGTCAATCTCTCCGGGATTGGTCATCGGATCGATTTTATTGAGCAATGAAGACGTGATTAATTAAATATTTTTTTCATATAGTGACTTGCAGTGCCCTATAGATGTTTCAAATCATTGTTTATATCCTCTCAGACAAAGAATTGAGGGCTTAGTGAGCCCGGAACCGTGGTCCAATCAGCGATCGATCCAGGATAGCTGCAACTACGCGCTGTTTGTTGTTGCTATGTTCAAAATTTTCAGAGAACCCATCTTAGCAGTTGCTTGCCTACCACTCATGCTAGATCAATACTTGAATATAGCACTTTTTATGCTCACAAGAGATCTCAAAGGCAATTCCTCATTATTGAAACATACTTAGCCAGGAGGAATCACTCTACTAGCGAGTCAAATCGTCAAAAATATTAGCAGGTTATTCCACTCTGAACTCTTTTTTGGACAACTTCTAAGCAAAATGCCCAATTATAGATGTATTTTGAGGCTTTAATCTTTTCCTTAGCTCTGTGTTAACGTCCATTTAAAACTTCGCATCATATAGACTACTTAGCAACCATCCCGGAACACTGCGCTATTGGGCCAATGACTGGTAGACAATTCACAATTGACGTCATTTATGGTTGTTGACAGCAATGTAACACGGCATTTAGGTATTGATGTTTCGACTTCGATCACCTATTCAATTATTGGCGACATCGGGCTGTCGATTGACAAACGGACAGGTGTAATCAAAACCGATACAGTGTTCGACCATGAGATGGTGGGTATCTCAAAACGTTTGCTTATAGTAGTTTAACACTTTACTCCATACAGAACAGTTCCATTACTAAAATCGGTGCAAAAGTGATCTATTCAGGCCTGGGGAAATTAGAAATTCGCCGACGTGTTAGTTAGAATCGAATAAATATTGTATAGAAAGCAGATGGCGGTCATGCACAAGTGGTAAAATTCTGTAACTGGTAGTGCCCTCGATCGACCTTCTGTTAACCTCAGCATTGATGAAATAATCGTCTATAGTCCTCTAGAGAAGATACGACGTGTTACTTCATTGTTTAATCCTGTAAAGCTGACGTTTCGGCAGTATCGTGTTTTCCAGAGCCTGGAAGGGTATATTATTATCCAATTTGTTACACCAAACGTTTTGATAACACCTATAGAAAGATGAAAATCTGAATGGTAATAACATAATCAACAGCTTGTCGAAAAACTCACCATTTTCACATGTCTTCCACTGAGGAGAAACCGCCGATCAGGGTCGAAAATGGTCTACTTCTTGAGGCTTTTTTGATAAATGCACCACCCCACATCAGAAATCGATGCGAACGTACAGGGCGAGATCGCGGGCTACCTTTGGGCATTCTTCCCTGCTATTCATTGTAGGGCTCTTGGCATTTATCCGAAAAGCCTCAAGAAGTTTCGACACTGGGCATGCTCTGCAAGAATAATGACTTTTATATCAAAATCATCGCCGCTATGCTTTCTATGCGCCCCTAGCGGAGTACTTTGTCCTGTTTTTCGTTTGCCATCCGGGTGTTCTTTTATCGACGAAGAGTATCCAATAGTATTTCAATTAACTCTACCGATTCCTCTAGACCTGCCCTTTTTAAGCACCGTTTTATAACCACACTTACTTGATCACTATTAAAGAGCAACATAAACGGGGTTTTCTTTCGGCCAAGCCTTTCGTTTTGGGAAGTAGCGCTCTATAAATAGTGTTCACAACTTAGTTTACTTTCCAGCTGATTCCTTCTGAGACTTCGACCATGGCAAATGAGTTGATGCACGATATTCCATTGTGTTGGCCCAACAGAATTTTTCACTATGTCAAAAAAAAAATTCAAAACGTATCCGTCCATCTTAAACAGCATCGCATTTGATTAATACTTTTGCTATTTCCTAGTAACATCGTCGTTCGTTTCTATCTTGTAAAATAACGCACCTATGTACCCAGGACTTCCTTTCCTTCTTGCAGATATTGCGCCGACGTAACGCTCGTAGCGTTGTCACCAAGGGGAAACCGCGCTGAGGGCAGTATAATTTGTAAATATGCGCTATCTGTCAAAGTAGCAGGCAAAAGAGAAATGTGATTAGTGAGTTTTCTCGAGTCTTTTTCAGAAAGAGCTTTATTCCTTCAAAATAAGAGCGACGTTTTCGTCTGGAGAATTCGTCGACCGAGAAGCTTTGTTAGTAATCGACGACGAGAACGACAACATTCCACGATACGACCACGACTCGTACAATATTACTATAAGTGAAGACTTAGATATCGGTGTCGAGATTCTAAGACTGAAATGGACAGACCGAGATTTTAGTGAGTTCTTGTTCAGCTGTGAGGCATTATTTTTAGTAAAAATGGGAGTTTTTGCCACTGATCAATGTCAAGATGCGTAGCTTGAATACACGTTGCAGCACTGAGCTTATAACTCTTTGTTTCTTCTCCTGTTTTGTAAGTATTGGTTATTAAGCTTTGCAGTAACATGCAAGTATGTCTGTGCATTTCTATGCAAAACTCCCATTTTCGTGTTTCCACTGCAATCCTATTCCACGGAGATAGTTGAAAAAGCAACGAAAAGCATAAGTGGATGTGTTTATATTGTCGGGCTCACACGAGGTTAATACGAGATGTTTATTCGGCTAACGTTTCGACGTCTTCGTCTTCATCAGAGGCGACCATCCTTGTCGATGATCCACAGTCGTTCCTCCTCTTGATGTAGTGTCTTCGTGGATTCCGTAGGGTGGATTATCAGTTGAAAAACAAATTGTCATCACCTGATAATCATATCAACAATAATCGCCCTGTATAAAACGGCGTCGTCGGGTGTGTTCGGCTCATTCGAGATGCTCAACTGAGGTAGATCCGGTTCGATGCGAGACGAAGACGCCACATGGAGAAGAGGAACAACTGTAGACCATCGACAAGGATCGTCGGCTCTGATGACGACGAAGACGACGAAACGTTTGCCGAATAACATCTCTTATCAACCTTGTGTAGGCTCAGCAATATAAACAAATATTGATTATTACAGCACCGAGGCTAAATGACAGTCGGTTTTCAAAATAAGTGGATAATTCCATACCATGAGCAGTAGGTACTAACAGAATTGTCTTCATTAACAAACTTCTCGGTGATTTTCGCATACGAAGAAGGGTAGGATAGGAAGTCAGATGAGTGCTGTCTTTTCAACAGGCCTGTAAAACTGTTGTGCATGGACATTCCTCAAGCAGAAGTGTTCATTATCTAATCCTTTTTTTTTTCTAGAATAAAGAGTTGCTGAAATTCCACTAAACATTATGTCACCTTTTCAACTGAATTTCCTTCCATGATTATTTAAAATATATATATTCAAATCCCTCAATTGCCCGCTAATTTTGTGCGCTTCGCAAGACTAGATTATGACGTCTTAAGTTTGTAACTTGTTCATTCTGTGCGATTTTGCACTCGTTGTACACAGTGCGTGTGCGAGAAGTGACCGACCGTTTGTATGAGAATGGACCATATACCGTGTGAGTACATGTGACAAGCGTGCAGGGTTCGTAATAGCTATCTGTCATTCAAATTTTGCAGAAATGGCTGGGGATAGTTCTCCACCAATAAGGGTCGAGATTTAGTATTAGACGACTTCGAGGCTTCCATTTTAAATTTCTGGGTGGTCGACTCCATTCTTTATGGCCTTTCCGAAACTTAGCAAGGGTATTGACGAGACGTTATGTTTATTAAGATTCAATATGTTCGAATCTTTTTTGTAGCCATCCGATGTTCAGCACATTTGTCTTTTATTTTCTTCTAATGAGTATGCAACAAAATGATCGGCCACGAATGAAGTTCCGCATAATTTCCTCTCTAATTAAACTGACAGGTGCGTGTGACGCAGTGATTGGAGGCGCCCTGCAACACACACGTGGAATCGGTCATCGCGACCGCCCACCAAGCCTTCCATCCCTCCGGGGTCTGCACATTGGTACCAGACTTGTCTGGGAAGATAGCAGCACTGGCTCGATACATTGGCAGGCTACCGCGAGTGATTGTAAAGGCCGGATGTGCATTCAATCACCTCCAACGTTACTTAATGGAGTCGAATGCATGGTGCATCCCCCAGGGATTGATCAACGCCGAGAACTCTTTTTTAAATTAAACTGACAAGAAGTTGATATAAAACTTTTACTCGGCTAACGTTTTTGCGCTTTCGCCTTCAGCTTAATCAATTAGAAAATCACTAATTGATTTTACCAAGGTTTAACGAAAGCTGATTCTTAAGATGTATCGCACAGTTGGTGACTATGTCTGAAATCGGTTCACCTCATTGTTGAAGTGAATGGCTTTGTAATTTATGGGTGCTATGAACTTCATCTTTTTGTGAAAAGTAAAGCGGTTATGTGCCAACTAGTTCATGACTGGCTCAACTACATAGACAATTGAACCATTTTGTGGTTTGAACAGGACGATTGGCGCACCAATTAGAGGTACCTTACAGCATACACGTTGTTGGTTCGATTCTGTGTCAAGGGCTTATCAAACTCCGCTTTCCTCCGGATTTAGGAAATTTGAGCTAATACGACAAAAACTCTGACTGAGTACATCATTAAGCCCCCGGAAATCATTGTATGGTCTAGATATGCATTCAGTCATTTTCAGCGTACTCGTTTTAGTCAAATGCATTACTCCTCTTTCAATGATTGGTCAACTCTGGACGCTTGGTTGCTTTTATTGTATGGCAGCCATTATAATATATTTCTACTTTCAGACAATGCGTTTCATCTTTCAATTGTGGACGGCAATGAGCTTGGCAATTTTGAAGTGGACCATAATGGAAGAATTACGGTAAGACTAACTTCTATTCCAACGTCTGTACGACACCTCTTTATAGTGTTTTCACAGAACCACAGCATGAGCATTGTTCTAAAACATACATAAAGATACTTTACTAATTTTTAAGTGTATTTGCTTTTCATTTGCAATGGCGATTGCTACGTTGAATGATGGTCATCATCTATAGGTGGTGCATCGGTTGGATCGGGAACGTGAGGCGATGCATCGTCTCGTGGTTCAACTGAGTGACGGTATCGCTCCATATCCGTGTGAGTCAGAACTTGGCCCTCATCCTTGATTTTGAAACTCCTAGTTTCTACAGGAGTGAAATGGATTTCTTTAGCAGTCAAAAGTGATTTTTTATTGAATGGTTGAGATCCATGAGTGACAGCTGTTTTATGTTAGTCGAAAAATGACGAAGCTCTTTAGAACAGGAGTCACTTTTCTACCTTGAACATTGTGCGGGTAATACACAGTCAATATGATGAAGAATATTTTTGGGTTCTATGAACAGATATTTTTTTCTTATAGACAGATAAGGAGACCTTTTGAAGTCAGCATTACCGTAGAGTAGCGCATACTCTTTGAGGGGTGGTTCTTACCATCCTGAGCTTATTATTTCTCATGTAAGCAACAAGAGCGCTAACCCCTTCTTCACTCGGCGAAGTTGCATTTGCTGTGAGAAAAGCCAAGTGGCTTCTATACAAATACTTGTCACCTAACGGCCAATACGTTGGCTTCCTTTCAGGTAAACTCTTCCAGAAGTGAGTGTATTCAAAACGTTGTGTTGATTTTAGTGCCACGCTTTTTCAAATTTTCCCACGACGTTGCAATTCATGTGTAATAGCAACTACTGCTGTCATTTTTTAAAAAACTCTTATTATCAATTTTAGACCACACGACAGATTGTGTTGTTATGGTGAGCATACTGGACGTGAATGATAACTATCCGGTCTTCGTATCACCGACACAGTTCCAGGTGGAGGAGAATAGTCCCTTCATGAGAACCGTCGGTAAGTCTGCTATTCCAGCAATAGGTATGATCGCTTTGATACCATATTATTTGCTTACTTACTTACTTGATACTTGAATGACCTGTCCTCACTGGATGTGTGGGCTCCGACACAACCTCACTTTTCGAAGATTTGCTGATTAAGCCATTGTGGCTCCCTGGAATCCCAGGGTCAACCTGGCCAAAGTCAGCCCCAGGTCTTCACCACCACAGGCAGTCGCAGTCCTTGTGGATCAGAAGAAGATTTTCCACGATGCGACTTTGATACCATGACGGTGGCGGATCCTGTTATTGATTTACTTTTAGCTAGGCTTGTGATGGGAACGCCGGACTCCTCAGTTTCGGAGACCTGTCCTCCCTGTACATCGCAGTCCGACACCCAGGAACACCTCCCAGACACGATGAGGCGGTAAACCGTTGAGAGGATTCCATACTTCTCATCGATATTATCATTTTTGGAATGCACTGGCTTTTTGTGTGCTAAATGTATGGTGTTGGCTCAACGTAGACTATATTTCATGAGTAATACTGTTTCAGGGAGGGTAAAGGCAGTCGATAAGGACGAGGGCCGCAATGCTATGGTATCCTATCGTATTTTACCTGAATCACTACCGCGAGCCGAGTTTATCATCGATGCTGTAAGCGGAGAAATTCTTGTAGGTTATTAACTTCTTATTTGTGTACGTGAGTGGCTTGTTTTCGTCAGTTGCGAGCTCAAGCATACTTTTTCCTCTTTTCTGTCTCTTTTCGTCGTCATTCATTGTGGTGCTTCGAGTACGAATGCGCCTTCGAGCATCATTCTGCGATCTGTGAAGCATCTGTCGCTGAAAATGCGGACTAATCTTAGTTACAAACACTTCGTGGCACTACAAGTGAAGGAGAGTTTCATTAACCGGCCAGTCCACTCTAGTGTTTTTCTCTCCTTTGCCGTCAACTCTTCTCATTGCACTAGTTAAGATGTCAACTCAATTCACAATCGCATTGTAGGACGCCGAGAGCATCGCCAAATCAAGAGAATAGGCACACAATATTGAATCACTTAGATAACCATTGGTTTTTCCAAGAGGGTCGAACGTCCGGCGTCCTTCACACTTCAAATTTGACAAGAATTTATCGTCAATTCCTATGCTGTTCTGGTCGGAGTAAAACTGGATTTCACCAGGATTTTAAACTAGGGGTCGCCACAACCAGTTCTGCAATTGAAACATTTGTAACCTTTAAATAAAACAACAACTGTTTGATCTAAATACAAAATTCCAAAAATTTTTTGGCAGGTCAACAAACCACTGGACTATGAGAAAAGTCAGAATTACACATTCACCGTATCTGCGATGGATTACGGTACACCGCAGCTATGGACGTTGCAGGAGGTTACGATCTTCGTTACAGACATGAATGACCATGCACCTATTCTGCGCAGTAAAAACGATATCATTGTCATAGACGAGGTACCTTGAAGATTTCTTTTTACGCAATATCTCTTCGGAGCCTTAAGAATTTTTATCAATAACAATTCAATAATGGATGCGAGGCTCTGAAGAATATTCTGATTCTTAGCAGGGCTCTGATAATTAATTAGGTTGGTGATGACGTTGTTCAGATTGCTGCTGTTGGCACGTCTCTATTACAATTCAGTACTGAGGACTTGGACAGTGTTAGTTTATTCTGTCATTTCTATTTTATTTCAATGCTGTTTCTCTGTTATTCTTGTGTACCGATTCTTTCCTTTATATAAAGTCTATAGTCCATTTCTGATGGAATCGTATTAGTCCATTTCTAATAGAATCGTGTCGACCACTGAATACGCTAGTAGGAAAGTTGAAGAGTTTATGTCATCGCCCATATTTTGCTATTCGACTGACATACCTTGTCAACTTTGGCTCACCCTTGAAAATCACTACCTCGAAAATACCTGTGCTTACTAAGCATGCTCTAGTGTAGGGAATATAATGTTCCAATTTTAGAACTGCTGCACTGGTTGGGTTTCGAACCATTGTGCTTCAGTATACTTCAATCCTTACCTTTTGTAAACCGGTCTAATTTGCGTCGCACTCAGTAATTTAGTTATTCAATGCTAATGAAATGTAATTTTGCATCACATTGTACTACTGTGGCAATATTCTTCAGCTGGAGAACGCGATCAGTATCTATGCGATAGAGGAAGGCCACGGTCTATTTGACGTGCTGCCGATCAGTGGTCTGCTCTATCTACGTTCACCGTTGGACTACGAGACTCGTTCTGAACACAATATTACCGTATCGGCGAGAAATATTGCTGGTGGAGATACGAGCTACGCGTTAGTGTAAAACATTTCTGATCACCTTCTGTATATCACAATACAATTTATACTACTTGGCCTGATACTGATTGAAGAAGGATCCTGGTCTCGCTCGAGTGAGCGCCAATGGTGTTGAGCGCCAAAGCTCCACGACGAGCTTTGCTCACTCGTTAAAAGCAAAAAAACTGTACTTTTCTTAAAAAATCACCTATATCACCTGTTGTTCTGTTCAACGTCGAGTGACTTGAGCGGGCGCCAGTAAATTCTCCACTTCTTCTTTTCGCATGCAAGGGTAGCTCAGTGGGTTTTGCTCGCTCCAAGAACTCGTTAAGCATCATATCTTTTTTTAGCGTTTTCGTGAAGAACTATGACCATCGGCTCGGTGGTCCCCCTTTGGTGCGTTTGACATCCCGAGGAATCCAGTTACTAACGGTTTTTGTTCATCGATTGTTGTTGATACGCATTACGTGTCAGGCCCACCTTATCATCAAAGGTTTAGCGTATAAAACGGCGTCTTTCATTCCTGATTGATCGAACTTTCCGATATCTTCCTGCGTTTGCGCGATGCGGGATACACCCAGGATCGCCCTTTCGACAGTACGTTCTATAATGCTGATTGATCTTTCATCCTGCTTGCGTAGCGACCAGGTTTCTGACGCATACGTTAAAGTAGGAAGAATCAGGGAGATGAAGTGTGGACACGGAGTTGGGTGTTCTTTGTTCTCTTCACTACATCCCAGATGCTCTTGAATGCTCCTCGGGCAGCTCACCTTCTCGTGGTCAACTCTGGAGCTATATCGCTTATCGTGTTTACTTCTTTTATAACTAAATAGAAGAAACTTAAGCCTTTGGAGTTATTCATTCCTTTAAACGTGAATGTAGCATACGTAACCAATCAGTTCCTCATTAGCATAGTTTTTGTGAAATTTACTCGAAGAATGTCTTTCCACAAGCGTTAGCAAAGTCGGCTAGCATTTGTTCAACCTGGTTAATGCTTGATATTATAAAAACGATGTCATCATGAAAGCGAAAAGGGTTTAATTACCGACCATCGTTTTTCATTCCCATAGTATCCCATTCCAATGTTGGCATGACGTTCTGGAGTGTGGCGGTAAATGATTTTGGTGAGATGGTATCGCCTTGCCTAACCACTCTTTTGACGTCCATGTTGATATCATCGTAGAATGGTGATATTCTGGTTGTAAATTTTTTGTACAACTCACGAAGAATCTTTGTATGCTGAATAGGGACTCTCTGACTATCAAGGGCTTCCATAACTGCTTCTATCTCGATTGAGTCAAAGGCCTTCTTTAAATCGACGAAAGTGAGACAGAGCGATCTTTTGCAATCTTGCGATGCTTCAATGAGTCTTGTTATCGTGTGGATGTGGTCCATCGTAACAAGTCTTTTTTGGAACCCTGCTTGCTCACATAACTGCCTTCCGTCCAGTGTTCTGCCATCCCTGTTTAGGATCGAGTGAAAAGTTTGTAGACGATAGACAGCAAGCAAATTGGGCGAAAGCCACCGATATCGTGGAGGTTGCCCTTCTTTAACAGCAGCGCAGTCGACATTCCGATGTCGATATTCCACTGAATAAGAGCCTTGCCTCCTGACAGGTGACGTGTTAGGAACAGAGCCAGTACGTTTATGAGAACTGGCGGAAGGTTCTCCAGGTGTTCACATCCTATCTTATCTTGCTCGGAGCTGGTGCTGTTTAATCCTTCGCCGATAACATGTCGGATTTTAGAAGGAAAAACCGGTGAGGCAACATATACATCACAATTTTAACTCATTATTTATTGCCTACTCTTTTTAACGAAAGGGTATACATTGTGAAATATAACTTCAATAATGCTGAGATATTTGCAAAACTCTGGACCGCAGGTGTATGTGGTGGGGAACGAACGCACTATTGTCCTTTCCGGGGAATAACGCGTTCACCACCACACCACGCGGATCGTTCGTTTCGCCTGCCTCTCAGCTAGTTCTATCGATCTTTTGCCATCAGCAATCACCCATCATTGAAGTTATATTTCACAATGTATACCCTGCCGTTAAAAAGAGTAGGCAGTAAATAATAAGTTAAAATTGTGATTATAACTGCGGCCTCAGCTTAACTAGGTTCGTTGCCGATTTGGGCTCCCCAGATCAATCCCGCTGACGGGTGATTGCTGGTGGCAAAAGATCGATAGAACTAGCTGAGAGACAGGCGAAACGAAGGACACGCGTGGTATGGTGGTGAACGCGCTACTCCCCGGAAAGGACAATAGAGCGTTCGTTCCCCACCGCATACACCTGCGGTCCAGAGTTTTGCAAATATCTCAGCATCACTGAAGTTAACATATACATCCTCCTTTATTTAGTATGGCGAGACGAGGACGTTACTGTTGAAAAGGTTTGAGTAGTAATCGTGATTTTCGACATATTTTCGACATTACCCTTCTGGAAGATGTAGCTGTTCTGTCGGGGCGTCGGAGTGCAGTCACCTTGGTTTTTCAATTGGCCAAGCTTCGGTAGGCTTTGCGAAAGTTTTTCCCAGCCTCTGCAGCTTCGACCATTACTGCTGCTCTTCTCTCTTTAAGATCTTCTTTTGTTGCCTGTCTGCATTGCTTTGCAAGTTTGGACGTTAATTGGTGGTGATCTTCGGTTCGTGCGATTCCGCGCTGGCGTATCAGCTCGAGTGTTTATTGGAGATGGCTGTCTTTCAACTTTCGAACTGTCAGCTTTCATAGCGTTAGTGTAAAGATGTTAAATGAATGGATTATATTGCTCCTCGATTTTGTCAAGAATGACATCTTCCCAGCAGCCGACTAATGAACTGAATAAGTTAGAGTTTCTGTTGGCTTTAATACTTCGTTTTTTGAATTTAGCGGCTTTTCTTCTTTCTGCGAGAAATAGAATCTTGCATGGAGGAGTTGATGGTTTGGTCCTGTGTAGAATTTCAGGACAACAGCGATATCGGTTAGACAAACCTTCGGTTCACTATGATATGGTCTATGTCGTTGTGGTATTCTAAATTGGAAGCCTCCCACGTCCAGCGTTGAGGGTGGGGCTTTTGGAATTGCGAGTTACCATGGATGGTCTCGGTCGTTATGATAAAATCAGACAGCCGCTCACTCTGCTTTTTCCATTCTAATTCATGACTTTCAATGTGACGCTTTTCAGACGCTCTTCTGGGCCCAGTCATAGCGTTAAAGTCTCCAATGATGACCTTGGCAGAATGTATGGTCTTCTCTGTACAACTTCTCCAAGTCCATGTAAAACGCATCGACTCGTTCGCCATATCTTGATGCTCATGCGTGAATGACGAAGATCGTCAAAGCCGGTATTGATCCACATCTTTCCAATCGTAGATGTCTGATTCGAATTGTTAGTTGTTCGAATGAATCGAAGTTCATGGCTAAACTTGTGTTGATGAAAACCTAGACTCCACCGACTCCTCTACTACCGCAATTTCCGAGGAGCACTTCTTCTCCGGTCTCACAGACAGTACTGAATGGGCCGCTTCTTCTTGCCACAGCCAGTTCGATGACGTCGTGCCTTACGTTTCTTGCCGGATTGATCAAGTCCTGTATCGAGGACTAAAATGCAAATGTGTGTGCATTGTAGATGCAGTTGATCACCTCAGTCCTTTGAGATTTAGACGACCTAGAATGGCTCTGAGATTTATAAGCCTCTCGTACTAGTCCTACCTAACGCTGCTGTATCGGCAGTTTTTTCGGGATCATGGTAATGAGAGCCGTTTATTCTACCGTGTTTAACGTTCGGCACCCACGTATAGTTTGCTGAGCGTTAAACCTGAAGGCTAGGTATACTCATAGGTGGCTTGCCTGTATTTCCCAGAGTAGACGGGGAGCTTATTTGTTGGAGGCGACTTCTAACCGTCTAGCACCTACTTTCCTGTTACTTCATTGCAGACTTTTGGCCGAATTGAGTCGTAGAATACAAACCGCATAAACGAGAATACATGCACGCATGCATGCGTGAATGTGTCCTCGTGAACTCAAAAGGTATGTGCTAAATCGGCGCAGCGCAGAAACAGAGAGTCCATCCCGTAGATCAACCTACGTCTTAGGAAACCAAAGGCCGCTTTTAGTTCGCGATTATCCCTCTATCCTCCACTTGGGAACGCGACACGCTCCCTTGCGACAAACCGACATGAGATCTCTTTATGAAGGAGAACCCTTACCATACCCATAGAGAAAGAGGTTCGACAAGGCGATATCATGTCACCAAAGCTGTTCACAGCCGCACTGCTATTAACAATCAAGTCGCTTCACAGGGATGAGAAGTGCATACGCATTGATGGCAAATTTCTTTCAAGCCTTGGCTCCACGCCTGACACTGCCATCTTTTCAAGGATAACCAGTGGAGCAATGAGGATGCTTAATAAACTCATCGAAGCAGGAAGAAGGATTGGGCTGCGCATATATAGGAGAGAGGACCAGTTAATGGTGAACCACGCCGTGGGGCAAAGGCTAAAAAATTAAATTGGATGGTTCTTTGATTACAGAGAGCACTTTGTGCGTGTACCTGAGCAGCTCAATGAATGTGGAGAATAGCAACAAGGAGGAGCTAGGCAGAAGTCCCATCTTTGAGGTTCAAGAGAATATATATCAATAGCGAAACACAGGTAGGCAAGCCAAATAATAATAAAAACAAGTGGCATGTGGAAGAAAAGAACAGTGGAGTGGCCACCAAGGGAGTGCAAGCGTCCTCTTGAAATATCACTCAAACGATAAACGGACGTGTTCGTGGCTAAAGTCGACCGTCTGTAGCCGTAGATGAGAACTATGGAATAGGACTTACAGTCATCATGATGCTTGAATTAGGCCACCACTATGGACGACTCTAGTGCGAGGGAAAAACGAATGGACATCGAACTGGAGCACAGCACAGCCCGTAAACACAGGCCGTCAAAGCACCCAAGCAATTTGAAATGAAACATATAGCTGAAGCATTCCGTGGAATTGTTTTCCTTGAACGTGAGTGGAGGATCGGAATGGGCAACGTTTTTCGAGCATTCCATTTTCTTTGGGCTCAGTCGAAGGCTGACTTTTCAAAAATCACTCAAGAATAGCGTTCGTTTTGCCTTGGTAATGCTCAATGTTATAAGAACGATATTATCAACCAGCGGAAGGCGGTGTACCTGTCGGTTACTAACGTCCATTATCGTGTTGCCTCTCTACGTGGTATTATCAAAAATAGTGATAAATAAACTTGGCAAAATGGTTTGTTGTTGAATTCTATTTTTGCATAGACAACAATTTCACTGGATAATAATGAAATCCACGTTGTGTTGTTGTTATATTCTCATGAAGGATCTCCGAATAATAAGCAAGGACTGCCTGATTGTGCATAACTTCCATGACTCCTTATTCCTGAGTGGTTTGCGCTCCTTTGTGTCAATTGGACAAAGACAAAGTGGTCCACCTTTTTCCGATCCATGTATGAGTTTCGCTCTCCTCTTGGAGTTATCTGTTGTGCGAAACGCTTTCGAAATCCTACTTTTGACCTTCACTCAATGTTCCGTCGTTTCTTCCGACTATGAGTTTTAAGAAAACTCAATGTATGATAAGAGCAGAAAATGGTTGCAAAATTCGTGTAAATTTCCTTTTCTTATGCAATACCACTACCCTGTTGGTTCTTCACTGACTAGTTGCCTTAGGTTTTGATAAGTAGCATGTGAAAAGTCGAACCAGTATGTTGATGAGGACTAGCTTTAAGTTTTTCACAAGCTCTGTTCCGGTCTTCTTAGGACCGGATCCTTTTCCTTCAATCACTAGTGAGATAATATCTCAGACCTTGGAATGCAAAGCTGTTAAAAAAAAGCCTATCGATGCTTATAGACATGACATTGACGTGATTGTTGAAGAGCTCAGAGTATAAATAATCAAAACTTAAACAGAAAATGATGCAAACCCTCTTTTGAACATGGTGACACTATGGCATTTAGATCATTGGCGATTCGTGTGAAGGACAACAATGACGAAGCTCCGCGTTTCGTTGGTGGATGTCCTGTTTCTTTGTCGGTTTACGAGAATTTGCCAGGACCATTTCCAGCAACGATCGGAACCACGATTGCCGAGGTCCATTCACCATTCTAGGAGCTGAGAACAAACTAGTTTTTCTTTCTCACGAATACACCTAAATCTAATATTTCGAAACCGATTTTCTGTAAACCTCGGTGTGACTAATCAATATGTATTCTTTCTTGACAAGCTTGCACGAGGTTGATAAATATATTTATTTTCGGCTAACGTTTCGACGTCTTCGTCTTCCTCTGTGGATCATCGACAAGGATGGTCGCCTCTGATGAAGACGAAGACGTCGAAACGTTAGCCGAAAATAAATATATTTATCAACCTCGTGCAAGCTTATCAAGAAAGAATACACCTAAATCTGTTTAACACAAGAGAAAATTTGCATCCAGATTCTAATCTCCTATAATATGTTTTTTATCTCAGCATTACGTGCTAATTCCTTTTGAGGTTTCGAGACGAAGAATACTTACTTGGATACTTAACTTACTTGGACGGCCCGTCTTCACGAGCCGTGCGGGCCTCAGTACATATGCCATTCGTTCCTTTCTCTCGCAATCGTAGTCCATGGTGGTGGTCTTGTCTGAGCATGGTAACGCTTGCGAGTCTCATACTGTGATCTGTAAACAACTGCAGCTAGGAGTACAGCTGATTAATTTTGTTTACGAACACGTCCGCCCAACATGTAAGTGGTTATCCAAGGGGATGTTTGCATTCTCTTGGAGTCACTTTACTGTTCTTTTCGCCCATCTATCGTCTGTTCTTCTCATTATGTGACCGGCCCATCTATGTTGCGCTATCGACGTAAATTCCCCTGGATCTCGAAGATGTGACAGATTTCGAGGGTCAGAGTTTGGCAATCCGACTAGATATTGAGAATGCCGATTATATTTCAGAAGACATCGCTCAAGCGCTCTGTGAGTAGTGCGAGGCATTCCTGACGTGGTTGAAGTATCAACCCACGTCTCTGCAGCATAACAGAGCGCTGGGAGGACCGTAGAATCGACGGATGAGCGTGGATTTTCGGGTCCTTCAGTTGGTCGGTGGCTTCCTTGAGAGGCCCGAATGCGGCTCAAGCTGCTCTCCTTCTTCTATCTAGTTCCGCCTTCATGTTGTTTTCCTCGCAATAGGCGAAGAATAACCTGGTTTAATAAGATTTATTATTGATAGTTCGGAAGTGCGCGTTGGTGCATTGATTAGAGGTGCTCTGTAAAACACAAAGAGTCGTTGGTTCGATTCCTAACTCTAGGCAAACTAAGTCCGTTATCCGTCCGTAGTTGGCAAATTGGTGTCACTCTTTTCTAGGAGGATAAAAGCGAAAAAGCGCGTTGAGGCAAAAAAAAATCGTATTTGCTGCAAACTAGTTTTCTCAGGCATGAGGCCTTGATGGCCCCCAAGCTTCTGAGCTTCTGAAAGCTTTTCAACACCTGCCCTCTGGGTGCTGTGAACTAGTCATAAAAGTTTTATTTCTACAAAGAAACGAGAATTCTTGAGCACTGGTAACTAGGATGAAACATAGTATTGTGTTCGATCTGATTAAATGAAATCTGCTATAATGTGCTCCAAGCTTTGATTTGATCTCATTTTAAGTCTCTTTATTTAGTTACAATTGGATTGTTAAGGATTTGGATAGTGGCGAGAATGGCCTGGTTGTCTTCAGTATCACGGAAGGGAACACTTCGCTTTTCTCGATGAATTCGGAGATCGGTAAATAATCTCTGCACTCAGTGGAATTTCGCACAGATTTTATTTAGAGCGGTGCTTGCTTTTACGCCTTTCTTGCTGTTTCATATCTGACGATAACATGTGGCCAGTAGTTCAAACATCTGATAATTCTTTATATTACAACCACAACGTTGCTGAGATATTTGCAAAACTCTGGACCGCAGGTGTATATGGTGAGGAACGAACGCGCTATTGTCCTTTCCGGGGAGTAACGCGTTCACCACCACACCATGCGGGTCCTTTGTTTCTCCTGTTTCTCAGCTATTTCTATCGATCTTTGCCACAGCATTCACCCGTCAGCGGGATTGATATGCCGATTTGGGCGCCCCAGATCAATCCCGCAGACGGGTGAATGCTGTGGCAAAGATCGATAGAAATAGCTGAGAAACAGGCGAAACAAAGGATCCGCATGGTGTGGTGGTGAACGCGTTACTCCCCGGAAAGGACAATAGCGCGTTCGTTCCTCACCATAGACACGTGCGGTCCACAGTTTTGCAAATATCTCAGCAACGTTGTGGTTGTATTTCGCTTAGTACCCTGCCGCGAAATTATAGTAGGTAGAAAATAAAAAGGTATAACATTGTGAAAATTCTTTATAATCTTTTTGAGCAAACGTGAGGTGGTACTCTATTCTTTATACAAGCTGGCATTTCGGTGGATTTCGCCTTCCTAAGAACCTGGGAAGGTTAAGTTGACCGCAATCTACCCGGCCGAACACTTCCATAACCAAACAGAGAAAATGATAAACTAAGGCTTCAATCACATTGGACACAAAATGGCTTCTTTGCACACTCACCGCTTTCTATGAGTCTTCCACCGAAAAGTCACGTGGAGATCAACCGGAGAGAGTTCACATGAAACTGTAATTTGTCTCTCACCAACACCGCAGTCTTAAACACTGTCCAATATTACGCGTGGTATTCAAACATTTGAATTCACAGTCTTCTGTGTTTGCTCTCTATCGCATCAAGGGCGCATGTGACGCAGTGGTTCGAGGCGCCACCGCAACACACACGTGGAATCGACCCCTGCGCCCATGTGGCCCACCAGGTCTTCCACCCTTCGGGGTGGGCAAATTAGTACCAGACTTGTCTGGAAGGATAGCAGCACTGGCTCGATAAATCGGGTGGCTAACGCGAGTCATCGTAAAGGCCAGATATGCATTCAGTCACCTCCAACGATACTTGGTGAAGTCAAATGCACGGTGCATCCCTCTGGGATTAATGAACGCCGAGAGCTTTTTTATCCTTTTATCGCAACAATTTTTCCTTGCCATAGATCGTAGCCAGCGCTTTGAAATTATTAGTGAATCCACTCATTGCGTTGTGCTTTTAAAATCGAATGTTTTTATTTTATATTAGCAGTTAGAATTTTCACGAACTTTCAGGCGAACTGCTTTTGCTGCATCCACTGGATCGTGAGCTCTGCTCTGAATATTTGCTTACCGTTCAGGCCAGAGATTCTGGTTCAACGAGGCAGCTTTCCGTTTGTACTATTCGGGTATGTAGAACATGATTAATTATAACTAACTTTAAGAACTACATAGGCATGCCTTTTTTTAAATAATGGTTGACTGCTTTGTCGAATAGTGCTTGCGAATCGTTGGAGACTAATAAAGCAAAGTTTGTTCTTTGGTGATCGTACTGGTTATTTGTGGTCTCTTGGGAGAAACATCGCAAAGCATACTCACTTTGCCACTGAAAGTAATCGTAGCCCTTTTTGACAAAATTGAAGTTTACTGGTATGTTAGCTGGATTTTGAGTAATTGGAAACTAGTATTTGTTGTAAACCTTAAACTCTAATACCCATACTATATCTCACAAAAGGATAAAGGACGAAGCTCTCGGCATTGATCAATCCCTGAGGGATGCGCCACGCATTCGACTTCATTAAGCATTGTTGGAAGGGGTTGAATTCATATCTGGCCTTTACCAATGACTCGTGGTGGCCTACCGATGTATCGAGCTAGTGCTGTTAGTCTTCCAGACAGGCCTGGTACCAATTTGCCGACCCCGGAAGGATGGAAGGTTTAGTGGGCCATGGACGCGGGGATTGATTCCATGTTTGTGTTGTAGGGCGCCACCGACCACTGCGCCACAACCCTCCCCTTACTATATCTCATAAAAAACTTAAATTTATTAATCAAAATAAGCAGATCCAACTCATTCGTACCAGTGCGATTTGTGTTTATTGAATTCGTTACAGTAGCTTCTACAGTTCTAGAGCCACAAATCCCTTATGGTAAGAGCAAGTTGGTTGTCGAAGGTTTTCTCGGCGAGTAGTTGTAATGAGGTGCGGTGAGAGTTGGGAAGCTCAAAAGGTGACAGTGGATTGGTGAGAGTCCAGTGAGCTGAATGAGAGGTGTTTCACATAGGAATTGCTTTGTGAGATATAATTTGTCGATTTCTTGATGATGGTTTTTTGTTGTAATGGCTGTACTACTATTTAAGAATTGTTTTAAGCTCAAAAACTCACTTTTGTCATCTGCATTCCCAAAGAATACTTGGAATTTTTTGGTATGGATATGTCTCAGTTACTGGGATACATAGAGGACTCGTCTTCGCGTGTTGTGCAGACCCAATAACTTCCTCTATTCGTTTCATTTTCATGCAACCGTTAGCCACGAAAGTGCTCGAACTCGATTGAGGCCTCAGCTACACGTTGAGGATGTCTGGACATCCTTCTTCAGTAAGATGATATCCAATCTGGTGTCATTCACTGGAAGCTGGAGGTAGCCATGCTGGGCGTTCTTATATCGTCATCAAAAGCAATTGCGTGCATTTCTGGATTGGAGAAAACTTATTTCTCTGCGACTCGGATTCTTCATGGCCCTGTTGTATGTGAAAAAAGTGAATCCCGCGAATAAACACCGGCGACTCGAGGATAAACTGAGTCGACAGCTTAACAAAGTTCTACGTCAAAGGTTTTGGAGTTCAGTGCTCATCCAATGCACATTACAAGCAGCCGGCTCCAATACCCGTTTGAACTAATGCGGTAATTCGTATGAAGTGCTGAGATATTTGCAAAACTCCGGACCGCAGGTGTATGCAGTGGGGAACGAACACGCGCTGTTGTCCTTACCGGGGAGCAGCGCACTTCACCACTACACCATCCGGGTCATTGGCTTTGCATGTATCTCAGCTAGTTCTATCGATCTTTTTTGCCATCAGCAATCACCCGTCCCCGGTAAGGACAACAGCGCGTGTTCGTTCCCCACTGCATACACCTGTGGTCCGGAGTTTTGCAAATATCTCAGCACTTCATACGAGTTATATTTCGCAACATACCCTGCCATTAGGAAGAAAAAGGCAGTAAATAAAAGAGTTAAGATGATGCGGTAATATTAGACAGAGAAGCGTTTAGAAGTTAGAAAATGTTCGTCATCGTTCATAAACTTACGTGATTCGCGTTTTATTGGAACTGGACTTCATAAAAATAAGTCATTTATTCTTCAAACATCTTCTATGGTCCCTTGAATGTTCACTAATACTTAAATGTTATGTTTGTCACTTCCGATATCGAATTCTTCAAATTCAAGTCGCCATCGTTCGAAAAGATTACCAGACACCTGTAGCGCCAGAAATTTGTATGCAGATACATTAGGTTCAACATTTCGTTGCTGTTCAAGCACCAAGAATAGTACTTTTGAAGAGAACCTATAGGAGGATAGCCAACTACGAGCACTTGGAGATCACCACAGATCTTCCAAGGATAGATGTCATCTAAGACTTCTGTTCATAAAAAATATTATCGCATGCAATACGAGCTTTTGGCGGATGCCAGTCTAGACAGCTATTACTGCCACCACTTCTCAGTTAGGTTTAATGTGGTTTACGGAGAGGATATTAGAGGTAATTAGGCCATATTATCAGGAAATGGCTACGTGAATTACTCAAGTGTAACTGAACTTCACTGACAGCAATTGTACTGGTTGTAGTAAGCTATGGTTGGAACCTACCGCTGTTAACAGAACCTTGAGACGTTGACGTACTTTCTGACATTCCAGTGAACGTCTTAATTCAGTAATCCATTTTAGATCGCAGTGCTTGACGACAACGACAATCCGCCAGTGTTTACGCAACCTTACTATGTTGTTCACGTTCGTGAGAACGCACCGCTCGGTCAGAAAGTGCTTGACGTCGTTGCAACTGACGCTGATCAAGGAGAGAATGGCTTTGTGAAGTTCGTTGCAAATTTATGTTATCGGCTCTTTACTGCCTAGTGGTAATCATTCAAAATCTCGACCAATACTAAAGTGTCTCAAATTTTCTACACAACGAATTCGAGACATTCATATGGAAGCTTTTTACAACCGCAGCGATGCTGAGATGTTTGCAGAACTATTTATTTTATGATTTTTCATAGTAGGGTGTGATGCGGAACCCACATGGTGCGGTGCTGAACGCGTTAGTTCCCGAGAAAGGTAATAGCGCGTTCGTTTCCCACCGTAGACGCCTGCGGCTCGGAGTTGTGCAAATATCTCAGCATAATTGTGGTTGCATTTCACATAATATCCTGCCGTGAAAAATTATAGTGGGCAGCAAATAAAAGAAAAAAGGAAACTTTTAAATTCCGTATTTGAGTAATTTACATAAGCCAAAGTCTTTTCACATTTGTGCTACAGATGCACGTAGATCTACTCCTATTTTTCTGAATATTTTGGGCTTTCCTGTGGTCGAAATTTAGAATACCCAGGTTAAATCCCGCAACTTTTGCAACGCAAGGAACCTTTTCATACAATGACTTATTAAAATGTAGACTGTCGATTACACGATTGTGTTCAATTTCTTGAAGTTTCTTGTGTACACTCATCGAGCATATTCGATTCTATCGGCTTCTTCAGACCATGTGATTTTTAAGTCAATTTTCAAGGCTTTCGAGAGATTCTGATTTTGATTCGAGTCTATGGCGACAATCCATCTGTGTATATCCATATTCGTCTGCATTTCTTCACTCTACAGGTATTCGCTGCTCGAAGGGGAATCGTTCGCGATCGACAAGGAATCGGGAGAGTTGAGCGTGTCCGCTGAACTAGATCGGGAACACATCGCTGTATACCGACTGACGGTTGAAGCGAAAGATTCTGGACGGTAAGTGTATATATTTACAGTGCAGTACGTAATGATATTGTTATAGTTGTAGAAGTTTATTGTATTATAAAAGTTTGGGAAGTTTGGAACATTTCCATCTTCTTTCGCACTAGGTCGTTATGATGTGGTGACGGGAAATCTAAAAGATTCTGTCATGAGTCCGACCACACCTTGTTTTTGCTACATTAGCATTACTGTTGATCACTAGCTGTTAGTAGATTCTCATTATATATATATATATATATATATATATATATATATTGGATACTTGGATGGCCCATCTTCACTGGATGTGCGGCTCCAGCATAGCTTCAACTTTTTGGAATTTTGCTGGTTTAGCCATTGTAGTTCCCTGGAGTAGCGAGGTCAGCCTAGTCAAAGGCAGCCCCAGATCGTCACCACCACCGGCAGTCGCCACACTTGTGGATCAGAGGTCTGCCGCCATGTGACTAGTTTGATACCAGGATGGTGGTAGGTCCTGGTAGAATCCTGGTATTAGATCCTTGTATTGGTTTACGCATAGTTGGGCTTCCTGATGGAAACGCTTATTTATATATTATTAACAACATTGAACTTTTGGAAAGGTGTTCACTAACTCGTATCATTCCCTCGCTCCATCTTTTTCTAGAATTAGCTTCACCCGTTCAAAGAGAAATCGCTTATTTTTGGACACTCTTCGCTCTCGGCTGCAACCTGATGTTAGAGCCCTCTCGAAAGTATCATCTTTTGTCTTCGTCATAAAGAAGACTAGTAGAAAAAACAATTTGAACTTGAAGGAATTCGTGTTGTTCATCAGTAAAAAGTTGGAATCCATTCCACATTTGGTTCTCAAATCATTGGTAAACAAAATAGTCTTGCGAGAAAGAAGGCGAAGGGAAAGAAAAAAAAAGATAAGAATGGTTGCAGGAGTCGAAAGGTATTCTTATAATCCTCGTTTCCGAGAAGCGTCATCAGTCGTTTCCTTTTACCGTTTTTAGTACAATAGCCGATCCAACAAGCAGTTTAACACTATCCCTCTCTTCCACTAAACGCACTCCTGTTCTTCTCTTTGTCCGCTGTCTGAGATGAAGTTCTTCATAAGCGAGTTATTTTAGGTACAGACAACTGTCTTCGAGTGTCGAAGTGATCATCATCGTGGAAGACGAAAATGATAACAGTCCCGTCATCAGGAACAAAATTCTCGACATTTTCTTGCCAAGCAACTTGAATATTGGTTAGCGAACATCCTTATCTTACACATACTGTTATTTCATAGAATAGCGTGTAATTTTTCAATAATAATAGTGATGATAATAATGGTAATAATAATAAACAATAGATGTATATATATATATATATATATATATATTCTTACAAACTGCCCTTGTTGAACTGAATCGAGGTTGGTATCAGCTGTTGTTGTTCTTGTTGCCGTTGTTCGATAGCGGCCCTTTCGGCGACATCGAACCTGTTGTCCACTGCGGTTTCCGAATTTTCGTAGGGCTTCGACTACCACCTGACGATTTGCCACCTTCGTGAGCGTCATTGAAGTCTTTGTGTATTCGTTTTCCTCGAAATCCTGTGGTAAGTCTGCTAGCGCTTTCTCAAGAATTTCACAGAGGAAGTCGCTGACCTCTGTGCTGCAGTAGTAAGTGTTTTCTCCGGAAAGGTGTGCTACCAACTCACTGGCCCAAAAACAACAGGGAGCTTGGTTGACCAAATGCGGCGTTGAATCACCGACCATACGAAGGTTGCGCGGCATCTCTAACCAATACGTTGCTCTCGCTCCGTTATTACTATTATTCTTGTTACTAATTATATTTCCATAGAATGTTCCTACCTAGTGATGTTAAATTTCCAAATTACAGTCTATTAATTTCTTTCTTGATTAAGGTGATGTTGTTTACGTGGTCGACGCAGTAGATTATGACAAGAATTCGTCGCTGTTTTTCAACATCACTGGAGCTGATGCTCGATTTTTTGTCATCAATGAAAATGGAGAGATACAGTCCAAAGCTCGTTTCTTTTGCATTTTCCACTTATGAGTTCTTAAGAGAGACGTGCGCAGATGGCGACGCTTTTCAGGCTTCACTGAGGCAGAAAGCGATCTACTCAGTTGTGGTGCTCGTATTCGACGAAGGCGGTCAGAGCACCAGCACCAGCTTTACGTTCTACCTCGACGACTACGAGAAGTTTCCAAGGTACGGCTTGCTATGATCCGCCTTGAGTCACAGTTTCGGTTTTTTGTTCCACAGCTTCCATGGCTTTTTAACGAAACGCGAATTGGTGGGGGGTTGTTGGCACATATTTTTTTGACGCAGTGAAAAGCAGAGAAATTTGTTTAGATAGACTCATAACAAATCGTTTCGTTTACTCTAACTCCGTTTAGTAACCCATTGGTATGACAGGTCAGTAGTGCAGTGCTGTATAGACGTATATAAGATAGTCGCAGAATTCTTCCGTTTTCTCTCCTTGATGAGTTTACACGAGGTTGATAAATATATTTATTTTCGGCTAACGTTTCAGCGTATTCGTCTTCATCAGAGCCGATGATCCGAGTCGATGGTCCACGCTTGCTATTCGTCTCGATGTGGCGGCATCGCCTTCGTGTAGAGAAGGCCGGTGGGCCATCTTGAATGAGGGGTACACTCGGTGATGCCCTTTTTTTCAGGGTGCTGATGGTGGATATAATCATTGTCCTGATAAAAACTCGTTTTTCCTTCGAACGATCCATGCTGCGGAAGTCGGTGTTATGTTAATGTAATGTCGAGACGAATAACAAGCGTGGACCATTGATTCGGATCATCGGCTCTGATGAAGACGAAAACGTCGAAACGTTAGCCGAAAACAAATATGAAAAAAAAACAAATATATTTATCAACCTCGTGTAAGCTCATCAAAGAAAGAGTACATATTGATTGGTCACGTCGAGGTTAAGGGAAAGTCGGTTTCGAAACATCTTCCATGCTTATTAATCGGAGAGGCGCGTGTAGCGCAGCGGTCGGAGGCAACCTGCAACACACATGGAATCGGTCCCCGCGACCATGGCCCACCGAGACTTCAATCCCTCCGAGTCAGCAAATTGGTACGAGGCGTGTGTGGAAGGTAGCAGCACTGGCTATATATATTGATATGCCATCGCGAGTCATTATAAAGACCAGATATGCATTCAATCACTTCTAACGATGTTTAATGAAATCGAGTGCACGGCGCATCGCTTATGTATTGATCAACGCCGGGAGCTTTATTTTATTTATTATTTATTAACCTGCTAAACATGTGTAATCTTAAATCACCAATCAATTTTCATCGTTCAGATGGACATCGACGTTGAACGTCACTTCAGTGCGCGAGAACTTCTCAGGCGATTTATTTAAGTTCTCTGCAGCGTCATTACAAAATGATTCTTCTGTGACTTACTCCATCATTAGTGGATGCAAAAGTGCCTTTAGTATCGATCCAAACACCGGAATTCTATCGACAAGGTGTGTTAAATTCGTCTTTCAATCCCTGAAAAGCCTTTTAACTAGAATAGTTACGAATGCTTCATTTTTGCAAACTTACCTCAGTATAGCACCATTTTTCTATAGTTGTTTTCTCAAATGTTGTAGACCAGAGTATAAGTAAACACTGTTTTCAATCGTCTTTATTACTCATTCTTTTATTAAAGACGCTCTATGCAACCTGAGGGCGGGAGTAGCGCAGTGGTCGGGGGCGCACTGCAATACGCATAAGATTGATCCACGCGCCCAGGCACGCCAAGACCTTCATCGCTCCCAGGTCAGCAAATTGGCACCAAACTTGTCTGAGAGTGTAACAGCACCGACTCGATAAATCGACATTCCACCTCAAGTCATTGTAAAGGCCAGATATACATTCAATCATCTCCAAACGATGCTTAATGAAGTCGAGTGCATGCCGCATCCCTCAGGGATTGATCAACGCCGAGAGCTTTATCGTTTACCTTTTATTCAGCAATCTTGCTAAACTGCTACGAACTTCTAGTAGATCGTGCGGTTTATGGACTACCTCCTTTGAGGTGATGCTGCAGGGTGTTGAATTGTGATTTACAATAAAGAGGGTAACCGGTGGAATCATCCATCGGAAGTGCAGCTAACGGTGAACCAGTAACGGCTATTGCTATCGTTGTGGAGGACGCTTCATTTGAGTGGAGAAAATGAATTATATACTTGTGAATGTCCTCCCAGTTTTAGTGGAAACTTGGATCGTGAGTATGAACCGGCGTGCCGGCTATGGATTGCGGCTTGCGATTCTGACAGACCACCAAGGTTCTCAATCACTTCGATTGATGTGCTCGTTGAAGATGAAAACGACAACACTCCAGTGTTTGAGCAGGTTACGTCACATGTTTTTCTTTTTAATTTAGATCTTTCTCACTGAATTCCTAAAGTCCGTCGAGATGATAATTGTCATTCTGATGTCCTACCATTGACTCTACCGCACATATACGGCTAATTTCTTCAGAAGTTAAAGCCAATATTCTTTCAAAGCGCCGTTTTTCAAATGAGTATTACTTTTTGCTAGCTGATAATACACCGACCTCTGCACGATGTGCGCAGTGATGTATGTCCGGAAGAAATACAAGTTGTTACCACCGGACATTGTCATTATATATCCACCATCAGCATCGTGTATAAAAGGGCATCACTGAGTGAGGATGCCTCATTCGAGAAGATGGCTCACTGAGGAAGATCTGGCTCGACACGAAGGCGAAGACGCAACGTCGAGGCGAACAACGAGCATGGACCATCGACTCGGATCACCGGCTCTGAGGAAGACGAAGACGTCGAAACGTTAGCCGAAAATAAATATATTTATCAACCTCGTGTAAGCTTATCAAGAAAGAATACATAGTATTACTTTTATTGATTGAAATGAAAACCACTACAATCTACACACAAGCAAGTTTGCTGTTTCTGATTACTCAAAACACTATCTGTTCCACAGGTGATGAAATGGTTAAGAGTATTTTCGACCTCAGCTTGGCTTCTGAAGCATTTCTCGCACAAGTAGTTATTGAGAGGCTTGAGGAAGTGGTAACCGATAGACGCGAGGTCTGGCTGATATGGTCGATGAGGCAAAGTTTCTTAGCTCAACTCGTTCAACTTCTGCACAGGAGGTATTGCAGCATATTACTGCGCATTATTGTGGGGACGGATTGGTCCCTTTCTGTTGGCCGCGGTGGGGCGTAGACGTTGATCTTTCCGGAGCATTTCGTCGATTTGATCATCAAGAATCGCGATGAGAATACTAAAAAATTGAACATAAGAGTTTGAACACTACATATGAGTCCTCAAAACGTGATAAGAAGCGTGTCAATTGCTTATTTAGCAAAAAAAACTTTGAATCCGATAACTGCTCCTGTAAGTACTTGACAGGGAGTTCAGTTGCTTTATAAGACATGTTTTGATGCCAATGCTCGATAAGAGGCATATCATTTCTTATTTGGATGTGTGAATCTATTATTAAATCTGTCAGATCAGAAATGAGTGAGTTCGTTGCTTAGTGGACATCATCTTCCTGGTTGTTAACCTTCGTGCAGTCTGAGTACTCGGCGCTTGCTAATTTAATATTCTCTTTTATGAAGATTTGTGTGTTTTCAGTTTCAACTTTATTGGCATGTTACTAGTTCAAAACTTTTTCGCTTTGAGTCGTTACGATGTTAGCTCTCATCTGGGCTCCATAGAGGAAATATCGAGCCACTTCTCAGTTTAGGTGACAATTCAGGAGGCTGCACCCCTGCTTTACATAGCATTTTGATCCGCATGAAAACATTACACCGTTAATATAAGAAGGCGTAAAGCATTGAGCCATATAAACCTAGAATTCAGTATTTTCCCCTAAATATACGTCATTCATTATATATATCTACTGTGGGAGCAACTGGCAAGTTACCCGTCAGTATAGCCTGCCCACTCATTCAAAGCTCAGCAAGTTGTGTGTGGGTATCAGATGCTATATACAATAAAATAAGTGGGCTTCATTCCTCCGACCCCGAAAGAGCCCACCATACGGCAACTATAAGTAGGAAGACTGCTGTAAAAGGGCTAGAATCTGACGTCCATTCTAGGTTGCCTGAATCTCGGAAGACTAAGGTGACGATCAGTACCTACGATTCACCCCAACTTGCATCTAAGACCTCTGTAAGAGGAAATGGTCATCCAGACAAACAAAATAAGGTACGATGTCGCCTCACTGGCTAAAACGAGAAGACGCTGCTCGTTCAACGCCTTCCGTGAGACCGCAGAAAAATTGTTCCTCGCAATATGTGGAATAGAGAAGTCGGAGGATTCGGTGTTCCCGTCGACATAAGTTTGGCCATGTACATTGATTTATTTGAACAACTGAGGAACCGAATTGAAAGTCTACGATTGAAGAGATGTGGTTCAATATGGGCTTTAACAACCTTTGTCGTACTTGCGGTGACATCAAGCTATGACGAAGACGAAGTTTATGTGCACTTGTAGAAGTTCCAAAGATATAGGATGGAGGAGCCATAGTGATTGGCTGGCTCTCTGGGTTTATCATGACGACCATGACCATTCATGGCAACTCGCAATTCCAGCTACCCAATTTTCAGCGCTGGACGTGGAAGTCTCAGTGGTGAGTACCATAATGAAATAGGCCACCTTATAGTCAATTGAAGGCTTTGCATAAGCAAGGTCGTTGTCCCAAAGTTCTACACGGTATCCTACAGTCGCCTATTTGGCAAAATTTTCTATTCCTTATGGAGAAAAGGGGAAGCTGCTATGTCCAAAAAACGAAGGGCGAAAAAAGACCACTAGTCGGCTCTTGGGAAGATGTTCTTGTTTACAACATCAACGACTGATGTTATCAGCTTATTCAACATCTTCAAGAGATATCTGTCTCCAGAAACATTTGAGCTTACACGGCAGCGTGGAATTGCACGAGCTACAGTCAATCGCCAACTTATGTCCGTGCTTGCGAAACAATCCAGAAAAACAATGAAAGAAAATCTTAAAAGGAGAAAAGATCAGTTGTGGTTGGACGTTGCAGGAGCTTGGAAAAGCATTCGCAAACCGCGAAACTTCTCCAATTACAAAATCAAGACGATTGCACTCAGACCCCAGACAGAACAGTTACGGCTTCCAGAAGGGTTACAGAGAAAATCACGATTACTGCTTGGATCACTTTAACAGTCAGTCCTGCATTAATGCGAGATAAAGAGCGATAGATGTGTCGTTCCACCGGTTCTCTATTCCGAAATCCGACGCGTGAAGAACCGAATAACACATGGTCTAGCCAGGACAAGATCAGAGCGCATGAAGAAACATCGACACTATAGCAAGACTCATCTAAGTATAGTGAGAGTAGAAGAGTCCGTTCTTTCTCAGTTTCGTTGATTTAAAGAAGACTTTTAACTCAGCTGAGAAAGAAGAAGCCATGAGAGACTTAGATAGCCAAGGCATCCCCAATAGGTATATGACGATTCTTCGTGAGCTATAAGAAAACTTTTAGTCAAGGCGATATCATCCTGCCAAAATTGTTTACCGTCACCCTCGATAACGTCATGCAAACATTGGAATGGGACAACATAGGAGTGAAAATCAATAGTCAGCAATTACACCACCTTCGCTTTGCTGGTGACATCGTTCTTATAATACCAAACCTTAGGCAAGCGGAACGAATGCGTGACGACTTTGATAACGCTTGTGGAAGATTGGTCTTCAACTGAAGGTTGAAGGGATAAGGAGTAAAACTCTTGGGGTTAATCAATCCCTAAGGGATACGCCATACATTCGACTTTATAAGTATCGTTGGAGGTGATGGCATACATATCTACCCTTTACAACAACTTGTGGTGGGCTGAGGATATAACAAGCCAATGATGCTATCCTCTCAGACAAGTTTGGTAGCAATTTGCCGACCCTGGAGAGATGGAAGACTTGCTGAGCGCGGGGATCGATCCTATGTGTCTTGCAGGGCACCTCCGATCTTTATTCTACACCCGCCGAGCCTCATAGAAACGATGCTTTTAAGGAGTGGGTTTGTTTTTCATGCCCTGTTGACCCTCAACGGAGCGAATATCATATCTCCGAATGCTCTAGCTATGTCTGCCAATGTTGGAAAATCTTGATGAACAACTTAGCTCTAAAACTGAGTGAGTAGGAGGAAATGAGTGACTAGGAAAGCTTTCAAGAACATCGAGGATGTGGTGAAGGGAATGAAGAACACCGAACTTACCTTTTCAACTCCACTATGCTTCCTGCCTTAACGTGTGCGTCAGAACCGTGTTCTCCGCGAAAGCTGGGTGAAAGATCACTCAGTTTTAGTGAACGAGCATTTGAAAAGACGATGCTAGGAGTGTCCCTTAACGTGTAAATAAAAGAGTGGATCCGAAGCTTGGGCCCACATCAGCGATCGAAAATCAATGACTGCGTTATATACGCCCTGCAGCGACGACATCCTACTAGGCTACTCTTGTCGTAGCAAGGAGAAGTGGAAGGACTACTGGTCCCGGCTTGAGTCATTCAGCCACCATCCGGACGACAGGTGATATGTTATATACATGCTTACATTATGAGAACGGTCACGTGGTTTTATACTTCGGAAATCTGTGTGGAAGATTTTCACTTTTTGCGATTTCATTTCATAATGAGATGATGTTTTACAGTGGTGCTGATAACGAGTGAATTCAGGTGATCTACGAAAAGGAGATTATGGAGAATTCGGAACAACAAGTCCTTCTTTGTGTATTTGCTAAGGACCTAGACACTGGAAGTAATTCCAATGTTTCCTATTCAATCATTAGCGGTAAGTTGTTGTGTATTTTGTAAAATTCGAAGCTTGTAGCACCAAAATTGCTCACTTACACTATTTCATTAACTTTTATTCCTTTTCATCCTGTTAATTACGAAGGACTCTAGTATTTGTTCAACCCCTTCCCCGTTCGCGCTTGTCACGCACCAAAGTTAGCTAATGGGTTCACCTCACTACCCTGGGACATGAAGCGCATCGAACATGCAGTACCCACGGGTAGCTAGGCAGCATCTGCCATCGAAAAGGTTTACTCCCAGCAGGGTATCCGGAAGGGAACGTAAACTCCATATTGACTTGTCTGAAATTTCCGAGATGCAGGAATTGGCTTTCAGCTGCTGGTCGAGCATCACGTCATTCGATAACGCTCAAATGCCACGATGAAGTAGCGAACCATTAAGCGGGGTTTTCTTATGGCCACAACATGATGGAAGTACACCATTATGTTTGGTCTTTTAGAGAGACGTCTTATCTGTTTGGCTACTTGCTTGGACACTTAGGAGCGTTGACACTGTCAATCCTTCGGGCATTTGCGCATTTTCCATTTAATTCCTTTTCTCACTTTCGTTCTTCATACTGGTTGTTCGTTTGAAGCGGATACTCACATTTGCATGTGCTATTCTGTTGTATGAAAATCTTTTGAACTGCGAACATAACTGGCCTCTGCGCGAAAAAAGTATAATGCTTTCTGCGTTCATCAATCTTTGTGGAATGCGTCGTGCATACGACGTAACCAAACCTCATTAGAGGCGTTTGAATGCATTTCTGGTCTATGACATTACTTGTGGTGGCCTAGGGTTGTATCAAATCTGCGCTGCTTTGCTCTCAGGCAAGTTTGGTATCAGTTTATTGAACTCATAGGGATGAAAGCTTTGTTGAGCAGTCGGCACGGGATCGAACCAACGGTGTCTGGTTAAGGTCTCCTGCAATACACACTGGATCAGTACTAGTTCGATCTCGCCACTCTGACCAAGTTATCCATTTTTCCCAAGTCGGAAAATGGGTAGTAAACTTTTATGGTAGCATAAAAGCATTGACTTTGGTGGAACACTGCCATTCATTTTCTATAGGCCTGATGTGCGTTCAACCATCTCTTGATGAAATTGAATGCAAGCGCTCTCTCAGTAAATCATCAACGCCGATCGCTCTTTAGTTACCCATCATGCAAATGTGCCCTGATCCTCTTGATAGAGGAACTGAGTAGTATTTTTTCCTTACCTGTATTAGAAAAAAGTATTTCATGATGGATGGCGAAGCAGACGAAATGCTTTAAAATGGGACGCAGCAAAACTGCTAGCAACAAGCAGACACTGCAAACGTTTCATTGCAAATTCATAACGACAAGAATACCCACCACTTTTTCACCATCTTTAGTCCAGTGAAGCACTACTGCCGAGATATTGTGAATCTACCATCTTTTGTTTGTGAGTATGCGCCACTTCGCGAGTCTCGTGTCCAATGGCAATTTTCTCTAATCTCAAGAAACCGATTTCCTCTAGTAAGACATGAGGTGGATTTAAGTCCAACTTGTCGTTTTTTGTTGTTTTCATCCCCACTTGGTGTTCTGTTTTAAATTTACCGATTCTGTATTCTATTCCCATGGCCGTTTTTGTACTCTAACGTTAAATTCCACAGCATCAACCTTTTGGAAGGCTTTTTCCTTGCGGATCACTTTCTCCAACTGATCATAAAATGCACCTAAATCGGTCTCATTTACTGCAAGAAGTCGTAAGTAGTGGTCCATGTTACTGAACTTCGCCTGGTGTTAATAATGGAAGATGCCGATGCGAGGTGATAAGATCTTAGATGAGTGAGAATGATGGATAGTGGATAGCTATTTTACGAAATCCACGCTACTGCCCTCTCGCAGCAGAATTTTTCTCTACGGTTAACTACGGTTCTGTCTTCTCATTGACGTTTGTCATTTATTCCTCTTGATATACTGTGGGCATCACATAAGACGGTATATATTTTTCAGTCATTAGAAATGGATGAAGATCGGCGTCAGAAGAAACCATTTTGGTGTTTTAGGCGTAAAGTATTAAGCAATTTAAATGGAGTGTTGTAGATGCATTGCTTTGTTCACGTTCCTTTGACATACCATGTAATCGGGTTTCTACCGCCAGTTATGTCACACACAAAGTTATGTCTACCGTGTAACACCATAGGCGGGTGCGCTAAATGTGTTAGATGCCGCGGCTGGCGTTATTTGAGTGGTTTTCTTTTTCTACAAACGTCTTTGTATCATGGGGCGCGTAACGAAATGGTAGTGATGCAGTTCATCACGAGCACGGTACTAGTTGGACTTCGTCCTTGGCTAAACAAATCTTTCATTCCTTCGCGATTACGAGCTGGTACCAGACTTGTCTAGGAGCTAACCCTGTGCTATCTAAGTGGGTACGCTCTAGCCCGGCTATCTCAGGGCTCCAGAACGGGCAATCAACTACGTTCATAAAGATGTCAATCCTCAAGAAGCACCCGTACTCACACGAGAGTAGTATAAAGGCTATCACTGCTGATGAATTCAAGAGAACGAATCGGCTGCAAGAAGTGCTCGGATCTTCACATTAAACGTGAAACAGAATAAGAAATCCCGGTATCGCCTGCACTAGGGCTCACAAGGAAATCTTCCCCCTTGTGACAATGCTTCCTCGTGGAGGACTACGATTCACTTTTTTTGTTTACTCTAGTTGGGCTTTCTATCGATGGAAATATCTTACTCTTTAACTTGATAGACCTTACTGGTCCTGAGCGCTATTAGGTTAACCTGGTCAGCACTTTGATTATTTTATGTTTATTGATTCGAAAATCTGATATTTTTCCAGTTACTAAGTGTTTTCTTAAAGGTAACGATATGGGATCGTTTGCAATCGATTTCGCGTCTGGATGTATACGATCGTTGCGTGTGTTAGACAGAGAAGTCATATCAGACTATCGATTAGTGATATCGGCTACAGATCAGGGAATTCCTCCACTTAAGGCCGAAGCTCTCGTGAAAGTAGGCATTGCTGTTCTATATATTACTCTATTATGTTAGTTAGTGTTTTAGTTACGTTTACTACTTTATCGACTACTTTACAAACTTCATAGATCCATGTGCTTGATGAAAACGACAACGCACCAAAATTTTCACACCTGTTTCACACTCGAATCTATGAGGATTTGGAGGTGAGTGCTGCGCTGAAAAAATCTTGCAATAGCGTTCGTATTTTCAAGCGTCTGACAGTTTGAGTCAATAGTCCACAGTTGTTCTTCGTCAATTCGAGAGATGGTCCGCTGAGGTAGACTGAACTCGGTACGAAAACAAACGCCACATCGAGACGCAGAGCAGCTGTGGACTATCGGCTCGAATCTCGGTTCTGATGAGACAAAGACGTCATGTTGTATCAATATGATTGGAAAAAGGGGTTTAAAAACTCAGCGTAGCCTTATTTTCATCCCGACTTTCCAATCTCTGCTCTAGTGGAGCTAGTTGACTGGTCCTCCGCTTATAGATTTTTCCATGAAAGGCGGTTTATTCGATGACATGGTGGATATGAAAATGAGGTCACGACTTGTCAAAAATCTAGAGAAATTGAGATGACAAAAAAGTTTCTACCTATCAAAAACTTGTACGGTGCAGCAGTGGACCGCTGAAGATCAAAACCATGCGCCATGTTTCAGTTTGGTCCGGTCATAGAAATTATCAAAGGAGCCTATTTGTAGCCGCAAAATTTACAGCTTCATAAAGAAGCATTTACGTTTGTTCAAACTAAAGTTCTATATTAGAGAAATGAATAAGTCGAATCCACAAAGGTCGGCGCACCAGTGCTACTGATATCAGCGACAGATCGTGATGATGACGCGAACCATACGTTTTCTATTGACGACGATTTTGGTGGTCAATTTTCTATCGATATTCACACTGGACAAATCTACCTTAGACGGCCACTTGACAGAGAGATGGTAAGGAACACTGGTTTTCTTTCCATCTAAGCTTCTCAGTTTGAGTTGCGTTTTTTCAGCAATCATCGTATAGGTTTCGTGTGACGGTCAGTGACGAAACGTGGTCGGTTCACACTACTGCTGCGGTCAGCGTGCTTGATATCAATGACAATCCGCCATCATTTGCAAGAGACAGCTATCTGTTCATGGTCAATTCAACACAGGTGTGTGTGTTTTTTGCGATAGCGGATATTGAGATACCCGGAATCATTATTCCTTTGCTTGATTACTTACTCTTTGATGAACTTCCGGTTGCAAATGACAATTCTCCTCTCAACTTGGGTTTTGTTTGCCCAAACATGAACTGAGCTCAGTACTTGGAACCCGGTCAGCTGACTTTGATGAGTCAGTGAACCACAGAGGCTGGATTACATTATTTGTGGCAAGGAAAAGAAGCAAAATTCGTGACAGCCAGATGGATGTCCTTTCACCAAGTACTATGAAGTGTAGCATTTCATTGGACATTTATTATACTATGTTCTTCATTGTGAAAGGTCTTTAGACAAAAGGGTTTAAAATACCATAACTTTTTAGAATTCGACTCAATGTGGGAGTGGTTTGGTTCTTAACTTCTTCACCGTATAAACGCCAGCTATTACATTTTCTCAACAAGTCCTTAGGCTCTCAGGAAATTAATACCTTATTACAACTTGTACTTTCAAAATAGCATATCTCGGAATAAACTTTATTAGTCGAAGAAAAACTATTAGAATCTACGCTTTTTTGCCATCAAGAAACAAATCTACCTATACCGGTTGCAAGGAATTCTTAGCTTCTGAAGGCAATGAAGTCGTTGGAGGCAGCTTCGGTATCGGATTGGTTTCTGGAGCATATGCTGAACAGGAAGTTGTCGTGGTGCTTAAAGAAGTAGTAACTCCCATGTCCGACTTCTATTAACCTCGGCATTGATTGAATAATTCTTTCTACTTCTGTTTAGCAAATACGAGGTATTATTTTACTTCTTTATTTACGTACAAGCTGACGTTTCGGCGGATTTCGTCTTCCTCAGAGCCTGGAAAGGTCAAGTTGACAGCAACCTATTCGACCAAACACCTCCATAACCAAGCAGAGAAAACGCTAAACCAAGATTTCAATCACATTTAACACAGCTGAGCACACTCGCTGCTTTCTATGAGCCTTGACTCTACTGAGTATGTCGTGTAGAGACCAACCGCACAGAATTCACATGGAAGCGTAATGTACCCCTCCCATCAGAATAACAGGTTTGTATATTGTCCAATATCACGCGTGATAATGAGGCATTCTTTTCTGAGGTTCATTTTTAGTTTTCTGGAATTAATCCAGAACACCTCAAGAGTTTCGCGCGCTTGTGTTCTCGATTCCTGTGCGAGGTTCGTGACACGTACTTCAAAGTCCTCCCCGTTATGGCTCTGGGTCCTACGCGTGCCTTGCGGGGTATTTGGTTTATGCTTACCGGTTAGGTGTTCTTTTATGCGGACACAGAAGGGTCTGCCCGTTTCGAAAATGTATTCGTCTCCGCACGCCTTACAGGAGGTCAGATAAACTATACCCGAGCTCATGAAATCACTGCCTTTACCATTGGGGCAAATTGTGCAATTTTGCGTTGCACATAGACGGTCATATAGGCGGTTACGAACTAGCTGGCGCCTATGATTACTCGGTGGTATTTCAACTACGTTTACCGAATTCTCTAGACGCGCCTTTCTTAAGCAGCGTTTTATAGCTGCACTTACATCATTTGAGATGAAGGGTAGGATAAACGAGACTTTTTTATCGCTAGAGTTTTCGTTTGTGGGCCTCCGATTTCTCCTATACCTATCCCGAGTTACAGTTTCGTAGCCATTGGAAATTGCTATTTGTCGTGCTATGTTCCGAAACTCCTCTCTCTGCTCTCTTCCCGTGCACACGTTGTTTGCTGTTCGAAACACGTTTCTTACGAGCGCTCTTTTCGTGTGAGAGACGTGAGAAGAGAGGTAATGTACCAAGATGTTTTTACTACTTGGTCTTTGGTACCACTTCGTAATGTAAGGGGGCACATTACGCTTTCATGTGAATTTTGTGCGGTTGGTCTTCACGCGACATACTCAGTGGAAAACTCATAGGAAGCGGTGAGTGTGCAGAGCTGTGTAAAATGTGATTGAAATTTTGGTTTAGCGTTTTCTCTGTTTGATTATGGAGGTGTTTGGCCGAACAGATTGCTGTCAACTTGACCTTTACAGGCTCTGAGGAAGGCGAAATCCGTCGGAACGTCAGGTTGTACGCAAATAAAGAAGTAAAATAACGCCTCGTGTTTGATAAAGAAGTAGTAATCAGTATACAAGAAATCTGACCAGTATGGTGGTTGAGGCGAAGTTTCATAACCTCACCTCAGCGTCCGTTGTACCAGGAGTCGCCACGACTGCTCGGAAGGACTGGTACCCTTCTGTTGATCAGTATGAGGCAGAGGTGTTGGCGTTCCTGATGGTGCGTTTCGTTGACTTGCTGGACATACTTCTCTGCTGTAATCGTTTCACCGCGATTTAGGAACCTGTATTGAATTAAACCAGCATAAAGCCATCAAACGGTTTGCATCACCTTTTTTGGTCCAATTTCGGCTTTCGCGAGTGCTACAGAACTTCATCACAGTTCAACTGCTGACCCGACCGTCGAGGATTATCATGGGGGATCCACTTGTTGCCATACGAAATAGCGCGGCCAAGAGACAGGCTTGTTGCGCAAAAGGTGCATCGACAATTCTTCAAAATTGATTGTCAATCAATTCGTGCGGCATCAATAAGGAGCTTCTTAGACTTTCTAACTTTTTTAGATGCTCCGAAACAGTTGAGATGTTTACACCGAGACCCTTTGTGCAAATTCAGTTTAGTCGTATTTGCTTCCACCAAATTCTTCATTTCATCATCGACAATCTCAGAATGAGATCTGAGAGCTCAGAGCTCATCTTCAACGTCGAATCTGCCATGACGAAATTTTCCAAACCAAGGTAGAATCGTGCGTTCGTTGTCACTTTATTGCCGCCATACACCATTAACGTGTCGAACTGTTTGCAAGCGTAATTCCGATTTGGAATTCGTAGAAGTAAATTTCCACAAGCTACTCAAAATTACTCTCTCGACATCCGAAATTCTAACTCTTAAGGTTTGTCAAGAACGCCGTTTCCATTATAATTGAACTATGCAATCCGGAACTTCGTAAAATAAGCTTTCATTGTTCTATAATGGCACAGTATTGAAAAGAGGAACTTTTTCTAAAGCCATACGAGAAAATGAGATTACAAATTAGGCATTAGTTCCTGAATAACTTAGTTTAAACCTCACTTGCGGCCACTGTGGAAAACACGTATAGATCTTCTACATATCTCATAGAATGCACCGCACCGATTTGGCACATGCTTTCTGTATTTGAGAGGCGTATTTACGCATGCGTGTATGGATGCATTCTAGTTCATGCGGATTGTATTCTACGAGTCAATTCGGCCAAAAGCCTGCAATCAAGTAACAGGGAAGTATTTGGGAGGCGGTTAGGAGTCGCCTCCAACAAATAAGCTCCTTGTCCACTCTGGGTGAGCCTGGCAAGCTACCCGTGAGTATGCCCAACCCCCACGTTCAGAGCCCAGCAAGCGATACGTGGGTATCAAAATGCTAAACACAGTAAAAAAAAAAACAGGCCTCATTTCCCTGACTCCAAAAGAGCTCCCAATTTCACATTCGCTATAAGTTGAGATTTATTCAGTTCATTAGTTAGTTGTTGGGAAGATGGCGTTCTCGATAACACTGAAGAGGAAAACAATCGGCTCGTTCCACATATTCACGTTAGCTGAAAAATGGGAGTCGCAAAGTCACCGACTGTCTCCAGAAACATTTGAGCTAATACGGCAGCGTGGAATTCCGCGAACTACAGACAACTGCCAGCTCACGTCCGAGCTTGGAAAATAACGCAGGCAAAAGATACAACAAGATCTTTAAGAGAGAAAAGCAGCAGGTATGGTCGAAACTGAAGAGGATGGAAAGAGCATTCGAAAGGCCCACGGAAGCTTCTCCAATTGTAAAACTAAGATGATTGCACTCCGACGCTCAGATTGAATGGCTACAGCTTCCAAAGAGGCAATGGAGAAAATCATTCACGATTACTACTCGGATCTCATCAGCAGCCAAGTACTCTTACGCTCACCAGACATTAAGGAGGGTGGATAATGTTGCATCACTTGTTCGCTCTTCCAAAATCCGGCGTGCTATTTTTTCAGTGAAGAATCGAACAACACTAGATCCGGACAGGATAAGATCTGAGCACCTGGAGAACCTTCCGTCAGTCCTTATAAACACATTGCCTCTGCTGTTTACATGTTACCTGCCTGCAAGATTCTTACTCGGTGGAAGATCAACAGGACCGTGCTATTCTTCAAGAAGAGTGGCCTCGATGATATTGGCAACTGTCACCCAATCTTAATAACTCAAAAGACCGACTTTATAAAAACCTCGGCATAGATAGTTGATATATTTATTTATATGTTCTTATAAACTGATTTTTTGTAGCTGATGCCACGTTGGTATAGGTCTTCGTTGTCGTTGTCGTTGTTGTTGATGTTGTTGGTCGATGGCTGACGTTTCGGCGATTTCGTCCAGTCTTCAGAGACTGGACGTATTTTATATCAGAATACTTTAATTATTCGGTGAAAAAAGGCTAAAGTATTAATGAAGATCAAACTTTCAAATAGAGGCCATATTGAACAGAAAGGCTACTCATCGTGATGTTACGAGTGGAACTGGCCCACGCGTTGTTCACGAGCGGTCGCGAGCGAGGCACACCCAGGGGTCAAAATATCATTTTGAAATAGGGCGCCAGGTCACGTGTGATAGTGAGGTATTCGTCTTTCCGGTTCATCTTTGGATTTTTGAAATTTATCAAAAACGCCTCAAGAGCTTTGCGCATTAATGTTTTCGTTTCCTGAGCTGGGATCCGGACATTCACTTCAAAATCGTTGCCATGGTGCGTTCCTCGAGGAGTGTTTTGACGATTTTTAACTTTCCCATCTAGATATCCTTTTATGCGGACACCAAAGTGGTCTGCCCGTTTCCCCAATATATTCCTCGCTGCATGCGTTACATGAGATCAAGTATATTATATCTGAACTCATGCAGTCCCCGTCTCCCCGTTAGGACAGATCATACAGTTTTCTGAGTTGCTCGATCATAGAGACGGTTGCGAACTAACTGGCGGCGTAGGGTGTTGGGTGGGATGTCAATAATCGGTACATAATTTTGAAGACCACTTTTCTTAAGCATCTCTTAATGGCGTAGCTTACTTAATTTGATATGAAGGGTAGGTTTAAAGGGATCTTACTTTCGTCCGAAACATTATTTTGGGGAACTACCCAACGCTTTTGTCAGAACCGAGTGGCTTCTACTTCGTAGCCATTGTAAATGGCAATTTTTCGTGCCAGTTTTCGCGATTCCTTCCTTTCCTCTTCTGTACACACTTAGCCTTACGGTACATGTTTTTGATAAGTGCTTTTTTCATCTGTGAAGGATTAAAGAGGTAGTGAACTAGTATATTTTTGCTACTTCACCTACGATACCATTTTGTCTCATAGCTACTTTCTGAGAGCTTTATTTGGATGTTTAAGAAGGGAAGCAAGTTTTCAAATGTTACCGAATTTGGTTACTGTCCGTTTTCTACAAACTTTTCACTCGAGTCAGCAGGATCTACAGAACACTGGACGAAAGACAGCCATGTGTCCAACCATGGTTTCGAAAAAATTCATAGTGTAGACCATATCCACAGAATAATGAGACTCAACCAATCATCGCGAGAGTACAAGAGACCGCTGTGTTTCACTTTCATCAATTTAAACAAGGCTTTTTACTCAGTTGAGTAGAGGCAGTCATGGAAGCTCTGGACAGCCAGCGAGTCCCTACTCAGTATATAAAAATTGTTCGTGATCCGTATCTAACAAAAATGTCACCATAGCTGAGAGACAGGCGAAACGAAGGACCCGCATGGTGTGATGGTGAACGCGTTACTCCCCGGAAAGGGCAATAGCGCGTTCGTTCCCCACCGCAAACACCTGTAGTCCGGAGTTCTGTAAATATCTCAGCATTATAGTAGTTATATTTCGCAACATTCCCTGCCGTTAAAATGAATAGGCAGGAAATAAAAAGGTTAAAAATGTCACCATTATTGATGCTCTGTGGCACAATTAGCTCATCATAATCCTCTGATAAATCACGTATAGTCGATTTCTGGGGTTTAAAAAAGTACGTTCATTTCTGTTACCGAAAGAAAAGTTAGTTGTGATCGAAGTTTACTGCAGTGTATCCCTTTCCCATATCAGTTAGCTACAGATGAATTTGGTTTGATGGTTTTCATTATGCTTGCAATGAAATGAAAGCTGAAGAGTTAAGGTCGGCCAGTCGATCGGCAGCATCTACGCCATAGATGAAGACGATGGCGAAAATGGTCTTGTACGCTATCGATTCAATCGAGACGTGCGGTGGTTATCAATCGATGTTCTTAGCGGTGAACTGCATCTTCTGGCGATGCCTGAAGTTGGAATTCTTGAGGTATTTCAAACTGGAAGGTTTAGAGCAGTCACTATACTCTTTCCTGCAAGGTTTATTCTGCGCATGTTATTTTTCTTTCCTTGTTTATTTTTCTATGAACTGCTGTACAATGAGACAAGCCCATATGAAACGTTTCTACCTCCGAACATGTAAAGTTTTGAGCAAAGAGGATAAATTTAAAGTCGGAAGGAAAAAAGAGTGGCAATACGGATAGGACTGTCAAAAGTTTAGAAAAGAATTATTTATTCCTTTTCATCTATCCTTCTTGATCGGGACATCTAAGTTTCGCTACCGATATGCAATCCATTGGACCACGAGGATAGAAGAGATTTCGGAGACCTAAACTGCGCATTCCAAGTAGACATTGTCTGGGCCAGCCAGCTATATTTAAAAAAATATGGTTCCAGCGCTCTGTAGCTAGCGCGAAAAATCCTTGACGTGGTTGAAGTATTAATCAGAGGCTCTGCTGCATAACAGACTGCTGAGGAGACTACTGAATCGAAAAGGAGAGCGGTGATTTTCGGGCACATTCATTGGTCGGTGGCTTCTTTCAAATGCCTCAATGCGATCCATGCTCCCTTCCTTCTTCTGACCGATGTCTCCATCATGTTGATATCCATGTTCATTGGGTGTTCAAGGTAGACGAAAGGCATGGTGTCTGTAATCAGAGAGCCATCCACTTCGACTCCTTAGTCTACACATCGCATCAGAAGTCATTCATGAATTAGCCTTTTTTCCATGCGCAGTCAATTTTTTCTCACGCTTTGTTGTGCTCGTTGACCATCGTACTTCGTCGGTAATTCTTTAAAAGATGACTATGTCATCAGAAAAGGGGAGATTCGATAATATCTTCACTGCGTTGACCTTTCTCGCCGAGCGACTTTATTATTCACTGCAGTGCAGCATTTAAAAAGCCCTTGACGAGACAGTGTCGCCTTACCGAAGCCGTTCTCACATGGGGCTGGTGAGGTACCGGTTGAGAAACTGTGCTTTTGTACTGCAGTTTCGATGCCAGTCAGGTAGAATCCTTATGAAGAAGGCTCCACTCCTCTATACTCAACTGGCTGTGCTTCATCAATTACCTTGGATATACGCATTAGGATAATCTTCACGAACAGCTCGCAGGATATACCTAAAAAGCAGATCGGATGATAGTTACGAACATCGTGCCGGTCGCCCTTATTGGATGGCATGACCACACGCAATGGTTCGTGTCTTCCAGCTCAAGGGAAGCCAGCTTTGTTGTTGTCAGGTACTGGAACTGTGTTTTTCCTCATGCTTCCTAGAACAACTCCAACTTCAGAGAAGAGAATCTTGTGCAGTTTTTCTTCATCGCATTTTTTTTCGGATTTTTTTTTCGGGCAGCTCCCAGCTCAAGAACGAAATATTCTATTTCTTCATAACAAGCTAGCTGTTCTACTATATAGCTATATCCGCTTTATATACTTTATCGATTATACCAATGAGAAACGAAATCTGGTGTCATATTTTCACCATATTAGTTAAAGTGGAATTCGTAGACCAGTCTTCATACATTTTCGCCGTACAGGTAACTGTGATTGCTCAAGACAATGGCGTGCCAATGATAACATCAATTGTACCTGTCAGTGTTGTTGCTACGCCAGTGAACTGTCGAGGTTCTTGTTCAATGGCGGTCGACAGAACTGCTACCAAGGGAACAGTGGTCGGCAAAATTGAGGAACACTGCGCTGACATTCACCTCGCAAAGGTGATTCTATTCTTAAATTTTTATCAGTTGAATTGCTAGTTGCATGTTATCACGCAACCTTGTTGGTACCTTTCCAAGCATTCAGTGGAAATTTCTACATAAAATCGTTATACGTGGAAAATCTTGCAGATTTACAGAGACAGTTTTGTTGAGAGAGTCTCTCTAGATTTTTTCATTTATTTTTTTATTTGTTTACATTTTATTTCTTTACGTTCTGCTTTTTTTTATCACCATCCCGCTTGCTCTTTCAGCTCAGTACAGTGTCATGTTTCAGATGACGCGGGCGTTCCTTTCTGACAATTCATTTGTAGCCGTCGATCCTGAAGGCGTTCTTGTCGTGACAGATGACATTCCGGAAGATGTTAGTGATATCACCGTCACCTTTATTTCCGACACGGAAAGTGGCGAAACTGCTTGTTATTACATGAATCTAGTGCTCAGTCACGGGAACGCTCATGCACCTCAATTTTTAGAAAATATGTAAGTCCCGCCTTTTTCTATTCTTCATATTTAGACTTTCCTTGTATTCCGGTTAAAGAAGTAATAATAAGTTGTTCTGGAAATTGTCGCGCTTCCTTTTTTAATGCATAATACTCTACGCTGGTTTTTGGACAACCAGAGAATTTGAGAACTTGAGCACCATAGAGACTTATTGAACAGAGTTCGACATATGGTTAAACACAATTTTTCTAAAACGTCATCTATATCTCAAAAAAGATTACAATTTTAACTTTTAGCAGATTTGAACCAAAATGCATGTTTTCATAATTTGAACCCAGGCGCTAATCTTCCTCAAGGAGAGATATCATTCCGGTCAGTCGCGAGGCAATGTGGTGCGTCTCCAGGTGGCGGATATATAAAGGATAAAGTTCTCGGCGTTGATCAATCCCTGAGGCACGCGCCATGTAATCGATTTCATTAAGCATCGTTGGAGATGACTGAATGCATATCTGGCTTTGCAATCACTCACGGTGGCCTGCCGATGTATCGAGCCAGTGCAGCTTTCCTCCCAGGCAAGTCTGGCACCAATTTGCCGACCCTGGTGGTATGGAGGGCTTGGTGGACCTGAGGCTCCATGAATCGATCCCATGTGTATCGCAGGGCGCTTTCGACCGCTGCGCTACACACACTAGGTGGCCGAAAGAGAGGGTTCATTGCGGAACAAAAGCGACCTTATCCTCCCATAGACGCAGATATATCCAAGCGATGGACCCCTATTTCAGTTGCGCCGATCTAGCACATTCCTTCTGTGTTCACGAGAACGTATTCATGCATGCGTCTATGGATGTGTTCTCGTTTATGCGAACTGTATTCTACGAGCCAATTCGGCTAAAAGTCTGCAATCAAGCAATAGGGAAATACATAGGAGGTGGTTAAGAGTTTCCTCCAACAAATTGGCTCCCCGTCGAAGTTGTGGTGGACGATTCCAGTTGCAGATCATGAAGAAGACAACAAAGCCACTTTCGTGCATGTACAACTTCATGAAATGCTTCATTGTGTCAACTTTCTTCAGTAATTTCAAAATTCCTTGGCTTTTCTTCGACAGTTAGTTGATACTTGGTCAAATTTGTTCTCGATGTTGGTCACTTTCCGAGGCTTTGCGTTCTCCTTTGTAATCGTAATGCGAAGATATTCGAGCACCCTTCTTTTTCGCCGCTGTTCCGAGAGGTTTTATTTGAACACAATTTTATTTACAAACAAAAATGCTGATAGGAAAATATGTTCCTGAAATCTGCAGTTTCAAACGTCTTTTACATGGATGTAAAGGCATAAAATTCCATGATCCATAGAGACGGAAACAGCAATTTTCTTAAGAGCTTAATACTATTATTAATCCGTATATAATGCTGAGATATTTGCAAAGCTCCGGACCGCAGGTGTCTCCGGTGGGGAACGAACGCGCTGTTACCTTTCCGGGTGGTAACGCGTTCACCACCACACCATGAGGGTCCTTCGTTTCGCCTGTCTTTCAGCTAGTTCTATTAATGCTATTAGTGTTATCAGAAGTTTCCAGTGATTATAAATTCACTTATCAACGGAATTCTTTCAGTTTCTACTTCGCCATTCTCGAGAACTTTACAGTAGGCGCCACAGTTGGTGTGATCTATGCAAATGATCACGATTCGGGGGTCGCTGGTGAACTCCAATTCTATATGAACGGATCAGATCCATTTCATATACATCCGAATGGTTCTCTAGTTTTAACTGCCTCTCTGGACTATGAGGATCGTCGACAGCATGTACTACTTGTGATCGTCACGGATCACGGAGAGCCGCCAAAAAGCGGTAAAATTGTTAAAGTCCTCAATAAAAGTAGTAAAGATCGATAGGAATGATGCCACTTTTGTGTTATTCTTCGGGATAGCCGTGACTTTACTGTTTGTGAATAGGAAGTAGTTTGAGGCTGTATTGGGCATTTCTGGCAGCGTTATAGTATTCTCCTAGCCTTCTAAGCAGGGATCTTGAGCAGTCTATGCTTAGCGAAACACGGGTGTAGATGGTAGGTGAGTAAACAAAGAATGATGGTCCTGAAATACCAGGATGATTTTTCTGTCAAATGCTATTATATTTATGTCTCATTAGTTTGGCCTTTTCAGCGATGTCGCAATGCTACTGTAGTAGTTAAGTCTTCGCAGACTATGCCGGTATAGCTAGATAGCTTATAGAACGTGGAGTGGCATTGGTAATGTATTAGAGCTTGTTCACTGAAAAAATGTACTGGATATGAGGAACAGCCGTTGACGCACATTTAGACTACTTCCTATGTAGCAAGCGTTTCTACTCACAGAGAGTTGAAAGTGAAGTGCTTCAAGGCGAAATAGAAAGTTGTACAGTACAGTTTCTAGTGAAACATTACCCACTTTACCGTAAGCCACCTAGGATTATGAACCCTGGAAATGTTGGTTTTCTCTTTGCAGCCAATGCTCAAATTGTGATTGATATTGTTGACGTCGACGACAACCCTCCTGTAATAGAGGATGACCATCTTGTTTACGCTGTGAGTTAGCCACTATACTTCTTTCTTGCTGTTTATCCTAGACATAAAAACGTTTTCTATGCACTTTGGTACATCGGAAGCGTGAAAAGATGAAAACAAACTAGCTACAATTTTCTTTCTTTCTTTCTCTTCTCTTTTCTTTTTCAAAACTTTCTCGCGTACTGGCAACTTTATTTGTATTCTTTTTTAACTACATATGCCTAAAGAAGTTCACTGAAAAGTCACCGATATGGGGAGGCATTTTTCTTAGTAACATTTCACTGATTGGAATCAGCTGCACTTTTCAGCTTTTTTGCTTCTTCTTAGCTCAGACCATTTGCAGTCCTCATTGGTTTTCGTAATCTGTCTTTATTTTCTATTCCACTTTTCTATGTTCTGAAATGTTATATGCTATTTTTCAGATCACTTCGGTCGACGACATGATCTGTCCTGGCTTTTCTGATGTCGACACCGCATACAGCGATCTGCGATTCTCCACGTCCAGTTCTGAACACGTTGTATTCGCTACCAGTAATGGTTCATGCATCTCATTTCGGGACGTTATTCCACATCATGTTGACTGGACGACGACGGATGGACACCATTGGGTTACAACGAGGCTTACGGTCATTGACATGCTACCAAAGCGTCCTAATATTCGCGACGAAACTGTGACGATGAGTGAAAACGCCCTCTTCGGAACCGTCGTCATATCGTACGGTACAGTGATGTTGTCAGAAACCAATGAGCAGTTCTCGGCTGAGTCTGGAGATATCACTGTTATGACAAGACGTGGAATTCACGACGACCAGCTTACAATTTTCAAAAAGTCACAGTTTGGGCGATATTTGGAAAAGTGAGTGACAGGAACGTTTTCTGTAGAGATAACCTCGAAAAGTTCAGAAAAAAACAAAGAAAGTTGGTGAATACAGTACAGCTATTTACTACACACTTACTACATAGTGACCATGGTTTTTCATTTTGTGGATTCAGCGCTGTATTTTTTCAACGAATTTGGCAGTTTTAACGCCATAAGCTCAAATTGGTGAGAAAGTGGTGTGGGACGACGTAGTGCTTTCCTCTTAGCTTGTGCACTTTGCGCTTTTTAGAAAAGATACGACAATTTTTGAATAGCTATAGAACTTGAAGGGTTGAGAACATGACGACTTATGGAAGGGATTCGCCCTATCGTCCTAGATGTGTGGGGAGCTATGTGTGCTCATATAGAACATGCTGATATGGTCCACCCACACAGCCACATAGGGCGCATATGGCGCAGTGGTCGGAGAGTCCTTGCAGTACACATTAGGAGCATAACAGTACTGGCTTGATACACCGGTAGGCCACTGCTAGTCATTATAAAGGCCAGATATGTATTCAATCATCTCCGAACGAGCTTGGTGAAGTGAGCTGCATGGCGCATCCTTCATGGATTGATCAACGCCGAGAGCTCTATCTTTTCTGCTTCATACAGCCACACTGATGTTAGCATTTGGAAGTGTTCTGCAGCTTTGTATCATGTCTGTTCCTGTATTTTAACACATGCGCTTTTCATGGATAAGTATGATTTGCCACAGAGATTTAAATTAAAATCAACAGTCAATTACCGGCCATATTGTCGCTTAATGAGGTGTCCTTTGATTATTACTTACTTACTTGGTACTTGAACGACCCGTCCTCACTAGTTGTGCGGGCCCCAGCATAATCATCATTTTTCGGAGATCTGCTGGTTAAGCCATTGTGGTTTTCTGGAATTCCGAGGACAACCTGGCCAAAGTCTGCCTCACTTTTGATTATTAGTATATATATGTATATATATAAATATATATATAAAGGGCGATTGTGACGCATCGATCCCGCACCCATGGCCAACCAAGCCTTCCATCGGCAAATCGGTACCAGACTTGTCTGGAAGAATAGCAGTACTGGCTCGACACATCGATAAACCACCGTGAATCATTGTAAATATATTTATTGCATACTAATGCTTCCCGGCGTTGCATGTTAATGAACTATTATTTTACTGCTTTCCAAGCGGCTTTCTTGATCAGAAATCTTAAATTTTGAATTTTTTTGAATTTTGGGGCAAAAAATTTTAAAACGACACTTTGAATTTTTGGGTTTCTGAATTGTTGAAAATTAATTGAGCAACTTATTGCATAGGGCACCTGTGGCGCATTGGTTGGAGGTGCCACTGCGACACAGAGGTGGAAACGGTCTCCACACCCATGGCCCACCAAGCCCTTCATCCTTCCGGGATCGGCAATTTGGTACCAGACTTGTTTGGGAGAATAGCAGCACTGGTTCGATACATCAGTAGGCCACCAAAGTCATTGTAAAGGCCAGATTTGCATTCAATCACCTCCAACGTTACTTAGTGAAGTTGAATGCATGGCGGGTCCCTCAGGGATTGATCAACGCAGTGAGCTTTATCCTTTTAGCTTTCATTGAACAGATTATAGTGGGTTTTAGCACTAATTGCGACATTTCGTTATTTCACCGGCAAACTGTCAAAAAATATGCTGTGGTATATATACATAGGATTATAGGAATAGGATTTTTTTTATTGACTGAATTTCTTACAGTTCCAAGTTGGTAGTTAGAACAGTGGACGTAGCTCCATCGCCGGTATTCTCCACTGCTATCTATACAGTAGACATTGTCGACACCATCCCAATGTTCTCCACTTTCTTCGACTTCAGAATGGTAATGCCGGTCGATTGTCATTGGGAAATTGTGGATGGTAATGATAAAAAGGTCTGGCTTTATTTCATCTTTCTGTTTAAGTCTTTTTCTTCGTGTCTTTAAATGACTTGTGATGCTAAACTATTTTCTAATAGAACATGTGACGATATTTTACATCTTCGATTAGATTCTTCAGACGTTTTGCCTACTCAAAGACGGCTCTTTAGCCGTGTGTGGGTGCTTGTGTATTCCGTCGTACAGACTGATGACCGAGGTATCCGTGTTTCCGTCACAGCTTTGGCAAATTGACCCTTTTTATAAAGAAAGGACACTGCAGGTTTCCTTTCTAGGTTATATGTTGTAATCGTACTACGTCGCGCAGCGAGCTTGTTATAAGTGTTGTTCCGACGAAAGAGGAACGCTTCGCAACTGTGGGATTTATCAGGGAAGGTGTGCAGTCGGTTTCAATTGCTCGAATATCGTCATCAGCGCTCGGAGAATTCACGACGTATCGAATTGCGGAGAAGCGACTAGGAGAGGTTCATACTACTCAAGGCAGTTAAATGGTCAATCTTTTTAAAAAGCTTTCAAATTTTAGATCTTTTCACTGTCTTCCGATGGTGTGCTGGCATCGACGCGAGCACTTAACCAATCGAGTCGAAGTGTATACAATGTAACTATCATTATGCAACCTCACGTGGGCCAGCCGCATGTTATTGACGTTCTGGTTGGTATCTTAGCGATTTTTCATCATATTCATCGAATAATTTCCTAACAACATTGGTCATGCACGGTCAGACTTTTGGGCTGGGTTGCTTAATGTCTAAAATGTAAATGATGTGTCACAATTTTATAATATTCTGTGGCAATCATTACTGTTATTTTTTATTCAGACTGAGCAGATCTATTTCACTTCAACATTGCAGGTGTTTGTTGATGTCGACTTTGAAAAGTCGGCGATCCCTACAAAAGTGGAAGCAACTGCAATTCTTGCGGATAGAGTAGCAGAGTTCGATCTCGGATACATCGCTGCTGGAGCTGTGGGAGAATGTCATGCTCGAGACGAGGAACGTTTCCAGGTAGATGTAGTGTTTAACTTTATCAAATATAATGATATTTTCTGAACACATATTCTCATGAGTGTATTGTAAATGACCAGCTTTTTCTTATGGTAAGAAGGAGAAGTCCTCATGTGGTCTTATCACTACAGTGGGAAGGAAGAAATTGAATTTGAGGTTATCAACTATTCAAAAACATGCCTTTAAAAAGAAGCTGGAGTTTTGGGCATTAATGGCTATCCAGTATGACTAGGATTATCCATTTTCATGCTGAATATCGCTGTTTCCAGTACCTATCACCTCTACTTTCCCGACCTACAGTTCTAAATTCGCTTTCTCAACGAGTTTTTGCTCTAACAAATAGAGGTTCGCCTCAAACCAACGTAGTATCTCTTTTCTCACCTAGTGCTGAGGTTTCTAGAACGTATGACGAAGGTTACGGCAAACAGCTTTACAGGCTCTATTATAGAAGGAGATTTAGTTCGAGCATTTTTCATCCAACCTTTCACTCTCATGATGGCGGCACTCTATGGTTGGGGTCGTTAAGCTGATTGTGGACTCTATTGAGTGTGCTGAGCTTTTGGCTAAGATAATCGTTGTTTTATCAATGGAAGACTTTCTCTTCACTTTCAGTACCACTCATGGTGAAAGTAAAGAACTACTATTTCGTTTCTACAGTTTTTAGAACTCAAACATAGAAAAGGTTGAACGCAAAGTTTAAATTCTAAAATTTCCAACTAAAGCGCGGTAGCCGTAGATATCAGCGATACATTAAGAAACATCATCGCATCCACTTCTAGGGGATCTCGACTACCCAGAGATGAATCCCATATATTGCAGTTCAGCACCCAAGAACACACCCTTCTTCCAACAAAATTGAGAGGGGAAACCTTTGGGTGCGGGAAAATACGCAATTAATTTGTAGCTGCAAGATTGTACCGTATGAAAGAAGACATATGGAAGGCTCACAGAGAGCGGTGAATACGTGAAGAAGCTGTTTTATACCTACTGCGATTGAAAACTGGGCTGCGTGGGTTTTCTTTTGAGGTTATGGAAGTGTTCGGCTGGCTTCGTTACAATTAACTTGAACTTCCTAGGCTCTCAAGAACCCGGAAATGTCAGTTTTTGTGGATAAATAGTAAGTATATAACGACAACCTTGTATGTGCTTATGAAGGAAATAGCAGATTATTTATTGTGTCACTCAATTGTTGTATTTCAATCGACTCATAAAATTGCGGAATACCTTAACGTTGAAGCTGAACCATTTTTGTTTTTAACAGGGAAAAAGAAATGAAACAAATTTTACTTTTTGAAATGATGGAATATTCTATAATTTTTGGTCTCTTACGTTTTTAACCTATAACTTATGATTCTGGATCTTCCATAATTCTAGTAGTTTTTTCATAGCTCTTTACCTCACCGCTGTGGACGGGAGCGTTCGTGGGTGTCAAAGTACGCCGCGAATGAGGAGGCATGTCCTTCTGAAGACGTAGTGGGACTGAATTCTACATTTTCATTTGGTATTTAAGCCAAAACTGGATCTATCTAAGATCGCTGTCGTTCTAGAAGGAACATAGTAGTCTAATTGCTATCCTTCTACGCTGCATAAGGGTCTGCAGTCGACCAACATTTCAAGTTCTAAATCAGCAAAGGGACGAAATGATGGGCATATTTTTTAAAAAAATTTTTTGGCAGTTTCTTAAATAAAAAATCTTATCCACCAAGGGCGTGTGTGGCGCAGTGGTTGGAGGCGCCTACATGCACAAGGGATTGATCACCGCGCCCAAAGCTCACCAAGCCTTCCATCACTCCGGTGTCGGCAAATTGCTGCTTGTCTGGGAGGATAGCAGCAATGGCTCGATATATCCGGCAGGTCACTGCCAGTCATCAGATAAGCATTCAATCACCTCCAAACGAAGCTTAGTGAAGTCGAATGCAGGGCGCATCCCTTGAGGATTGATCAACATCAAGGGCTTCATCCTTTATCCTTAACCTTTGGCAGTGGGTTGATAGTTGCGTAGCATTCATATATGAAAGAGTCTCTAAGGTGAACATTGGTCGTTGTTGAGTGGTGGTCCGTGACAGTTGCGAACATTTATAGTTCTGGCAAGTAAAGTTGCAGATAGGAGAAGTGTGTCTATGTAGGGATTAGCGTTCTGCTACGAACTTGTTTCGACTTGCGCATAAGAACGTGAAAGAGATTCAAGATCTGGGTATTATATTGCAGAATCTTCTCTAATTAAATTTATGCAAACAGGTATTATCGACATGCCGTCTCATCGTCAAGCAACCCATTGACGGTGAAGAGGTTTTGGCATCGATCAACGGTGTTTCTGTTCGCATTGCGTTAAGAAGCCTACAACCGTCGAAGAAACTGCTGCAGTCCGTGTTGCAACTTGTATTTTACGCGACATCGACCGGAGTAGCCGAATTTCTTACCGAACTGCAAAAATTCTACAGTGATATGGTAAATATGAACTCTATAAGAACAAAGCTTCAGAGCCAGACCACGTCGTTGAGTTGGCATTCTGTTTCAGACCTTCTATCCACTCGCAATTGATGTCGTCGCTCACCATCGAAACACGCTAGCACTGGCGATTCTTGACCGTAATCATAAAGTAGTCACCCCACACGATGCCCACAAAATAGTGCAGAAGTTTTTGAAACTGACAGAATTTCCTCATGTGCTTATCGAGTCAATGAAGACAAATCTGTGCAACGACAACGTGTGTGCTCTTGGTGACAAATGCCTCCAAGTCGTGTCCTTTCGCAATAAGAGTTTACTTTTTTATGGATCCAAATCCGTTTGGAACGTTCCTAACGGACTTATAACGACGAGGTAAGAGAGGACGTGATTAATCTGAGTCCTTATGCATGGTTATAGTTTGGTCAGTTTAGATGTGAGTGCACAGATTTATGTTGTGGAAAATCCCGTGATGTGCGCTGTGATGCGTCCTCTTGTTCCACTGAGGAATGCTCAACGAACGGCCTTCGCATGCATGAGAGATTTTGTACGAAGTGAGTTTCATGTAATCGGCACAGTGATTTAAATACTAATTATTTGGAATACTCATGTTATTTAAGTTTATACTTTTTCCACATGTCAACTATGATATGATATGTTACCTTATCAAACATTTGCTACCAATTCATTGCTTTAGTGCTTATTTAGCTTGGAAGAGCGCTGTTAAATTTTAGCTCTAACGGGTAAAAGCTTTGTTCTATTTTTCAGGATGAACTTCTCGTGAACATAAAGAAGCTACCTTTGAGCACTTTTTAGTCAGAGTTCGTATCGTTAATTCTGTTACTTAAGAATCATCATTAACATGTTGTTGCAGTGGCGAGTGCTTGTCTGGTTTCGTTGGAGCAATGTGTTCATTACAATCTGATGATGGGCAAAGTTTGGATCGCCAAACCACCACTGTGGAAGCTTCATCGAAAGATCATCAAAATAGACTGTGTGCTCATATGAACTGCGGTGATGGTGCTTGTCGTGTGCATCGTGGGCAACCGATATGTCATTGCTCGGATGGACTCAAAGCCACAGACTGCTCATACGGTAATAAATTTTATTTTTCCCGGCCTGAGCAACAATACGCTGCACCACAGTTTCGCATTCTGATGCTTATTGATTTAAACAAAATAGAAAAAGAGGATGGGCTTTCCCCTTATGTATAAGGTGGAGAGCCTCAGTTGTCTCACTATCCGTCTACTGCCTTCGTTTTTGCCGTTTTCATGATTTATGCATAACGTATAGCTTTAGGCTCACAAGTCACCTCTCTGAGCAATGTTGCATTCGTTACTCTTGTTCCTACTGAACAACTCCGAATCGGGCTGCTTAACCAATCGTTACTGACTAGTGATGATTCCTGTAACGGTAGTCAGTCTTTGGCGATTGAGTTTCGTACTCGAGAGTCGTATGGTACAATCGTTGTGTTCTCCTATGAACTGGAGCATTCTGTGATCGAGGTACGTCGTGAGTGAGCAAAAAACATTTCACTGTAAAGGTTCTCTCTTTGTTAAAAGTTCTATTATTTTAAGATTCTATTCTTTTGTTAAATGATAAACCAGTAAGTCAAAAGGTGCTATTGCAAGTACTTTGATCTATTCGGAGTACTGCTTCATGGCGAGCTTTTTTCAGGTGCATGGATCAGTAGTACGTTATCGAGTCATTAATCCACACCGTATTCCTATAGATATCACGCTTGATAGGAAATCTGTGGACGATGGCAAGTGGCATCACGTAATGCTTGAGCTCACTTCAGATCGTAAAACGGTAACTGTATACGGAATCTAATAGTTAATTTTTTAGACAACATGTTAGGTCTACAAATCACAACCATATAAAGATCCAAACTTCCCGATCAGTTTAAAATTAACCTCTTAGATATTTGAACGATTCATTTTTAACATGTCGCACGGGTCTCAGAACATCGTTGTCGGTTTACTAGGCAGGTTTCTCGTACCCTGAAATGGTTGGACGAGAAGGTTTTCAAGTCTTTATCACCGTCATTCGTTGGTCTTGCTAATTTTTTCGAAGCAGCTTTCCAAGTTGTGGGTACGATCTGCTGGTCACCTCGTCTGCACTGTAGTAATTCGACAACCAAGAAGGATCCATAGTTTGCCTTTCGCAGTGAATGTTCTTGGGAGAAAATTCAAATTAGCAAAAGTATTAACTTCTTTGGTTTTGCATTCAAAAGTTAATAGAGACAGAGATTAAAATACCATCTCATCTCACGATACCGAAGTGTTCCTGGGTCGTCTGCATAAGGCGCGTCCTAACAGCGCGTACGTTATGGTGTCCTTTGACGTTATCGCCCTTTATAATAAAGTGTAGAATGACTTCGTTACGCGACCCACGCGCTAGCTTCTCGTGCAACACGGAAGACTAGTGAACATCTATGGCTTCTCGATTTAGCAGCTCATGGTCTTCCTTAAAGCGTGCTTAAATTGTTCGATCTTCAGATAGTCAGGAAAATATTACACACAAATTAGAGGCTGGACAATGGGACAGCAACTGACACCAAGTCTTGCCATTATGTTTATGTCTAAGGTGGAAGGACCACTAATCGATCTCTGGCCATTACTCTGCTGTAGATGTATAAGTGATCGTAAATTACAACCACAACGATGCTCAGATATTCGCAAAACTTGGACACCGGGAAAAATTGTAATAGACAGAAAATAGAAGGTTAACATCGTGATCTCGACTACAGCCTCAATTTAACTGGGTCCAATGCCGATTTGTGCTCCGTAGATCAATCCCGCTGAAGGGTGATTGTTGATAGCAGCCGTTAGGTAAAAGACTAGCTGAAAGAAACGCAGAGCAATGGCCTTCGTGGCGCAGTGTGTAATGCGCGAGCCCCCCGAAAGGGAAACCGTGATTCAATGTGACCCACGGTCGAAGTTTTGCGAATCATCATCGTCGTGGCTGTAATTCACATCGTATCCTGCCGGGAAAATTTAATAGACAGAAAGTAAAATGTTAACATAGATGATGGTTTTGCCAGTTGTTCCACACAAGAGAAGTTGGACGTTTTGAGTTATTGAACGGACGATCAGAGTACATAATATTCATCCGGGAGAAACCGAAATGAAACTGGCTTCCATTTCCAAACGTTCAAATTAACCTCTCTGGAAATATCTGCATACCAAATTTTACCGAAAAGCAAAGTAAAAACATATACTGGTTTATTACATCTCGTTTCCCTCCTCACACATGAAAAGGGTGTTTGTGAAAAATCTTTCGAACCGCACTCAGTGTGTGCACAAGAAGAGAGCAGAAGGAAGAATCTCTGAAACTGGAGCGGTGAAGAGACATTTCCAACGGCAATGGAACTGTAGTTCCGCGAAGAAAATGTAGAGGAAAGACAACGCCACAAAGCGATAATTCTATTGAGGATGAGGTCCCGTTTATCCTCTCCTTTATATCTAACGAAGTAAGTGCAGCCGTAAAACAATGCTTAAATAGGGCCGGTGCAGAGAATACGGTTACAGTGGCTGAAGTGCCACCGAACACTTTAAGAGGCCACCTAGTTCGTAATCGTCTATACGACCCTCCATGCACAGCGCAGCGTGACTTGATGCTAATCCAACTCCTAGCGCGTGGGTGCGCCTGTTGCTTGAGGATTTTCCTTTCGTTTTGACTTTCGTTGGATGCTGTTCGAGTCGATTCTTTCTAGGATCTCCAGATATCCGTTCTAGAGCGTTCCCACGTCGATAGCAGAAAATCTGGTTTTTCCAGAGAAAGTCTTGTAATGATTTCTCTACCCTGGAAAAATGAGAGGAATGGTGAGCCCGGTGTGAGGTCGAACCAGCACCGTGATTTCGTATAGGTCGCTACCGCCACCTCTGCGCTATCCGCCAGCTTTTTTAGATGATTAATTTTTGATGAGTATTTTAAAACTGGTTTGACTTATAATGATGCCATGAAAAGTGTTCTAACATATACATGAGTGGAGGCATGCAAGAATTTATTTAGATTACATTCAAAATGGACGACATTGGCAAACAAGCACTGTCGCGTGAAGTATTGCCTGCGCTCATCTCTGCCGGACTGGAGCGCATTCAATTCGGCCGGAATGGACCGCAAAGGTGAGTGTGTACTCGCTCCTCTGGGGTCTAGAGCAAGAAATATGTGCTTTACGGCGATGCGGTGGCTAGTGTTAATGCTGAAGGAGGTGACTTCTTGGACCACTTGTAATTGACTGGTTACCTCATCATTGCCAAAGTTTGACACTCTTATAATACTAGTTCTGTAACCACTGAAAAGCTTCAGGGCGCTTCTTGGATGTGAGATGTAGTTGATCTAGCACCGTTTCTATGAAATTTTTTTCATGGAGTTTTATCTCATTGCACTGTGTAGAACGCAGAAATCCCTGAAACTAAGTGCTATGATCGCATGAGAAAGATAAGTTGTTTACGTCATGTACCATTAATGACAGGCACTTCTCCGGTTGTCTACGGCGACTAGTCATCAATGGGCGGTTGCAGCCACTTTTAAATGACCCAAAATATTCAGATGAAGTAAGTTCCAGCTTGTATTTCACAGAATTTCATTGTTTCAACCATACATTTCTTTCTTATAATTTTCTACAGACTCGTGTTTTTTGTTAGATAACACGCCTTGAGGGTACTAATAAGACCGTTCTTCTGTAGTTCAAACTTCCAATATATTTCAGCTTTTTTCAACAATATACCATGGTGTGGTTGCCGAATGTGTAATGGACTCTCCACATATCTCTTTGCTCCAAAATATGAGAATCGTGTCGTGTTTGGTATTCGTAGGAGGGGCTGCTGCTGTCTGTGTGTTGATTATCGTTGTCGTACAGATTTTAAGACGTAACGAATCGAAGGGTTCCAAGCGATGTGACCAGGTGAGAGCATTTAGACCTTAGACGTATGATCGCTGGTGAAGTATTATAGCTAGTTCAAGAAACTGATAGTAGGGCTGTGATGAGGTAAAAGGTCACCACCTAATTCGGATTATGCATCGTAAACACGCGCAGTTTCTGTGATTAGTTATGTAGTGGAGAAGAGGAACTTGGAGAAATGCTATTGCTGTAGCGATCGATCATGTAATTTTTAAGGACCTTATAGTTTTTTGGTTTAAACTTCTTTGTAACTCCCCACTCTTTTCTTCCTCTGCAAGTTCGTGTTCTCATTCTTTTACGAGAAGTACACATCGCTGAAATATTTCTATTTGTTTTGTGTGGTGCCACTACTCATCATTTGTCGTTACATTTGTTGTCAATCTCCCTTCCTCTGTTTTAGTACTGATGGAGTCCTTCTTGGTCTAGATTGCAAAACGACATCTGTATGGTAGCAGCCTGTTTTGCAGCATAACATATGGATCCATGAGCGTTTGAACGGTTTTATCGTGTGACGGCAGATGACCCCGATGATCGTGAGAGTTTTAAAGGCTGCCCCGTGGAGTTGAGGTGTTTCCAGGGGTATTTCTCTTAAATTTCAGTTTTGGTCGTCTAAAGAGGCAGTCTCGCATCGCAATTGTTTTCTTCGGCTAATACAATAGAACATTTCGTTGAAGTAGTACGATTTCGTAGAAGGATTGAGCATTGTTTTCACTTTTTTAGCTTCCCTTTTACGAAGTTTTTTTAATGCACGTATGTGTAGTACTAGCTATCAGATGTTTGGCTGTTATTGCTGACATCTACTTACTCTTGGGTGGGGTTTCGAGCAAAAATTCAAATATCCCATTTTGGGTACGAAATTGAATGCTGTACTGTAACGGAAACAGCACTTATTACTGAGGCAGCGTGGTGAAGATTTAATGTCAAGGATCGCTTGCTGTCATTGACACGGTGCGCCGTATCCCGAGTAAATAAGTCCGTTTCGGGTTCGCAAGTAAGTGTTAATGACTTCCATGCGATTCTTATTTCATGTAATAATGTTTCGTTGTGAAGTAGTTTAAAGCAGACTTCTCTTTTGAAAGGGTTAAGTTTTATGGCTTCGGAGAATTGGACGTCGCAAAATTGGCCTCTCTGTTCTTACCTGCAAATTGTGGTTATATGTGAAAATAGATTTACCTGTGACCTTGCATGTTAGCATAAGTGACATTGCAATCATTATCAAATTGCTGAGTTTGATGTTGTGATGCGTGAAACGAGGTCTTCCGATTCCCGATTCAAACTGCTGATTGTCGATCGTATTACACACCAAATAAAGCGAAATATTACTCGTGTTGGTTTTCCAAGAGTGAGTGACACGTATATTAGTACGTAGCATCCGGTAATTATACAATAAATGGCAATTGCTGATGCCAGTATTGCATCTGTTGGCCAGCGTTCGGGATTGAAAATTAGCTCCGCACACAGAGCACAGTCGAGGTGATCGCAGAACGGTGATGGTGGACACGTTGCTTCAATAATGTCGATTGGTTGATTATCAGCGAGTTTCCATTGAATTTGTTCTCATATGCGGTGGAAGGTTGACTATCTCGCTCGATTCTGGTGTTTCCAACGTTTTACAGTAACCATCTGCACATACCTTGTAAGGGGTATTGCCAGGTGAAGTGAGTTGTGTTCCTGCGTGGATGCACTTCACATGGCGGAGGTTGGTATGCCGGTACGAATTTGCTGCTGAGCATTGTCCCAGAATAGCTAATAGGGATAGAAAGCGATACGAACAATAAAATCAACAAATCTATTATGAAATCACACTTGGACGGAATGCAGCCGAACGGCTGGAATCAATGACGAAGCATAGGGCCATGGAATTGCTAGTGAACGCACAATGCAAGGTTGGTTTGGAAAATTTCATCGTGGTGAATTCGACCTTGAAGATAAGGGACGTCGTAAAAGTTCTACAGCTTTTTGAGATAATGAACTAAAGAGTTCCCTGGAAGGGAATACACGCATTCTTGTAGAAGGACTCTGTGTGATCATCCCAACTCTTTCGAAGCATCTCGTGATAACTGGAAATTCGAAGAAGGAAGACAAAAGGGTGATGCACGAATTCAACGACGATCAGAGAAGTTAACATTTTTAGATATCGTCGGCGTTTCTTCTGCGCAGACAGAACGATCCGTTTTGCGACCATATTCTTAGGTGCAACGAGAAATAGATCTTTTTTGATAAACTGCTCAACGCGTAGTTCTCGATGAAGCTCCACAGTACTTCCCGCATCCAAAATTGCACTAAGAAAGGTCTTGCTGACCGCTTGCCGGTTTGCTGCTGGTTTAATACCCTGCAGAAGTTGAACGAGCGGGGATACGAAACTCTGCCTCATCCACCGCACTGCTCAGTTTTTCCGCTTGCCAATACCATTTTTGTCAAAATTTCAACAACTTTCCATACCAAAAATGCTCCAAAAAACCAAGCTGTGGTCGAAACTGTTGTTTTCAACGACTTCGTCTTCCCAGAAGTCTGTAATTTTAAACAATCGCTGTGATTAAACTTGTTTCTTGTTCACAAAAAATATGTAGATCTCAATGATTATTATTTTGATCAATAACGTTCATTCTGAGCTGAGATATAAATGAAGGTATAAAGCTCTCGGCGTTGATCAATCCCTGAGGGATGCGTCATGCATTCGAGTTCACAAGCACCGCTGGAGGTGAGTGAGTGCATATCTGGCCATTACAAAGACTCACGGTGGCCTACCGATGTGTCGAGCCAGCGCTGCCATCCTCCCAAACAAGTTTGGTGCGAATTTGCAGACCCCGGAAGGATGAAAGGCTTGGTGAACCTGGGGTGTGGGGATCGATGCCGTGTGTATAGCAGTCTGCCTCCGGCCACTGCACTACACGAGCTGAGATATACCACTTTCAAAATGTAAGTTGAAATCGAATAATAATTTCGGAACGGGCTTGTACTACAAGTTGACATTCTGCCCTCGCTTATTTCGCTAAAAACACACATAGTAACCTAACTACAGTAATGAAAATTGCTACGATTCGTTTGACTTCGTTTTTCGAGAAATCACAATCTCAGTTTGTGAATACGATAACGATCTAATGGAAAGTCGGAGGAATTTGCGTAGTGTACACTGGTAACATCTGCGATGCACAGACGTGTATGTGCTACTGGGAAACTTGAATGCCCCACACGTCGTCAACTAGGTCCCCGTTAATGGTTTGTTAACCCTTTGACGTCGTGTTTTTCGATAACTAATCTGCTTAAGAGTTTCTAGCCGCAGAGTTTTACGGAGCTTCCTTTGAACTAAAGTATAACAAAAAAATTTAAAGAGTTCTCTACGTGCAGTTTGCACTCTGTGGCACTTCAGTTTTTAACTGGTGCTTCCGTAGAGAATTCTGCAAACTGAGGTAGCTATGTTTTCAAAATCCACTTTCCTTTAACCTCGGTGTGACTAACCAACATGTATTCTTTTTTTGGCAACCTTACGCGAGGTTATATCAACGATAAACAAGAGATGTGTAGGGTCTAAAGATTTTAATTTCAAGCAGAGATAAGTGTTTGCTGAAAGCGCGTGCTGTGTGGGACCAGACTGTAACCCGCAGGACCATCAATGTGCTAGAGTTCTCTATTTTAGAAGTGGATGCGAGCCGAGCTGTATCGACGTTGATTTAGATAGGTTGTGTATTGTACATAAAGCTGGAGCGTCGTGTAACACTAAATTTGAAGGTGCTGCTGATAGAGCTCACTTGTTCAGCAGTAGGTTTTCTCCACTTTATTACATTTCGGAGATTTTTTAAGAATAAATGTCGATAGCAGGTTTCTTTGCAGCATTGCCGTCCTCGAACTCGGTCTCCACATATTTCCTTTGTTTCCTTATCTCATCAAAATAACATTCGTTCTACGTTTCATCATGTGAAGCCTCAGCAATGGAGCGAGTCCAAATTGGGAAGTCGTAAATGATTTTTTATAGGAGCGCTTTTGTGATATTAGGGTTATGTACACAGTTTTACCATCAACGTACTCATTAATTGTATAAGTGTTGCAGAATTCTATGCGTAGATCTCTTTCATTGGTCATTTCAGAACATTGTAACGATTCTGATGGGTTTGTTGAAAACTAGTCTGTTTCGACTATTATATCTATTCATGTTAATGATGGCGCTTGTAACATTTTTAATAACTCAAAAAACCGACTTTTTATAAACTTCCGCATAAATAATCAATATATCTATATACATGCTCTTATTAAGAACTGTCCCACATGAGCTTTTAATAGGTCGATCCTCCGCCAGCTTCAGCTTTTAAAGGCTTGAAGTTAGACCATTATTTTGTAAACAGTTCTGCAAACTCAAAATTGAAACTTTAAACGTTGAGTAAAGCTTTGCATTCTTATTGAGCAAACGGGAGGTGTGATTTTTATTCTTTATT